AATGAATCAAAATCAAAATCATTCATTCATTTAATATAACAAAACCACAAGAAGCTAGATGAAATTTTTTTTCTCAGCTTTGGTCAGCTAATTGCTCAAAGGACTTTCTTTAACTTTTGAAGTAGATTTTACTTGATTGAATCTCTATTCTGTAACAGCGCTGTGCTTTATGTCGCGTCCTAGGTAGTTTCTATAAACAGAATAGCATTGCTGTGCTTTGTAGCATTTCATCACATCTGTCTACCCCACAAGCAAGCCGGTGTGAAGGATAAGATCTGCAGAGCGACCACCTAATTCATCTAGTTATAAATCTAGCCATAGGATACATCTTATCGATGATCAAACGCTAATTCGATGCACTCTAATAACGAGTAACGAATGATAAAGAATGATGAATATCGACGCTTAAGAACCAAGACCATCTATCTACAAAAAGTCGATTTTACAGGAGACGAAAAAAACGTTTCATATTTTTTCTACAACAATTTTTTTTATTTTTATATCTGATCAATTAATGGATAGGCATAGGAAATAAGGTGTTTGCATGTGTTTCAAGAAATCTTCATTAGTTTCAAGATTACTGTAGATAGCTGGTATTAGTTAAAATATTTGCGTATGTTTATGCAGCTAACTGTAATATAGATGGTATTGGCAAAGGAAATAATATAGTTCCAGCGCCTGACCTCCGCACAATGTATACTCTTAGTACCTTCTTCAACATACTGCAATGTCGAGGCTTAGAAAGCCCTTGCAAATTTTATTCACAAGCTCTCCGTTTATATTAGTTAGGCACCTAAGGTAAGAATGTACTGTAAAAACTTGTACCAATAACTTAGGAAGTGTTTTAGTTACGTGGTACACACACTTCTCGGCCGAGAAGACTCGCCGGACCTTGAAGTGAAATAGTCGCACCGTTTACACTCACGGTGAGTTCTCAATAGATCTCTCCGTTCTCGGATATGGATGACTTTACTAGTAAAGGCGCTTTGGTATACATGCACTAGCATTGTGAGTGACTGAAAAATTGAAAAATGAGGCCCAGATGAGAGTGGATGGTACAAATTAATCCAAATAAAAAAAGGTCGTTTAATATACAATGAACACACTAATAATTAAATATTTAAACCCACGGCGCTCTGTACCTCATATGTTCATAAGTTTTGAGACAAACTTTTCGATGGAGGGAACGAAACCATTTCGTGCAACTGTCATTTCGATATTTAAGGCGGAAAAAAAACCGCTGCAGATTTTCCGCGAGCTGAAAAGTTTTCCTGTAACCACACAATACATACAAAGAGACAAGTTCACTGCAAAATCGCCAGAGGAGTGGTCGGCCACGCTCTGTCAGGACGCCTGCGAACATCAAAATCATCCGAGAGCGACTTCGCCGAAATCCATGTCGCTCGCTCTGCAGACTAATATTTCGCGCGTTTCAGTGAACAGATTACTGAAATATGATTTTAAGGTAAAGGCCTATAGCCGAAGAAAAATTCAATTTTTAAACGATCGTCTTTGTAAGTTACGACGCGAACGTTGTCCATTGCTGCTGAGGAGACGTGATGCCAGAAACTCCTCACCGATGAGAATTTTTACTGGCAAAGAAAAGTTTAACCAACAAAACAAATGGACGCTAAAAGTAGCAAGAATGTCCTAGCTTCTGCACGGAATTGAAATTGAAATTCATTTATTCTAGAACATACACAAGACACAGTTCATGTAAAAAAAAAATGATAATACACAATACTAGACAATAAAATATATGTGTGTGTGTGTGTGAGCGCGTGTGCGTGTGTTTTTTATTTATTAAAATATGCATTAATGAATGAAATTGAGAATTGAAAACATTACATATCTATAATAATTACTAATTAAATTGAAGACCTAAAAATAAACCACAATGCAATTCAATTTGATTTAAGGGCACCTATGATCATTGACTAGAATAGTTCACATTCAAATGGAAGAGAAAGAGCCACACCACAACATTCAGCCTGCATCACACAATATCCTACAGATGTTATAAATGCGAAAGTTTATGTATTAACGTTTGAAAGAAACCTATATATAAGAAATATCCATGTTGATATTACCCAGTCCTTGCTGCGCATTCAATTATCTACGCGAGTGGTTTTTAAAAGTAAGCAAAGTATCACAATATGCACAAAGGCAGAGGAATGTTGTTCCAAATTTTGGAAGCTGCATATCGGAAACTTCCTCTGAAGGAATCTCTCGCGCACTCCTTCATACGAAATTGGAAATTGAATTGAAAAGGTGTCACTCTGCTCCATTTCTGGCAAAAAGATGTCGAGGTGAAAGCCAAGAATTATCAGAGTGACATTTTAGAGCCTGTGGTGAAACCCCTGTCTGATACGTTATTTCATAATAAGGATTGGGTTTAGCAAGACTCGGCGCCATCCCATAAGGCAAAAAGCACCCAAACTTGGTTGAGGGAGAGTGTGCCGGCCTTCATCTCGGCGGACGAGTGGCATCTCTTAAAGCGGGCAAAAAATCGACAACAAACAGAGAAGATGCGAAGCTGAGAACGAGAAGGCGAGAAACTTATCACATTCTCGTGTCTCGGGTGTTGGGACTTCTCGGCGTGAGTCTGTAGGGCCTATGTATGGGGCCTATTATGTTGTAACGCATAACAGTTCATTTTGCAACTCGCAGTAAGAACGAATAATTACGTGTTATGTAGATAGGTGGTATTTCCATACAATTATTACGACATGTAACTAAGGTGGTATTGGTATTTTCTCATAACTCCTTATATATTGCGAATTTGAAATAATCGATTAAAGGAAACGATGCGTCAATTAACCATGAAAAGAACTGCATTAAAAAGTCAAAATCGCCAAAAGTGTAGATAGATGGTCTTGGTTCTTAAGCGTCGATATGGATTTGATACCAGTGCATGTTAGTCATTTAGCCCAGATGTATCCTCAAAAGACATATCAAAGTAATAAAATTAAACGAACTATCATTATAATACTCACTAGGATGTCGTTAGTTAGGTGGTCACACACCAGGCATTCCATCCACACCCTTATAGGCAAATTACTTTCAGAACCATTTCTCTAGATTTCGACTTCCAAAATCAGTTTTCGATATACGTCGACCCCTAGAGTACTGACGTTGAAATCTCTGGGAATCCCTGATATAGATATATTTATTTTTATATATTATACTTATTAAATTGTGAATTTGTTTTACTTTACAGGTGTAAAATATGCTGGCTGTGCTTTGTTGATAAAATATTGGAATTTATTTCCATTTTGCAATATTATTTCGATTGTAAATATCTTACTAATATATAATAAGTTGTTGCTATTGTAAATAAAACGTCACATATCAATCAATGCAAAGGCTTTATTTGACTTAATTATAAACAGTCCTTACTATCTAATAGTTAAGTAACAATGCGTGAATGCGATTCGAAAGCCGTCTCTTCGTGCGACGCATTTTAAATACATTTTTAATATATAAATTAAAATTAATATTCTTTGATAAATATATCGTGTAGCTTCGGCACTAAATTAGGCGTCTCGGCCGCCGTCCCGGGATGTCTTTTTCTGTTTTAAATAGTAACAAATATACAAAAGTGGAGATTAACACAGACCGGAGGCGGCGGTCGACACGCTCCTAGCACCTGGAATGTTCCCGCCGCTCGGTTCCCGCGTTTACGCGAAAGGCAGGGGCGAGCGGCCCCTATGTATTTTTTTTTAATTTTCGTCGGGCACCGACCGGACGGACGGCGCCCACGCGGCCTTGGCGGGCCGTTTTATCAAATTCAAATTCGAAACTGGACGATTCACGGGCGGGCAATCGCGTGAATCCAAAATAAAGTCGGACATATCGCGTGAATCCACGACGGTCGTCACCTAGAGGGAAAGCCGGCGACCGTCCTAGACCCTGCAACTACAAAACATATTGTCGCTAACAATCGAACAGCGATATCAGGCTAACATAATTAGCAAAAGAAATAATTCGTAAAAATTTAGCCGCGTTTACATAAAATATGTTCGGAACAGTTCCTTGTACTAAAATTGGTATTAGGTAAATAAAAGTCAGTCAGATAGAGAAAAATATTTGATATGTATTTTTTCCTTCAATTTATTTAAGTACCAAGGTATTTCAACTGAATGTATCACCGTAATTTTTGATCACGCATAATAATTATTGTTGTACTTATAATAAATGGTTAAAATATATTAAATAAAATTTTCTAGTAGTACCTATTTTGCCAGTATATTTCTCAACTCGCACGTGGTCTCTGAGTAAATCTACTAAATCGAGCTACTAACTAATTAATGCTCGTAAGGATATTAATCATTCTCGAACCTCTCGAAAAGCAAGATCAATGATTAGTTTATGGTACAATAAGTAAACTTAAATATTGAAATTATAATCTCCATTTATTAACCATTATTTTTCATATAATAGGAACTAACGTAAGCTTAAAAACTAACTTGCACAATATACTCGACATATTCCATAGAATTCCAAAACCATTAGGATTCTATTGTGGTTCTATCTTCGGAATGACTATGGATGCTTCCAGGGGATCATTGGTGCCCTGGCATGTGCTAGTTGAAGGTTCGAAGCCAGACGTTCTGTGGTTACTGTATTTAATTTTTTGTAGAACCTTCATTATTTCAAATTTAAATTCGAATATTTGTCTTTCAGACATCGTTTCCATGTCTGGTAACAAGGATAAAAGAAAATTAAGGTGGGGGTTCATGTTGTTGTCCTCGATATTTTTCATAGAATTTAAAAAATGGTTATGATACAACGATAATCCCTTTCTCTTTTTGATTTTTTTGGTTTGAATCGGTTTTGAAACAGATGACTGCTCCGATGAGCTATCCAAGTTGAAACTGTCGATAATATTCTCGTTCTTCACTTCTTCATTAAAAGAGCTGTTACTGTCCGACGAGTGTGATGACGGCGATTGTACATTTGTGGTTGAGGTATTAGTAGACCGTGATAACGCGAGAAACTGTAACATGTCTAAGTATGGTGTCCGTCGCTTCTTTTCTTTATTTCTTTCCCGAACAAAATAATCTCTGTGATGCTTCCATTTTTTTTGAAGTTGTAGGACTGAAAAGAATAGTAATACATAATAATAAAATTAATTAATATACGAGATGATTTCTAACGACTGTATTTTTTGTGTGTTTGTTACGCGATTTTTATTAAACAGCGCAATGGACGGACTGAGAATTTATCGATCGAGTCCCATTTTATCCAAATCGAATCAGAAGTTTTCCTTTTATAACAAAAAAAAAAATAAACGTTTTACCAGATACCACCTGAATATTGACATGATATGTTTACCTCAACTAAATAAAAACAAAAGATCGCGTTTGAATTCATTCATTCAAAATCCAAAAGGAGGACTTTCTACGTTCAACATATGTATGTATATTCTTTACGAAAGTATTTTTACCAATTTCTATCACACTAGCTGTTTACCCGCGATTTCGCCTGCGTAAATTATAGCCTGTTATGTAGCTTCCCGCTAAGATATTTTTAAAAATCACTCTAATGGTTTCGGAACTTATCCAATGCAAACAAATAAGAAATCAAATCTTTCCTCTTTATAAGTAGGTAAGTATTGATCATTGTAAAAAAATATGTAAATTAAATAAACAAAATCTTCTTTTCTAAGACTTTCACTAATTTTAATTATTGTGTTAACTAATATTTATCTTATTAGTTAACACTAATAGATTAAATATAAATATCAGTAAAAAGCATGAAATAAAAACTTTAAAAATAATAGAACCGACTTTAAAAGTGAAAATAGCTATTGAAGTCCAGCGCCTATCATTTAATTAACAATACCTCTGCCCGATTGCAATGACATTTCCTTGAATAAGTCGATTTTGAGATAAGAATAAATTATCACCTTCTTAAAGTTTGAAGTTGGTTCTTTTTTTTTTTTGAAAAAAGTTTTTATGTTACAATAGGTATCCGTTTTTACTCCTGAGGTATTGCATAACCCTAAAATTACCTAATAACCCGATCAAGAGAATGCATTTCTCAGAGGTCGTATTTACATTTTGAAATAGTAACAAAACAAATAAGTATCGGTTTCGGTGCTTTTTTGAAACAGATACATGATGTATCGGGTCGTTTTAAAAAATATCAACGTTATATTTTTCTCATCACTAGTTAAGAGTGCCTACATAATTAATTTGACAGATACCAAGTGCCAAGAACGCATTTTCTCGTCAGCACCGCTGCAACAATTTAATAAAACTAATAAAATGACACTCACCAGTCTCATTTTTCTTTGTCGGACTAAACATTTCCCAATCATCGTACATAATGGACGCTACGTCTTCCCAAGCCAGTCGACGTAAACTTCTGTCACCGTATTCTTTTATACTCGAATTCCAAATACATTCTCTCGCATGTATTTCTGCAATTAATCTTTCTGTATCGAACATAATGGAATTCTCGAACCGATAAGCAGGGCGTTGCTATTCAATACGCTATTACGTTCAGTTACGCAGTCGACCGGCATCCACGGCGCGTACTGGCGCAGTACTAAAATCGGCCGCCGAGTGTCGGCGTCCGGTGCCGACGCATAGCGTCAATGACGCATTGTCGGTTGTCGGTTTCCAATGTGAACGAAAAGGTTATATTATTTGTCATGTTTGTACATTATTTGTGGAAATACAATAAACTACCGTATCGCTCACAGTCGGCGGTTAACTAGACTAAACTAAAATGCGTTTGGCTTGTACACAGCCTAATTCATTTTATTTTTTCATATTCTTAAAATTCTTTTGTTGTTTGATTATACAGATTGGGTTTTCTTGTTCTGTCAGGTAAAATAATTAAAGTGCTTTTGTAATTTATTCATTCACAAGTGATTGTAACAGCGTAAATTAATAAATTATTTTGAATTTGAATTAAAAGAATAATACTGACGAACATTCTATTTTCGATGAACAAAAATAATAACAGATGGCACCATCAGTATCAATAACAGGCAACAAATTTGTTTACCAGGAAATATACCTACGTATATTTTAAGTAAAAAAGCTTATGTTAATTTTATTAAATTAACATATTTTTATGAACTGAAAATGAATGAATTTAGAAAAGCTATTGTAAATAACACAGTAAATAGCAAAGCAACTTGAGCTGACTCTTCATCAGTCTTTAAAATTTAGCTTCATTTCGTGACACAAATGAAATAAATAGCTCTTTGTGCTAGGGTACTGATGACTAATTTTGAATTGTGTTTTTTGTTCTCAAAAGTAGTCCAGAATAGTCTACACGAACCTCAATGTTCTAAGTTTTCTTCTTCTTCTTCTTATCTCAAGTTCCTTGATTCGGAAGTCACATTAAGCCGTTGCTCCCGGATGCATCTGCAGTCGTTACTAACAAATCCACACTGAGCCTGCGTGGTGGGCCTTGCATGGCCTATTCTCGATTTCAAGGAAGGCCTGACCCCTTTGAACAGGCAATATATACATAGGCTGGTGATGTGATCTCGTATGACCGACCCATGCTTGTGACATTATGCCTCCTCGTTTTCCAAAACACAGGGCGGGGTTCGATCGCGTAGCTCTTTGCATGGCACTATCACAGAACAATAATACTCTATGAGAAGATCAACTTCATAGAAAAATATTATCCATAGAAACTAGTTTCCACCTATAGTTAGCTCTCCGAAACAAGTAGTTTGATGGGAAGAAATACTTACTTTTATACTTGGGTTTCATATTAACCACCAAATTACTAAAACCAGTGTTTCCTGTGAGTATTTTTCGCATACAAAATCCATAACATAAACAAATTCGGCAAACAAAAAACATCCACAGGGAACATAGGTTTTAGTAATTTGGTAGTTAACCTAGGTAAAATAAAGGGACTACCTACTTCAAAAAGGGAATATAATACAAGCAGATTATAATAACACACTTTATTTTATTATTATTTTAACATACCGTTTTATTACACAAATTAAGTTTTTAACTTTAATTCAACATTCATTTACAAGCCTTCAGAATCATTTAAATGTGTGCACCAAATTATCAAGAAAATTATTTTGACACAGCATTCTATATTCAGTGTACAATTTCATTTAGAATTCTGTTGATGAATTCCGTCCTTTGGGGAAAATATATTTAGCCCACAATTCACATCTGAAAACAAATACAACAAAATTAAGAATGTTAGACCCTTATAGTACAAGAGATAGAGCTACATTTTTCCTAACAATTTCCTAAAACATCCTTAATCTACTTCACCTACATCATCTCTTTTATCAGAAATAACATAAAATTATTTCATATAGATTCGCATGACATACCTAATACTGAAGATCTTTGACTCAAGGCATTTTTTTTACAACTAAATACAAGTATTTATGTCAATTCTAACTCTACTGCTATAAAAAATAACTAACACTAGCATTACATAATGGGAATATTCTCTTGTTAAAATGTAGCGTAACTTCTTCACGTACTATTTATTAGTTTGGAATCTATAGATAGAAGATTAAAGCAAGTACCGTATAAGATTCCTTTTAGCCGGCTTCGGAAAACGAAAGAACTTTACATTATGCTGGATTGGCGAACGTTCACTATAAAACATTATATTCCGTTTTCTTTATCAGCCAAAAATTTCAACAAACACAACAACAGGAAAGAGTCACTATCTCAAATAACTATGAATCCACTTTCTAAGCACATTAAAAGGAGGAACAAAAGCTCATATCGACGTTATAATGATAAGAAAATGCAGGAAATACGTAATTGCGACGGAATCGCATGGATCAACAACATGTCAACAACAACAAATTGCAATTATCGACACCATATCTGTTACAAAAAAATACTACTAATTTTAACAATGATGCCTTCCAATAAATAAAAATTAAAACGATTGAAACGAAAAAAAATAAAAGGCAACTGTATATTTACTTGACTTAATAAAATGTATTTCTGACTATAAAAAAATTTGGATAAACGGAATTTTTTGGTAAAAGATAACTATTAGAGACTACTAAAATGTGTGAAAGTAATAAAAATGAGGCAACACTGCAGATTCATTTCATTGCCATACTAATAAATCTTAGTTGCTAGTTAAAAATATGGTATTATGAAAGATAATTTGAGTCTTTCGTCATAAAATTTTGCCCCTCTAGGTAAAATTTTACACTTGTATGAAGTTACAACCGCCTGGGCACTATGTAAGTACTATAATAACGACGATGAAGAATGAATGATAAATAATGATGATTTTTTAAATTTTTATTAATTGTTTTAACGGCACTGGGTTCTTGCCTCTTTGCCAAACTTATTATCTTATTAACTTATTATTTTTGATGATTCTGGTCGATTTATTGTCAAATTGCCTTTTAAAACACAAGACCCTGCTTGTTTAAATGGTAATTTAACCACAATTGCGCTCAAAAGGTATTTTATGTTAGAAAAACGACTTTTAAAAAATCCTGATCTTAAAGTTGATTATTCTAAGGTTATAGCTGAATATCTTACCTCAGGTCATATGGAAGTGGTGAAACCACATTCTATACATAGTAAGAGAGCGGTATATCTGCCTCATCATGCCGTAGTTCGCAATGATAAAGTCACTACCAAGACACGTATGGTTGTAGATGCATCTTGTAGTGATTCTAATGGCGCTTCACTTAATAGTGATTTGTTGGTTGGTCCATCTCTTCAACCAGAATTACGCCATTTGCTTATGAAGTGGCGTCGTTATCCAATTGGTTTAGTGGCTGACATTGTAAAAATGTATAGGCAGATAAGGATAGCCGAGGAAGACATTGATTTTCAGCGTATTTACTGGCGCGAAAGTCCAAATGTTGATATACAACATCTACGGTTTTTGCGCATAACTTTCGGTACATCTTCAGCGCCTTATTTAGCTGTGCGTTGTCTTCAGCAATTAGCTTACGAAGAAGGGCACCATTATCCATTAGCAGCTCCAAGAGTCCTCAGTGAATTTTATATGGACGATTTGTTGACTGGGTGCTCCACTGTGGATGAGGGATTACAAATTTATGAACAAATGACAGCTTTATTAAAATGTGGAGGGTTTCCTCTTCAAAAATGGTGTAGTAGTAATGCGGAGCTGTTGAAAAAAATAGGAGGAGAATCAAGAGATTTAAATCATAATCTAGAACTCAATTCGGATGATGTTGTGAAGATTCTTGGTTTAAGTTGGAACAAAGAATCTGACGAGTTTCGTTGTACCATCAATCTTCCACCCTTACAATTTCCTGTTACGAAACGGAAAATGATTTCTGACATCTCTCGTCTGTTTGATCCCTTAGGCTGGTTGGCACCGGCTGTCACTACAGCTAAGTTGTTTATACAGAGATCATGGTTGGCTGGCATAGATTGGGACATGGAACTTCCGTCATCCTTGCTGAAAGATTGGATTAAATTTCGGAACGATTTACATATGCTTTCAGAATTTAGAATGCCACGTTGGATTCAGTCGAATAAAGATGACGAACTATTTGAGCTGCACGGATTTTCGGATGCATCTAATGTAGCCTACGCAGCGGTAGTTTATGCGCGTATAATTGACAAAAAAGGGAATGTTCACGTCCATTTAATCACTTCTAAAACCAGAGTCGCTCCGGTTAAGCAAATATCGATTCCACGACTCGAGTTATGCGGAGCCGTACTCTTAACTAAGCTCTTAAGGGAAGTAGCTGAAATATTGGAAATTCCAAAAGAACGACTTTATGCATGGACTGACTCACAAATAGTCTTGGCTTGGCTCAAAAGCCATCCTAGCCGGTGGAAGACTTTTATTGCTAACAGAGTTTCCGAAATCCTTACCATACTAGATGGAAATCAATGGTCGCATGTTGTATCTAGTGAGAACCCTGCGGATCCAGCTTCACGAGGGATACAACCTACTGATTGTGTTCATAATATTCTTTGGTTTCGAGGTCCTGAGTGGCTGCATCTGAAAGAAATTCATTATAGTAATGGTGATTTAGAAGATACAGATTTAGAAGAAAAGAAGTTGAAGTTAAAAAGTCACACTGCTACTATTGATAATGAAATCGTAGATATAATATCACGATTTTCATCTCTGACGAAACTTACCCGGGTTTTATCGTTCTGTCGTCGAGTCCTACGATGGAAAAAATCTGAAAAAGAAAACACAAATCAATGTAGTTCATGGTTAACAGTTAAAGAAATAGAACAAACTTTACTTACCTGTATAAAGATATGTCAGAGACAATACTTTTATGATGATATTGATAGCCTGGAAAAAACGAAGAGATTGCCTAAAAAGAGTAAACTCATCTCCTTGAGTCCATTTTTAGATGCAAATCAAATCCTAAGAATAGGCGGTAGAATTCAGAATGCTTCAGTTGCCGAAAATGTAAAGCATCCTATCATTCTTCCGCACAAATCACACCTTACCAAATTGATAGTTGATGAAGCACACCATAGGACACTACACGGTGGTCCTCAAGCAATGTTAAACTACTTGAGGAGTAAATATTGGATTATAGGTGCAAAAGATCTCGTTCGTCGATTCGTACACGAATGTGTTTCTTGTGTCCGTCAAGTAGCTGAAACAAGACAACAACTTATGGGAGAGTTACCTGCGGCTAGGGTAACTGCAAATAGACCTTTCCACTGTAGTGGTGTGGACTATGCGGGTCCGATTAATATTAGAACCACAAAAGGTCGAGGTCACCATTCCACAAAGGGCTACATATGTTTGTTTATATGTATGGCGACTAAAGCTATTCACCTTGAAGTGGTAAGCGATATGACGTCTCAAAGGTTTTTAGCCGCATTTAAACGGTTTGTTGCACGGAGAGGACATGTTGCTCATTTGTGGAGTGATAATGGGACTACCTTTGTGGGAAGCGCAAAAGAACTCAAAGAACTTTTTAGTACAGAAAGGTCTAGTTTTACAACAGAAATAGTGGATTGGATGACTTCTAATGGCACAGATTGGCATTTCATCCCACCACATTCTCCAAATTTTGGAGGATTGTGGGAGGCGGGTGTTAAATCCACCAAACACCATCTCAAGCGGGTCATAGGCAATAGCACTCTCACCTTTGAAGAGATGACAACACTCCTATCACAAATTGAGGCGTGTCTAAACTCAAGACCCATTTGCCAAATGTCAACCAACCCAGAAGATCCAATTCCCTTGACACCTAGCCATTTTTTGGTCGGAGAGCCATTAGTGCTTGTCCCTGATAACAATTATGAACAGATAAATCTTAATCGTTTGAAAAGGTGGCATTTGACACAGCGTATGGTTCAAGATTTCTGGCGTAGATGGTCTCATGAATATCTGACGCAACTACAGCATAGGTATAAATGGTCGGATCAAGTTACAGAACCTGAAGTAGGGAACGTAGTTTTAGTTAAGGAAGACGACCTTCCTCCCTCTCGTTGGCTTTTTGGAGTCATAGTCGAAAAACATCCTGGTTCGGACAAACTTACACGCGTCGTTTCACTACGTTATAAAGGCAACATAATTAAGCGACCTGTATCTAAATTAGTTATATTACCTGTAGAATAAGCAGATACTTTTGTAGTGTCACATTGTAATCAATTGCATGTTGAATTTTGTGTTATTATTATTTTTTTAATAAGTCACAGTGTCAATTTTTGTTTTTTTTTTTTATTGTATACGTATCTTTTATTTCGTGATGTTTTCGTATAATTCTATTGGTTTATGTAAATGTAATTTTTGCATTAGATGTCTTTCACATTTTATGGACTTGTCCACGGCGGCCGGAATGTTAAGTAATGATGTCCTTTGATAATGTCTGTGGTTGTCAATTTGTATATATTTAAGATCGCTAGATGGCGATGACGTTTATGTGCCTATATATGTGATACATTACATATAATTCTAAATCGCGTATGTAAGTTATTTTATCAAAGACTTATATACTCTAACGATAATTTGAATAAATAACCTTTGCCATAGAACCTTGTGTTTTATTACATTTTTGACTTTTTGGGATTTTTACACAATCAGTTCATTATAAAACGAGGAAAGATAAATCCATGCACTAAATAGTTAAATTAGTATTTTGTAAATAATCATATAATGCTTTATAGCATCTTGCATCACCGAGGAGCCTATGAAAAACGTCACTGTAATTGTCAAGAACATCACTGTCACTGTCACTATCTAGATTTGTTATTTCACTCGCTAAAATCAGTCTAGGGATTTTAAAATCTTTCCGTGAGCATTTCTATAATAAATAATTTAAATCGGCACCTTTTTCGTTACAATAAATACATTTAGAATTGCTGATGATTTTCAGTGCAGATGAGCAGGAGTTTTGCAGTGGTCAAATCTCATACGGCAGATGGTGGTAACTAGATTGCGGTTAATGACAATTATAGACATCAGTATTACCAACTTAGTCGTATCTTACAAAAATCATTTCAAAGTAGTAAAACGAAACAAAATATTGCTATTATATTCGCTAAGATGTCGGGTCCTAAGGCTGGCATTATTATAGCTAGAGAGTTAGATGGTCGAACTCCAGCACACGCAGCATTACAAAATGCTTTGTCTTCACCAAACGTCAGTTTTTATCGGATTTAAAGTGCGATAACGACATAACGTATGGGCGTACCTGAGAAAAGTGACATTTGCGTGTAGACAAAACTTTCTCGAGTTCGTTATTCTACGCTTGCTATTCTTTCCTAATGGAATCAAATAGGAAGAACTGGATAAATCTACCACGTGGATCCACTGGATTGGAGGGTGGAACCCATTTAAGGCGAGATTGTGGAAAATTCCCATTTTTTTTAAACCAATTTTATTTACCCTAAGGCTGTGCAAATATTTACCAGATAAAAATCATTTTATGAAAATTAGACATAAGAAAATAAAGATGATCGATTGCTTACTTTAAACAGAAACATCAATAAATTTCTTTAATTTGTTAGAAAAAAAAAATCGAAAAATGATTCTAAATAGTTTTTTTGGACCGATTTTACGTTTAATATATTTCATCTTAACTATATAAAATATATAACAACATAGGCTTTGAAATAAACAAAAGTTTTTTTAAAAACTGCATTTGTTTATTTTTTTCAGTGACTTAAAATATATGAAATATGGGAACGTAAGCGGATGTACATGTTTAAATAAACAATAATGGTGACTGTAAGAGAGGTCGCGCGGCGGTTGCTGCGAGGGCCGGTACGGCGTGTGCACCATGCGCGTGCGCACACGACACACGCGGCGCGCGCGCCTGCGACGACCGCACATCCCGCGCACACCACCCTCCGGGTATCCCTGCCTCTCATAACCGTAGGTAAGTGTGCACATAGCAAGTACTCATTAAATTAAGTACCTAATTCAGTACTATCACCTTAACCCCTTATCATTTATTTGTCTGTGACAGATTTGTATTTTAGGTACGTCTATTCTGTGCCGAATCTTGACACTTAGTATTATGTGAATAAAATAGCCGGCATGCTACCTACTTCCACTCTTTTTTTCTGTTCTGTCCCCCTACCTGTAGGATTTATTACATAAACCATTTCTATTTCAATGTCTATTTCAAATTTAGCCCATTAGTTTTTATATATTTAGAGCAACTTTTATAAAGAAGAGGTTCCAAATTATCTTCCTAATAAGTAATAAGCCTGACAACTTACTCGTAACTAATACACCTCGTTTTCCACTAATAATTCCCAATTTTAAAGAATTTGCCGCATAATATTAAAATAAAAGTTGATGTTTTATACTCCATAAATTTTCAATTACGATAAAAAAATTAAGGACGAATTCAGGAAATGTTTTTTATAATAAATGTGTATTATATATGTCGCATCATCATTACGAAGATCGTTTGATTTAGTTTCTTTTATTTTAATTGCTAGTTACTCGATTACTTAATTACTCGATTGTAAAGAGAGCGTGATCATCGATACTTTTGATTTTATTAGAATGGTGACACTGACTTTGACAGTTCGTTTATAAAAACCAAGTTGCCGCCATTTTGGCACACATTCTGTTTTCGATCGCCGAGGAGTAAAGACATCCGACTAGATCACGCTCATCTCGTTATATTTTCGTATGAAAAGTGATAAAAAGGAACAAATCCACGTTGGTATACTCGCCTGCAGTGTTATTTTAAAGATAGTCCATCCGATATGGACGATCTATTTGGGCTTCGTAATAGCCCCTTCGGACTACCCGCCGTTATCAGAAGTGGGATGTAACCGACCAAGTGGACATACAGATGTCATGGATATGGAAATTCTTGTTGCGGTAACAAAATCAAAACTTTTTCGCCCTTATCCACTTTAGTCACATGTACTGTCGTCGAGTCACATGTGCATCTGCCCGAACTCGATCCTGGCAATATTTCTGCCTGTCGATAAAAGAAGAAACATTTGAAGCCTTCGTGGGGACAACCAAGCGTTCCTAATATGAAGAACAGTTGCTGAACAGATAGTCACTACTCTCAATATACCTGTAGCCGAAGAAGATGCAATGGTGGCAAACCTGATGGCTCGTCTGCTGGCATTGTTATTGAGCGACGTGTAGACGTCTGCATCATTGCTACCCTTGCTAGTATTTTGCAGCATTTTGGTGAGTCGTTTTCATTTTGTTATGATACTGAAGTAGAGTGCTCCTTTATAAAGTAATTAATATCGTAAAGAATTCATAGTAATCGAATGAGTAACACTCTTAAAATCACTAGTTAAGTGAAAATAAAATTGAAAAAGTGTGATCGCATTGCTGGTTAAGTGGTGCAATCGAGGTTCTCAAACCAGTTTGTTGTTTATGCATACTTTCATTGTAAATAAGATTTGATGATAGGATTTATCAACTCTTAAATTCTTATAACTAAAGAAACTTAAAGTCAAAACGGTCTCTAATTATTAAAGATTCGATTGGTTTCAAAATCTTGCTTTTGTTGAAGTCAGGACTGACCGAGAAAAGAATCTACCGCGCTATACATCAATTAGATGCCTAGTTAAAACATTTTCATGAAAGTTCAATTCAATAATCAATAATTTCTTATGAATCCCATCCAATGAACTTCCCAATTTTTAAGTCTTTTCACAGAGCCTCTGGGGACCACGGTCATAAATAAGGCCCAGACCCCAGCTTCGTCCTGCCTGTTTCCTTTAGAACCTCTGGGGACCACGGTCTCATGTAAGACCCAGACCCCAGCATCGACCTTTCCCCATCTCATTTTGAGCTACTGTGGATCATGGCGTACAGGACCGCTCATGACCACAGCATCACACTTGCTACGAGTACAATAATCAATGCAATTATGCGTGGAGCATTTGCATTGACCAAATATACTTGATAAAACAGCTCATTTTCCTAAACCATTTCCTAAAATTTCCTAAACCTTTCCTAAGCAACTTAACTACCGTTTTTATAACAATTGTGATAAAATACCCGTTGGTAATAAATTTGATGTTTAAAAAATGATGGTCGAAATCTAGTTCAAATCAAAATTCCCAAATGACTAGGTTTACAGATACCTAGCTCAGAAAAGCTCTTCTATTTTGTTACAGAAACGGGACTGGCGCAGAGCACGCACCGTCTCCCAGAATGGCCGTGTCGCATCATCATTACGAAGATCGTTTGATTTAGTTTCTTTTATTTTAATTGCTAGTTACTCGATTACTTAATTACTCGATTGTAAAGAGAGCGCGATCATCGATACTTTTGATTTTATTAGAATGGTGACACTGACTTTGACAGTTCGTTTATAAAAACCAAGTTGCCGCCATTTTGGCACACATTCTGTTTCCGATCGCCGAGGAGTAAAGACATCTGATGACATCACGCTCATCTCGTTATAGTTTCGTAAGAAAAGTGATAAAATGGAACAAATCCACGTTGGTATACACGCCTGCAGTGTTATTTTAAAGATAGTCCTCCGATATGGACGATCTATTTGGGTTTCGTAATAGCACCTTTTGACTACCCGCCGTTATATATTTTTTTTGGTGTGGTTCTTTACTCTTGAAGATTGCATAAAATATCGATAAATTTACGGGTAAATATCTTACTAATATATTATAAGTAGTTCCTGTTGTAAATAAAACGTCACATTTCAATCAATGCAAAGGCTTTATTTGACTTCATTATAAACAGTCCTTACTATCTAATAGTTAAGTAACAATGCGTGAATGCGATTCGAAAGCCGTCTCTTCGTGCGGCGCATTTTAAATACATTTTTTAAAATATAATATATAAATTAAAATAAATATTCTTTGATAAATATATCGTGTGGCTTCGGAGCTAAATTAGGCGTCTCGGCCGTCGTCCCGGGATGTCTTTTTCTGTTTTAAATAGTAACAAATATACAAAAAGTGGAGATTAACGCACACCGGAGGCGGCGGTCGACACGCTCCTAGCACCTGGAATGTTCCCGCCGCTCGGTTCCCGCGTTTACGCGAAAGGCAGGGGCGAGCGGCCCCTATGTATTTTTTTTTTAATTTTCGTCGGGCACCGACCGGACGGACGGCGCCCGGACGGCCTAGACGGACCGTTTTACCAAATTCAAATTCGAAACCGGACGATTCACGGGCGGGCAATCGCGTGAATCCAAAATAAAGTCGGACATATCGGGGGAATCCACGACGGTCGTCACCTAGAGGGAAAGCCGGCGACCGCCCCAGAGCCCGCGACTATAAAACATATCGTCGCTAACGATCGTACAGCGATAACAGGATAACATAATTAGCAAAAGAAATAGTTCGTAAAAATTTAGCCGCGTTCACATATGCGTAAAATATGTACGGAACAGTTCCTCGGGCGAGCGGGTCGTGGATGAGTTTCGTGCGGATCAGAGCGGCGGCGGGCCGTCGGGGTAGCGCAGCACGGGCTCGAGGCCGGGCCCCGCGTCGCGGCAGCCGGAGTGCGCGTGCGGCGCCAGCGCGGCGGCGCCCAGCAGCAGCAGCAGCAGCGCCTGGAACGGCAGCGACGCGCGCGCCACGCGCGACACGAAGCGCAGCCCGCGCGCCACGCGCCCCAGCTCCTGCTCTTCGGATTCCTCACTCAGCACCACGCTGCGAATGTACAATTTTGTTTATGAAACGGTCCGTTTCTGTTGCACCTGCAGAAGTGTTGCTTCGAAGAAACTTTACGGTTTCATCCATTCTTTGTTGTTTTTACTTTTAAATAAATATAATAATACAGTACCACGAGCGCATCTTATTAAAAATAATATGATTAAAATAAATATAAAATGTAAAAAATACAATAAAATGTTTATTTATTTATCTGTTTATTATTATCTGGCTAAAATAGTTTAAATTGTGACGTTTTGGTAAAAAAAATAACAGCGAAATAATTAGATCCAATAAGTGAATGATATTATTATTCGTTGTGACGAACTGACATAATAATTATTATTCCAAGCAACTGAAATTTGTAAATAGCAAACGCTCATTTGAATTTCTAGTTTGTAAATATCGAATTAAAAAAAATAATTCAGTATCTAGTTGATCAACATGCCAGGGTGAAATAAAACAGTTCGCGTCGTTTACTATGTATTTTCATGATGGTATTGTATACAAAATGAGACTCCAGCAGTCAACAACTGGTTCGCAGATACGTTTAACTTACTTTAAGTACTATTTCTTTTAAAAAACTACCTACAAAATGTTATGCAACTGAACAGGTGTTAGGCATAACTACCACGTGATTCAAGCGCGTTACTTACTCTGACTCGTCGAGTGGCGGCAGGGTCATCGTGGAGATCTGCTCCTCTTCCTCCTCCATAAGCTAGAGGGGGAGGACAAAAGGTATACGTCAAAATACGGTGCGAAGCAACTACAGTGGTATTAAAGGTGTAGGAAAGTGAACACTGGAATGAGCTTGTATTGAATTTCATTAGTTAGTTATGTTCTTCGTAGCCGCTAGATGTCGTCAAAGTAAAAACCTAATCGCGTATTCAGATTTATCTTGCAGCTTGTTATTAAAATACCGTCTCAATAATGAATGTCCAATGTTCACATTTCGACAATACAAAGGATACTGCTAAATTTCAATTTTGTATCATGGGTTTTATCAGTCCTTTCCAATGTTTATCGGTCGTTCCGAATTCTGTCTACTGACAGCTAAAAAAACAAACAAGCTTAGTGTACAAAGTGCTCGTGTTCTGGGAAGCGGTGGGAAGCAAAGGAATCACTAATATAATTACTGTAATATTATGCTGTAATTTGTTACGTATCATTCTACAATAATAGTAATTAAGTTGAAGAAAAAGGGTCTTTTGTTGTCAGTAATATCCTGCTTTTAGGAAAATAATCCTTTAATAGAAAATCCACAGGCCATCATTCATGCGTTTAAATTATTGCAGATATGATCAGGACCCACTGTGAAGCGGATGAGCTCTAGTTATTAAATCTTCAGTTTTTGGCCATTTTTGTGTTTTTAATTGTGTCTAATTACTAATCCAAGATTTAGAGAAGTCATCGGATGCAAGATTGTTTTTTTTTTTTAGATTTAAATGGAGATACAGAAAAATGTCCACCACTTCTGTATATATATATAGAGGCGATCAGGGGTCTGATTCTAGTGTTGCATGTTACTTTAAATAGGTAGTAGTAAGTAGTATTGTGTGATGTATACCTGTGGCGCGGCGGCGGCCACGATGGCAGCGAGCGCGGAGGCGGGCGCGGAGGCGGCGGCGGGCGCGGGGCGGCGCGCCAGCGCGGCGCCGAGCTTGAGCGCGTACACCGCCGCCAGCTTGCGCAGCGACTGCAGCCGCAGCCGGAGCTCGCCCAGTCTGCGCAACGACGGCTATTCTATACTCCGCTTACATACACACGGCTGCGTGTCGGGTTCCCACGATCGAAATCTCACAATTGAATTTAAACTCTTTTACTACATTAAGATTTGCTCTCGAGATGCTCTAGCGACCTGCAGTGCAATTTGTAATAAAATCAGCTCTGGTTGGGCGCTGTCGCAGATCAGAGGTTCGATGAAATGAAACCTGTATTGCCGTTCCCTCTCCGCCAGGGTTGCACTCGTCTTGGAGTTCGAGATTGTTTTCATAATAGAATAGAATTGCTATACGTTAAAGAGACAGTGAATTGATCCAGTGAGACTTGATAACAATTTTCGCCTCATCTTGTATACATGATAATTTCTTTATCCGTGTTCTTTTGAAATGTTACAAAATTCAAAGACACATCTTATAACGTTTTGTTTTGTAACTTTCACAAAACACGTTCTTAATTTATGATCACCTACAGTTAACGCAAGTAAATTCAATGATTTTTAAAAGTTTACATTGTATTTTAATTATAAACGACTGTTTGTTTTCCTAAATAAATTTAAAAAAAATATTTAATTTTTTTTTTTAGATTTTTTGTTAATGATATTAAATAATTCAAATCTTAAAATAATTTTACACTATTAAAAAAAAATTCTGTATATTCTAGAAGATAGGTGAAATAAATACGAGAGGAGGCAAAAATATTTTTAGAATAAACTGTAGATTTAGATCACGAACCAGTTACGAAAAAAATTTGTTAAATTAGAAACGATATAAAGTATGGGGCCCGAAAGACATACCTGCGGCATATGTCATCCGAATGCGGCGGCGCGTCTTCAGCACGCAGCAGCTGCGCGGCGTCGTGCAACGCGAGCACGCGCGGTTCGGCGGCCGCGAGCTCGTCCCTGAGTTCGCTGAAGCGCCTGAAGTCGCGCTGCAGCGCATCCGCGGGCCGACTCAGCCGCAGCGGCTCCCGCGCCCGCACGCTGCGTTCCGCGTTCGAGAGCCGCGACACAAGCTCGACCACTGCCAACGGAACGAACGATAAATCGAAACCGAAAGTAAAATTACGTCAATGAAACAATAATTTTATATGAACACCAGCTTCCCGCCACCGGCTTTGCCCGCGTGGTCCTGTTTATTTGAATATCGATTCATATTGAATAGTAAAGAACGGTAACTATGGTAATGTTTTCGAAGTCAATTCGATGCAAACAAATGAAAGAGCGATAAAATCTACAAAAACGAAATTCAAATTTGATATCCTTTATTCAGCTAGGTTATTACAAGCACTCGTGAAAGTCGAAAGTTATGCCATTGATTCATAAATCTACGGCGGTACACTGTGTACTGAAAAGAACCGGCAAGAAGCTCGACGAGGGTTGCTATTAGGGAGATAAATATACATATACATATATATATATATATATATATATATATATATATATTTAATAGAGAGATGTAAACGAAAAGTATAAGTGGTAGTACCGATGTCGTGGAACTGCGTGTTGTGCACGAGCGCGCGCTGCAGGCGGCGCTGCTGCGCGGCGGCGCGGCTGCAGGCGCGGTCCCAGCGGCGGTTGGCGCGCGCCAGGCGCCCGCGCACGCGCTCCGCCGCGCCCGCGTCCGCCGCGTGCGCCGCCACGTGCGCGCCCACCACGTTCAGCGACACCACTATGGACTTGTGCGAGTCCAGGTCCAGGAGGAACTCGCGGTGGTCCTGCCGACGAGAAACACGTTAATGTAGTTGAAGATGCGAGATCGTCGTCGGTCAGTTGATGTATAAGGTGCAGGCCTCGGTTGTGGGTGCGAATCGGTGCATGTTAATGTTCTACACGTGCGGCCTAGACCGATGACTCGAAGTGTTCCCGATACACAAAGGAGATCGAGGTGGTCCAGTAGGGTCACTCCACAATATTGGAATCTCATCGATACCGACTTTTTATAGCTTGATAATTTATAATTTTAATTACCTATGTATATTTACATAGGTAATTAATTACTTGTTTAATTCTCACAATTTCGTCCACGTACCTGAATGACGTCTTCCAGAGCGTCATACTGTTCGGGAGGGTCTGTTCTGGCGGCTTCAGTGGCTTCAGCGAACTGCAGCCACTGTTCCAGCCGCCAGAGGTCGTTGTCCAGCTGTTTCCAATTACGCTCCGAGCATAGAGGACAAGTCAACCGACCCGATTCACTGTTAAAAAATAATCAAAATCAATGAAGACACTTTAACCTTTGTTATTGTTGGATCTTAAATAATAAATATTATGTTACTATAGGTACTACTAGATTCATTCTGGATTACAGGCGTTTTAGGGTCGATGCAAATCTGACGGAAGATCCACCAACCGTCTCTTGTAAGTATGCATTAGTACGCGACAGATATTCCGTTGAGTATGCAAGGTAAAATATCATATCATACACGTACTTATTTCTCAGTTCTGACATTCTATGACCGACAGTTACGCAACGCATCTTCCGTCAGATATGAATCAACCCTTAACTAAATAAATAACTAAGATAATATTAATTTGGATTGTTATAGATAAAGGTATTAAGCGATTTTCAAAAGAAATAAGTGTGCAGTGCTAATATTGAAATGCAAGTAATTTTAACATTGGGTGCTTTTTCTAATTACAGTGTATTTAACAGTTACTAAATAAAACATGCATAACCACGTTTTCAGCTGTCCAGTTAGCTATTTGTACATAAACAAATCAATGATAACCAAATTAATTTCATCAAAACTGTAAAAAACTGATTGTGCTATTCCAACAAAATTACACATGTACACATACCATGATCTATGTGTAAACTTTTCTTAAAGTAGGTTAAAATGCCAAAACACTGCGAAAACAAAAAGGTGTAAGTGAAAAGTACACTACTTGTACATGCTTGATACTTTATAATTTATGATTTATAGAAACTTCTTTTTTATTAAAACGCTTCGATATAATATAATATTTTGCTACTATTCTAATTCTATCTAAATTAATACTTTAATTGAATCTAATAATAAAACTAGTATAATAAATCTACAAAACACGGACAGCACAAAACGTGGCCAATGAGATTAGGCAAGCGGTACTCACTGTTCACACGTGAGCGCGTAGGACGCCGTGTGGGGCAACCTAGGACCAGAAAAACGCAAGTTTAGAGCATGCCGGGTTAGGAAGCGTTACACACTCGCGGACCGGCTCGTAAAATATATTCTATTTCTTTATTTTTTTAATGACAAGGAACATTAAATTTTTAACCTACAAGAAAAATTGAGTAGTTACAAATAACACAATTAAGGCGCATTTACTAGTTACCTACTAAAAATCTAAATGGGCGTATTACTTCTCTCGTATAATTTTGTCCTATGCGTAACACAGTACGTACAATTTCTACTGTTATGTGTACTTCTATAATTGATGTTATCCCGGCTTGTAAAGGTCAATATTATTTTTTAGAATTGTTTATGATAAGAAAACGTCTGTGTACTCATGTAGAACCTCTACATTGTTTGTATCGTGCTGGAGTGACGGCATCCTTGTAACATCTATGCACTGTTTACAGCATCAAGCCCATCACCAAAATGCAAAATCTGTGCTAGTGCTACATTAGAAACATCAACGACAACGTAACTTGAACCGATTACCGAGGAATATAGGTACTACAAACAAAAATTCATAGGAAAATTGACAAAGAATCGAAATTTAGGTCTCTAAGTATGGTCTTTTTGCTCAGTACACCTACGGTTGATTCGTCTTGTGTGTTGTTATCAAACTCTCTTGGAAATGGTATGGTTTTTTCATAGACATTTTTTTGACGGAGGGTAAAAGGATTGACTTCGTTTCTTAGAATTTTAATGTAGTACTAGAAATGGCTAAATAGAGTTCAAGTCTAATCATATTGTACTAATGCCAAAATAAACAACATTCTTGGGTCATCGGTTCTTGGAAGGGATAGAAAAAGGAACAAATTGATTGAAAGTGCGTCGTTGGTACGGAAGATATTCGCTAGCAATATCGAAAAGTTAAATTTTCAAATTGTCCATCGTTAGATTGATATCACTAGCGAGTACCAAATAGACAAACAATATAAAAAAGCGGAAAGCTTACCTCAAGTTGTTGATTTGCAACTCGCGTTTCTTGGCCTGCGTTAGCAAGTCTTCGTATCTCAAAGACAAAGACTCCACTTCTTTTAGCATCGCTTCGTCTTCCGTCGCATCGCATTCGGTTAGTAACAACTCTGATAGATGTTTGGCTAGTTCTAGAGATTGGCTCGGTTTCGCGCCGGCCTTGGCGATTTCCTTAGCGGCCGTTGCCAACTCATCGCCACTTGCGTTGTCTTGAGGCTGGTGAAGTAAAGCTGTCTGAAGAGCTTCGAGCGATTCCGACGTTTCTTTGACGGCAGATTCTAGCTCTACTCTATAGGTTTCTTTGGATGTGAGTGTGTCCACTTGTAGGGCTGCGTCTGTTTCCCATTTCAAAGTGTCCACCTAAAAAGAAATCATATTAACATTTCAATATCTAATGATATTATACTTTAAAAACCCACTATCGCATTTAAGAATGCTATAACCGCTGGCCAATGAAAGACGCAGTACAATTACAAAATAAATAAAGTTGTGTTTGGAAATGGTCCCATTACTTGTTTAAAGAGTTATACCTGTACGGCGGTGTCTACGTCTTGTATGAGTTCCGCGCGTGCGATGTGAAGCCGCGCGCATACGTCGGCGTAGAGTGCGCGGTACTCCGCCACCATGTCTGCCACGCCTTCCGCACTTAACCCCGTAGATAATCGATCCGCCTCACTCACCAACGCCTCACATTCCATCAACTCTTGTTCTACATTCTAAAGATCATAACGTACAGTTGGATAAAAATGAACGAGAATTAAAACCCATATCGATAGTTATTTATACTTTTTAATAGCCAAGATCTCTGATCACTATTGGATTTAAGAAAATAAATCGATAAATAATTGTGAATTATTCGCACAGCTTACCTCTAATTCTTTAAGAGTAGCATCCTTGTCCAGCGGTGTCGGCGCGAGATGTAAAGCTCGTGTCAATCGCACGTCGGCTTCGGCTAACGCGACGACCGCTTTACCATGAGCGGCAATGAATTGTCTGTGAATATCTGCGCCCGCTGCGTCCACTCTTCCTCTCAGTTGTTGCCAACGTCGTACCGCGGCACGCAATCTCGCCGCAGTATCCGCGCCTTCACCTCGAAGCTCTAACCCTCGAGAGGACGCCAGTCGACTGTAGGAATCTTCTAATCGTTTAACGTCGCCTTCCAATGCTTCCAGATCTTTTATAGCAGCTTTCGACACGCTTTCGTCCTCTGGCTCGCCTCGCTGTTTCCTAGTTTCGATCTTCTCAACTCTTTTTTCGATCGCATCGAGCTTCTTCTCGACTTTGGGCAACAATGAATTCGCCAACTCGGCCGATTTGCGAACCTCTTTAAGGATGTTCTTCCGTTGTTCGGACATATCGCATATACATTTCCACTTCTTTTCGACGATGTCGTATCCAGTGCGTAAATTGCGGAGATCGAAATTACCTTTTAAGACATCTGCGTCGTTGAACACGAGGAGACAGAGATTTAGTGTTTCCCCTACTTCACCGCTTTCCTTTTCGATGCTCTTTTGTATATCGTCCCTGTCTTGGAATCGGTCGTCCACGGCTCTCGTTGTCAAATGTTCTAATAGTATAGGTGCTGTTAATCGGGACTCAACAGTGTGTAATGTAGTTCTGATTTCAGTTAAGCGTTTCTCGAGTTGTGATATGGTGTCGAGAAGTTCATTTATCTTAGCGATTCGGTTCTTTCCCGTTTCTTGTACTTTATTCCAGCGGCCTTGGACATCCTTCAATTGTTTTGAAGTACTTTTGCTATATGACTTTTCGTCCTTCTTTGATATTTCAATTAGCATAGTACCAGTTTCAGAGAGCCATTCGAATTCTCGTTCTTTCATAGCGGTTTCAGCTTGAATGTCGGAATTTATCCTCCTAATTAAATCTTGTGGGTCTAAAGCACTAATTTCACTTCCTTGACTCGATGACTCTAAGCGAGACTCAAGGATTACTAACCATTCAGAGAAGCGTGTTAGTCGGGTTTCGTAAACATTGTAAATTTCTAGTCGTTCTTGTAATCTATGAATTATTATCGATAGCTGATGTTCCAGATCTGCTCTTTGTTGCGTAAGTTGCCATAACTTTTGATTTACTATCCTTATATCCTGGGGACTAAGGCATTCCTTAAGTTGTTCTTGTACAACACTTAGCGCTTCAATCTGCATTTCAGTCTTTTCAATTTTAGCTTTCATATCTGTAAATTTATCAACTGCTTTTTTCAATTGAGGCCTGGATAGTCGTTCTTCATCATTATATGACTTGATTTCGTCTTGAGTTTTTGAATATAGTTTGTGAAGGTCATTAGTTAACGATTCGTATTCACCTATTAAGGCAAGTATTCGCGATAGGAAATCTCGCCATGTATCAAGACTGGCCTGTAAATTGTCAACTCTCTTAACAACGCCAGCATATTCTATTCTGACAGATGCTCCGTAAGCTTCTTCGGTAAATTCGAGTACTTTCTTGAGATTTATAAGTAACTTTTCCGTTTGTTTTCGCCCTTCAGGTATTTTATCGGAGAGATTCTGTATCTTATTCAGTACTTTATTTATTCTTTTTATGTGGACATATCTTAGCTGAAGTTTTTCTTTTTCACGTTCCATTTCTTTGAGCCACCGCAGTAGTTCAGTATTTATTTCTCTATAATCATCCCATGCAGCTATTCGCGTACAGACTTCATCTTGTCTTTCCACTATTCTCGCTAAAGTTTCATTGTGAAGATTAGTCAGCGTGTCAAATTTGTCGGCAAGATCCCTGTTTTTCAATTCTTTGTTTTCATTCATGAGAACTGATCTTTGAGATGTGAGTAGGTTTCGATGAACCCTGCACAAACGACGGTGCTCTGTCAAGTTTTCATAATCAGCTGGTACTGAACCTGAGAGGAATGACTGTAAATCAAGTAGATATTCATGCCAGAGGCGCAGCGCGATTGCCGCGTCTCCTGATCTGACTAGTGCGGTAGACAGTCTATGATAATGTAGGAACGTATCCCTGAACATCGCCTGCCATAGTTCCAGGATTCTCACTATCGAATGCTCATCGGATACATCACGATCGATATCAGGTAGTTCAGCTGTTGCTGGTGCTATATCAGCTTCACTCTTCCCCAGTGCTATGAGATTGTCTCGTAAGGCTATAAGTTTATCTTCCACTATCTCTCCGTCTTCGTGAACTGGGGCTAGGTCCTGTAACATACAATAAAATAATTATCACCCGCCATTCATACGCTCTGCCATTTACAATGATAAAAAGGTCAATGTGTCATTCCAAAGTTCGTTACTCCTCGCAAATAATTGTACGTTTTCGTGCAATGTAATTGAATGTAGCAATTAACACGAAATAACGTAGTTAAAATGCGCTAAGTGTAATTATAAAAATACTGATCATATCGCATTGTGATTCCTCTGGGATCAAATACATACTAAGTAACCGTTAGTAAGTCATTGGTATTGTTGAACTGACTGTGGTAACATCCGTTGAGCGGTATTCTTATTTAGGACAATCTATTCGAGCAGCCCTATAAACAAAACCCATTAACAACTATTGAAGCAAGTCGTATAAATATTTTAGATGTTGATTGATATTTACCCATATATTTATGAACCCTTAAATTTAATATGTGGATGCAATAGAGGAGACAATATATTAATTTAATTGCAAGAGATTAGTAAATGGGATAAGACTTTTTGATTCTGGATAGCGATACCCATCGTTTATTTCTAATGCTCACATAATACCGTTTTTTCACCTGCTCCAGAAACGAAGTCTAGAGTAAAATATTTTTCACCTGTTTCATATCGCAGAACGTTTTCTTAGCGTGCTGCGCTTTAGCCCTCGCAAGCTGTCTAGCTTCTCCCAGGTCTGCGAGGGCCTGAACCGCGCCGGCGACGAGTTGCAGCCGCCTGGCCAGTGCGTCGGCGTCAGCCTGCAGTGCTCGCGAACCTGTCTCTGCCGCCACTCGGGCTGCGAGCGAACGGAGCTCCGCCACTCTCGATTCTTGCTCTAAACATGCCTGTTGAAATTTTGAAACACATAATTTAACTGTAGGGCTTTTGATACTGAAGTATGAGGTTTTTATGAATATTTTTGTGGGTTTCCGTATACTTTCTTTAAAATTAAAACTAGTTGGTGGTAATTCTGTTTTAACAAACTTAAAAAAAATATTTTAGGTCTAAACAAGTCAAATGCGTTTTCGATTATGTTAACATAAGGATAACAGAAATAAACTTTTTATATTACTAGCGATTTCCTCGCGCCATCGGCCACGTAAATTATAGCTTATCTCATACGCGTATGATGTAGTTTCCCGTAGGTGATATAATTTATTTTAAATCAATCTTTATTTTTTCCTATATCATAAAATGAGAATAAATCTCGAAGAGAATATTATAGTTTCACAAATATACAAATATCTATTCTACATGTAACCCTTTCTATAATTGAGCGTGATTCATAAACTACCTAGACATAATGAATAATCTTTTTAAATGGGTACATAATAAAGAATAGAACGCTGAATAGCTTCCTTTCCCCTATTGCTATTCATATCACACTGGAATTAGATCACTGAATGTATGGTGACCTGTTTTCTTAAGCATTAAGTCATAAGCTGTTAGCAGAATTTAAATAATTCGTTTTCCGTCATATGTGCTTTAATTTTATGACTACAAAGCTACATTTCAATTTCTTTTATAAACAAACTGAAACTATTTAATTCCAAAAGACATATAAATTAATTAATCCTGAGTACGTTAGTCTTCTTGGTGATACTAATAAGATCAAAGATGCTTTAATATACTGTAGTCTTATGTTTGTAGTTACGATGAATAACTGTAAAAATTCGAATTTTGTGGTGCTAGGTACGATATCTTGAAACTTCCACATCCAGTCCGTATCTTCATGCATCTGCAGCTTTTGAAGATACTGACTGGGTGTGGAATTTGCTATATCGTAATTTCACAGTTACAGCACTCGACTTCTGTAAGATAACGTCTGATTCAATTAAAGAGATAATAAAGCTACTTAATCAATATGGCGTAGCATCCATAATCTGTTCATAGCACCCATAATCTGTGTGTAGCACACATAATCTGTGCGTAGCACACATAATTTATGCGTAACACGTCTATCAGCTTGGCACTGCTTCTCATATTTTGATTTATCTGATTTGAGTTCGCCAGTTGCTTTTGTCTTACGCCGTGTTATGACTATTTACAATGTCTGCATTTCAATTTGTTTAGATATTCATCTCGTGAGTGAAATAGAGCATGAAATGAGGAGATGATTATAGAACTATGTTCAAGGAGAATATTTAGGTAAATTTGTATATTCCTAATAAACACAAACATTGAGTGGAATCAAGGACCAAGAATGGATTTTTTCTGCGCTTGTCTTCTTCCTGGAGGGCAATGTAAAATATCAAAGGGCAAACAAAGTAGGCTATGTTTATCCACAAACGAAAATTCAGAAAATTTCTAATCATTCTTGTAATTATAATAAATGTGATAGTCTGTGGCACCAGAGGTAGTTTCGGATTGTCCAAAGTCATATTAGCATTTCGAATTTAGGTGAAATTTTGTTTTCAGCAAAACAGAATAAGCCTTCAACTCCAGAATAAATCGCTTAACTTTTTAATTGTGGTGAAATAGCTGAATACATTTCGCGTATGGATTTAGCACTTGGATATGATTAATAATTACTACTTAAAACTTAAGTTAGGATTTGTATTCTGAATTCTATGAAAAAAGCTAAACCGTAAAAAATAACACTGGCCTTAGCAACAGTCCATATTTTCATGAAACCGGGCGAGATTTTGTGTGAAATTATTAAATTCTTATTTCATATTTTAGAGTAGATAACAGTTGATTGTATTAAAGAAAGTTAAAAACGTTTAGTTTAAAATTATTTTTAATTCAAGATTGTAGACTAATTGAATTTCTCACTAATGGAATGTTATGACAAACATTTCCATAGCTTATTTACTTAACCATTTCACTTCAGAGTTTTCATGTCCCTTAGATAGGTATATGAGATATCTCATTTTAAATTACAGCTTATTTGGTATATTTATATTTTTAACACGAGTATGTAATCAGTGAACTTTATTCCAAGAAAGTCTGCAGTTTTTAGTTTACGTTAGATATTATACTAGGTGCGTGATATTTCAGAAAGAACAATGCAATTACTTAAGCGGGTGAGCTCACCGCTGCCCTTCCCTAATTCGGTTAACAGCTATGGCGATATTACTTTGGAACATAAATATGTATATTGTGTGAAAAGATAATATTACAAAATTGTGAGAAAAAAAATAGCCTAAGAAAGCGAAAACACGCTATTTTCTTTACTTCTACGTCATAAATGTACTTATGTAATTTATCGGGTAGATAATTTATTATTTGTAATTGATCTTTCTGTTATTTTGATATAAAAACAAAACTTGATATATCGCTGTTGGTTTTATGAAGCTACCTTAGAAACATTTGCTTTCAAATAAAACATTTTTCAAAAACTGGTTATTAATAATTTTGTAAACATACACGTCAACAAAAACATACGACCTCTTCTTTTTTTGGTTTTGGATTCATTGAGAAAAAGAATTTAGCATTGAAAATTGTTTGAACCCCTGGTAATATATTTTTTACAACAAAAAAAGTGAAAATTATCTGTGTCAGTTCACGTCTGCATAAAAACGTCGAAAACTGTTCGGTCAACAAAAATAATATAACAATTTGAAATATGTGATAAACATTCAGTTTTAATTCAATAATTATTATTATTACTTTAAATGTGCCTATAAAGTCTAGAGAGAATCGGGGGCAGTTCACAACAAAGTATATCATAAAAAGTACAAAAAAAAATATACCCAAGCAAATTATAAAAAGCCAACTTGTACATTTATTCTACCAATATTTTTTAATGAATACCATTGCTAACAGCGAAATATCAATCTTTATAATAGATTTCTACATTATTACTAGGTAGGTAATTTAATTAATTTATTCAACGCGAAAATCATAGTATTCTATTTCTTATGTTATATTATACGTAAATAATATAACATAAGACTAATTAAACTGGTATAATTAATGTTTACGTGAACAACGATTATTATCGATTAGTTCAAGGTTTCTATATTAACGAATAGTTAAAATATAGAGCATTACAAACGCATGTATTTTGTTAAACTAACATACCCGATAGTTATTGATAGTTAATTGAAAATAACCGGCAAAAATTTACTTAAGTGGGATTTTAATAAATCTTGTTTATTTCCTTATAAGTATTGTAATAAATGTCAATAAAATGTATTGTATAATGGTGTAATATTAGGGCAACTTTTTTCAAAGTGTGCTTCACGAAAATTCTGAATATATTTTGGCAAATGATTAAATAGTACCTATAATAAACGCTACGTATGAAATTAGGTTTTGTTTTAGGGCTACATATACAGCGTGTTTGGTAATACCTGTATAATCCCGAATATGGCACATACGGTATGATGAATAGAACCCAGAATAATGATCACTAAGTCTGAAACCCTGCACATGACCTAGATATTTAGCTTTTTTCTTCGAAGTAAAACTGTACGCTGACAACCCTAAAAACAGCTGTTGTTCTAGGAAACGAGAGAAAGTGAGAGGTAATGAGAGAGAGAGAGCGAGTACGCCGGGACGGCACGTATAAGCTTTCAGGGTTGTAGCATATTAATTAAAAACAAATTGTTCAAATATTTGTATGAAAATCTCAATTTACGTGAAATTGTTTTTTGACATATTAATTGTGTTCTTTGTGCTAGGTTGTATGGCCATGTTTCGGGATTATACATGTTTTACCAAACATCCTGTAAATATTTGGTTTTCAAAAGGGGTTCCATCGCTAAAAAGTTTGAGAATCACTATATTAGAAGTTGTAGAAGTTGCTATTTGTTTATTTTAGTCAAGCCCAATTGAAGCTAAAATATTTAGTTAAGGATGTTATATTGCATATTTGCTACTAAGTATCCTGTTAGAAATTAGTTTGAATCGATTTGTAAATTTATATTGCGTCCCGCATATGGTATACCACGCATCATACTTCGTTTTAACTCTTGCGCATTCCTATACATATAGTCCACATCCGTTGCCACGGGTCATTGCTACATTTGATAAGTATAGTAAGATATAACTTATATTTATTATCTCTACTTTTATATTATTAATGCCCAGAATACACAAAGCTAGTTTTTCAAGCTAAGATAGCGGGCTAATGCTAGAAATATAGCTAATGTCTGTCTAGTCTAGTGTGTCTATCTAGTCACTATCTATTTAGAAAATAAGCTAGTTCTGTATGTGTACGAAGATACAAGCTTGCCATCCTAGTTAGATAAACTAACCTCTTGTGAGCAAACTTAGACTTACTAGCTTGTTAGCTTACTATTCGGGCTTGAAAGCGTAGCATCGTGTCTTTCATGACTGGTTTACAGATAATTAGAATATTTTTAACTTAATTTGTAGTTACTAAGTAACAACACACAAATAATGAATAAGTTAAATTTTAGTTTACCGGTTATAAGCTTAAAAATCTACTTACTGCCTACTTATATACTTAATTACAAGTAAACCAGCCATCAGACGTTACTGTACTCTTATCAAATACTAGTTAAAAACTGCGGTTACGTTTAGGAGTTAATTGAAATTACAATTCGAGAAATTTAACGAGAAATACTTATTTGTTCAACGTGAAATTTCACAGCGCCGTGTGCCAAATTTAGAAGCCATTAAACCTTTCCAATATGGACGAGTAATAAACATACATACTTTCATGTTTATACTAAAGATATATCGCCAATAAGAAGCAAAATATTTAATTAAATGTAATTTGAAACAAACAAAATAAAGAAAAAGGTCTGAGCAGTGGGGAAAAAAGGTTGAAGATGAGATAATATTAAAAATAAAAAAACCTATTGTTGTTAAAGAAAAATCCACTTTGCCCCTGGTACTCTGAGATATTTTTCAGTGTATCATTGAGAATGCAAAATTGTTCAAATATAATAAGCTATTGTTGAGTTTACCCTTAAGCATTTATGACTACTATTAACTTAATAAAAAACATAATTTATTCGAGTAGGTATTACCATTTGTATGCTTTGCGAACTTTTATGTAGCTGACCTCACTTGTAAGTGAACGAAGCTACAAATAGCTAATGTCAATATTTTTTCATTTATATTTGAGAAAGCGTCATGGAATGCTTGACGTCGATACCGTATAGTTGAATAAATATAGTTTATTATCAATAAACACAGCATTAAATGTCGGGATGGTTGCCACTTGTGTTGGCCATTTTATTAAAAGCTCATAAACAATTTGTATATAAGTGAGTTTTGTTATGAGGTCGACATGCGCTTTTTGCGTTGCAAAAAATCAAATCATATGTTTTCAAAATTTAAGCGTCGTTGCCACTCCAAACCCAGCCGATAAAACTGGTCACATTTTGTCAAACCGACCTAAAGATTTGATATTTTTTTTTTTTAACGGGGAAATAGTAATACTCATAAACTTCATGAAACTTCTATTGTGTTCGAGGCATTAATATTAACAAACTAAACAAAATCTCCATGTGACATCAACTTTCAAGACAATTATGTTTTTCTTTTTAAAAATAAAATAGGCAAATATATATTCTCGACTATGCTACGATAAAAATCTTCAATTTCCCTCCAAAGTTAGTACTTAACTTACAAATGAAACAGGACAATAAAATGTGACATTACACTTTCACGTGCACGTTTTGGCAACACACGTGTCCGAAGTCGATGCCTTAATAAATACATATGAAAGTGATCCACTCAAAGTCACATGAAAATGAATTACCACGATCAAATGAAGAACTACATAAATATAAGTATATGACAAAGTTTTAATACGGTTTATATAACTATACAGGGTGATTCAAGAGGAAGGTTTATATGTTTAATATACATATTCATCCAGGCGAAGCCAGTGGCGGAAAGCTAGTCATTACATAGTATAAAACAAAGTCGCTTTCTCTGTCCCTATACCCCTATCTATGTTTAAATCTTTAAAACTATGCAACAGATTTCGATACGGTTTTTTTATATAAAGGGTGATTCAAAAGGGAGGTTTTTATGAGACCAAGACCAAGCGGGTGAAGCCGCTAGCGGAATTAGATATTATACATAATTTATTTATCTTAAAAAAATTCTAAAAAATGTCTAAAAAATTTACCAGTTCACTACTCGAGGTGGGCTTCAAACCTAGAACATTAAAGCATTGTTAATATATAATTGATTTTTAGTTTATGTAGATAAGTAACTGAGGAAGAGTCTGGTAGAGAAAAAAAAACATGTAGAAATCTTTTAAGTATGCAGCCCGTTGCTATAATATAATTAAATAAATAAATTGAATGAAAATAAGCTTATTGGAAGCACAATAAATACATGAAAGGAAATAAAGATATATAAAGAAAGAAAATCACTGATTTATAATTAGTACATGACATGGTCTCGGATAAAAGCCAGTAATGAAATCGCGTTTCCTTTGATCGGAAGCAGTTGGATTGGAAATAAACCTGAAGAATTCCAGATGCTTCTAAATATTACTACTTACATTCGATTATTGATAGTATGTTAGTGGTTCAAAGATTAGATACTTTTGAGCTAAAATCGCAACTGGTCGTTATTAATTGTAATCTTCTTAATGACTTCTGCTCAGAGCATTATAATATTAAACGCACATACATAAATAGAAATATATTTGATAATAAAATTAAAAATATTAATGATCTTTTAACCGATTTCAAAAAGCAGGTTATCAATTTGACCTGTATTATTCAGTTCGAATGGCGCTATCTTAATATATGTTAGTCTATAGGGCTTGTAAATCACGCGTAAAAAATTTTGTAAATGTACAAATTAATGTTTGGCCACATGTTTCTCGCAAATAAGAAGTTAAAATTCAATCATTTTTGTTTGATCACTTAGCTTTCATTAGATAGTGTGATAGTAAACTTTTGCCGTTATCTTGTTTGAATTATTTGTCTGGTATATTTGTTTTAAATTATTCTAATTAAAATTTTTGTCTTGCTCGTTAAAACAATAGTTAACTATTTATTAATTCTTCTTCTCCAATCCTCTATATTTCGGTACTGTTAGAAGCGCTTGCAGAGCGACTCTTTATAAATCTAAACCCTTATTCGAATTCACTCATATGTCCCAATTCACGTCATTTAGTGTAGAAATTCTATTGATTCCATTTTTGTATAAAAATAAAAAAAAAACAAGATTGATCGATTCATACTTTATATTTGACATTTGTCATTTTGAAACTCATTTCACTTATGCCACAAAACGTTATCACCAAGGATGCCGCTTTTGAATTGAATCCTGACACCTGAGTGAATTATAATTCGGGTTCGGATTTTTACAGAATCGCATGGCTAATCCTGATCGTGGAGAATATAGGGACATGACATAAAGAAGAAACATGGTAACAATCTCATAGAGTTTATCTATTAATGTTTTCATAGGAATAGGGATGATAACTAATTTTTGTTTGTTTGTCCATCAGGTAGAGTGTTAAAAATATTAAACACGTATATTTTTATTTTTTTTCGTAATCATAAAATTACGGCGTTACATTGAGTTGAAATTCCGCATGACGTCACGTTATGGTAAGTTTCTACTCAACTGTGACGTAGCGAGCCCCCACTCCTCAACTTTAATGCCTGTTATCTAAGCTATTTCTTGTTAAATTGAAGTAAAAAAAAATACGTATCTAATATTTTTCTATTATCTGACTGACGGACTTAATAGAATTGCATTTTTTTTACCTGTCGTCATCCCTATTAGTGAATTAATATCCATCTACTTAAATAATGTGTGAATGGAATTATCAGGAATTATACTGTTAAAAACTTATCCTTATAGGAAAATGTGTATTTGTTAACAATAAATACAAAAGGCTTTGCTTAATTTTATTCAACAGTAATAAGTATTTTTTGTTGTAGTTGTCTATTTGCTTCTGTAACGTATTAGATCATCTGCATAATCGCATATTCAGTGAGTTAACGGAAAATCAAAAATATATATTATCATTCAATTACCATTCTTAATTAAAAATTATTAAAAAAAAGCTTTGTCCCTGGTACTCTGAGATGGGATTCGAACCCTCGCAATCCGGGCGACTGCCTTAACCAGTGAGCTACAGGACTGACGAATTTTTAAGCACTCGTTCCTTTTTCGTTACTACAGAGCGTCTTTTCATCAATGTTCAGGCAATCGACACAAACAGCCGAAAGAAATATTTTTACAAATATTAATAATTATTATTATACTAATTATTATATTAGCATGCTTTACTGGAAATCATAAATTACATAACATTTAGCGTTTGTTTATTCTAACCGACAGTGTTTATGTTAAAATAACAAAAGTTAAAAGGTAGCTTCGGAGTTCAGATTGAAAATGTTTAAAAAATAAAATTTTATTGAAAGCCATGATAAAAAGTTTCATTATTACCGTTGCATGTAAACACATCTCAGTACACAAACGATTAAAAAACTAGGTTACCTTCCTTGCGCAAGGCGATATTAAAAGATGATTTTTAATGTACTCTGCCAGGGCCGGCATTAGGGTTATATGTCCGAGCGTCATTTAATCATTGGGGACCTGTACCTTTTATCTATGACATGTCCACTGCATATTTAGTATTATAAAAAAAAAATCTTTAAGTAAAAGTAGGCTTACACGTAATTTAATCTTATTAAACTTCTAGTACAGATGATATGTAAAGGTGCATTATTTTGTGACGCTTTGTCGTGTATAGCGCCAGTGGTGTGAACTAAGCAAGAGGTACTTTAATTTTACTAAATTCGTAGCACTTCAGGCTCTTAGAGAGTGATTGTTTAATTAATTACCTTACTATATAATAAAATTAGGTTTAGGTAGCATCCTTGCTGTTGGTTCATGCCTACAACTCATCATAATTTTAATTTTCACAAAATAGAACCGACTTCGTACTTTAAAAAAGGGAAGAATAATACTTGTCTCTAAAGCGATTTAATTATTCAAAAAACTGTTATTGAAATAGGCGGAGGTTTTTTGTAGGTTAACTGTTGTTACAGAGCTGCCATAAGCTGTCTAATAAATAATAAATTTGTACATCGGTCAAAAATTCGAGAAAATATCTGTGAACATACATAAGAAAAACACACATCTCCGTCGAACATATAATCTCCTCTCTTTTGATTTTGAAGTTGGTTTAAAAATAATTTGGATGGTATTCATCTGATTCCCTAAAATTACATGACCAGGTGTCGCGACTACTAAATCCAGCACTGGATTTATCTATTTGTATTATAAATAGAAAACATATCGTTAATAAACTAACAGTATTACATATTTTTATAAAAAGCACGTTAAATTTTTGTAATGAAAACTCTTTGAAGCAAACGTATTTTTGGTTACAGAGCAGACTGCATAATCAGTTTATGACGTAATCATGAATCATGGACGAGAATGTCTTCATGTAGGTGTTTAAGTTAGAACATCTAATATTAATATTGTAAATTATGTAACGAAAAAATTAAGTAGGTAATATAGAAAAAATATTATCGAGTGACTATCAAATACTTCCGGAATTCGATTCTTGATGTTATTAATATCGATGATAAAAAGGTAAAGTCGAGCGTTCCAGGGCAAAATGCGGACCTTATACAGGCATTTTTGTTTTAGAAGACGGCAACCCTAAGCGTGAAGCCCTAAAAGTTCGAAAATAACTTTTGTGAATTTCCACGGACAATTATTTAACTGTTCCCATCAAAGGAGTGGTTGGAATTTCACGAGTTTTCAACCAATGTCATTAAGAGTTTTAACTGCTACAGAACATGTTTTGATATATCGATTTAGTGTGAAGGTCATTCTAAATGTTTATTTGTTTCTGACGAGGGCGAAACTCGCGCCTACTGCAATTAAGACGTTTCTACCGTTCGGTGAAGTTCTTACAACGAACAGACAGAAACAAAGAAAATTAAATTAAGAAAACTATATTTTACCCTTGTAAATATGTATTAAGAAAATTTTATCGGTTATTTATAGTCAATTTAAAGAGGTAAGATTTCATTGTTTACATTGTATATGCTCTAAAACTATTGGACCGATTTAATTTTTTTTTTTCACCAAAGGGAAGCTACGTTATATGCTATTGACATATGCTATAACTTATGTGGGCAAGTTACGGGGAAGCAGCTTGTTCAAAACACGGGGCGTCAACCAACGAGATGTGAATAATGACATGTGACAATGGAATTCTGATGTATGATGGCTCATATCCTTGTATAGAAAGAATTCAAAAAATCTTCTTCGGAGCTTTCCATTCTTATAGATGTGCGATTACCTTTAATTAATTTGAAATGAACACTGCTTTTCTAATAGTATATATTAAAACAGACATATTTTCACCCATTCCAAAAAAGTAAACAATTTGTTCACATACCACAACATACAATAGGAATTTATTTTAGTAGGTATGTCTAAACAATGGTTAACTCTATGGAATACAGAGCTAGGGAAGTGTGTCCTTGGAAATGCTAATTGTGCACAAGTTATCATTAGGCTGTTCGCCTTCACTAATTACCGTTTCAGTTCATTATTAGGCTGACTGCTATCCGGCGATGGAAATGAAGAAAAAGAAAGATGATTTCGCAAAATATCTGCATTACTATTTGGTACATATAAATAACTTACCGAATATTGTTGGTTGGGTTATTTCCTTGCTGTAAAGTTTTAGATCATCTGAGTATACAACTTTTTAACCGACTTGTAAAACTGAAGAGGTTTTTTATATTTAACTGGTATATGTTTTTATGTAGGTATGTTCACTGCGTTCTTCGCGAATTGAAGACCGATTTAAAAAAATGTGCTAAAGCTCACAGGCCGCAGGCGAATAATGTTAAAAAAATACAAATCAACAACAGGTTTTTGAAGTCGATTTTTTTTTATAAAAAATATGAAAGTTTTGAAATGTGACAATTTTCACCGATGTTTGTTATTCTTATCAAATCTATAGGTCCATATTGTTTGTAAATATAAACCATATAAAATAGGTTTATATTAGAGACATTTTCCTTTCCTTTCTTTAAAGTCGGGTAAAAGTGAAGATTAAGATAATGAGTACACAAAATCACATGAAAACAATTAAACAGATAATAATGACAATCTTGGCCTATTACTAAATAGTGTGAAATTATAATGGGTTCGTTAATTTATTTGTTTGACAGTGTGTTTTGTTAAATAATTACAAGTCATTTGATAATATTGTGATAGTATTCAATTTCTATTTGACTTATTTTATCTGCATTTAAGTGACGAGGTCTAATATGTCGAAATAATGAAGTCGAAAATACAATAACTGACCTCATATCATAAATTAATAAGATAACTTTATAATAATAGACAAAGAGAAAAATCAACAGTATCTATAATCGAGAAACATGTTATACTTAAACATTTTTTTTATACCTTCATTTTAACCCATTTTAACCATTTATATCTTTGTATCATTTTCTTTTAACTTTCGATTTTAAATTGAATGTCAATATTAAAAGTAAAATAATAATATTATTATCTGCTTGATTTCCGCATCTTGCCTGTACATTGGGTCATATACAAGGTATACATATAGATATACATTATTCTTGCGTCAAAAGAAATGAAGAACTTTTTTTTCTTTTTGCCTACACGTGACGTCCATATTTATAATTTCCGCTGAAAAACATAATTCCTATATAGCTGAACTTGAAATAATATTATCATAACATCAGAACATATTAAGAAATTGTGAAATTTCTATTCAGCGTTACATTAAAGAGGGCATTACGTGAGTGCTGACATTTATTACACGGCCTTCGGGCCGATGACAGACAATAGACGAAATGAAAAAGACAAGCATTCATTTTCCGAACCACTGATAATGCTAAGTTTGTTATTGTCGGCTTTAGCAAAAAAAATATCATTACTTGAGTAGTTTGCTTTATGACTTTGGGACCGCGACGTTAGTCAAACAAGCCGTCTATACCGCGACGTCCACAAAAATATTTGACAGAGGCTTAGCACCATCACTATTAGATAAAGACCATGATATAATACCATTTTGGGATATATTTTATTAACTTTTATGTAAAATCTGTAAGTGAGCTACACATTTCCTCGGTATTTATAAATCTGGCCATGTCTTTTTGTAGTGGTCCGATATATTTTCATGGAAATTTAGAATCCTGCAGAAATACCCAGTTTAAAAGACCATAAACTTCTTATAGGTTTTCCTGTAATATACAGGTAAAGAACTATATTGCGCATGCCTTTTTCTTTCAAAATTTTAAACTCAATTTATCCCTTTTTCTTTACTAACTTCAAAACTTTTGATTTTAAAATGTAATTAGAAACACATTTTAAAGTTATTTCATTTTATATGTCATAGAATTAATGTAATTCGATATTTTTTATATTGCAATGGCTTTTTATTGTAAACCTGTTATTTAATGACCAATTGATCACACTGATCTTCCTATATAAGTTTATATCAACAGTGCATATGCACTGTTTGTACTTTATATTATTACATTTAAGTAGTCTTAAATAACTTGTTACGAAAATGGAGCATATAATGTTACACTGTGAAATGAAACGGGTTTGTTCAACGTGGGGCTTAACGGGAACAAATGCGACATAGCCTTGTTTTTTTTTCTAAAAGATGATAAAAGAACCGGATAAAGACGATTTTTTAAAAAGAATAATATTAAAAAAGGATCAGTATTGTTTCGTTACATTTTTATATAGGTACTTTTATTGCTACTATAACCGCCTCTTTCAAATTTTTGTAATAAAATAGTGGGCTTTGACCAATCGTCATTAGTTCTGACTAAAACTCACACGGATTTTGAATGTCATAGTTTAATATCTAATAGGTATAAAAAAATAGGTATCGACATCAAAAACGTTTTATTTTCCAATTTAGGTGCTAGTTTTCGATATCAGGGCGTAATGACAAACTTATCAGTTTTTATTATACCTAATAGTATTTATATTTAAAAAAACAGAAATAAATTGTCATCTACCCATCAAAAAATTATTGATCTACAAATCGAAAATAAATAAACCAAAATAAAAAGGGATGGTGTTATTATTATTGTAGATATTTTTAATTAATAACCATCTTGATAAATAAATGAATATAAATATTCAATTGAAATTAAATGTCTTTGTAAACTTTTAATGATTGAAAAGAGTGATACGCGTGTATACACAGTGTATTAAAATTTCAGAAAAAAAATGTAACAGTATATTGTTGTTGTTAAGAAAATGTTTAATTGAGTATTAAAATAATTTTGTTCATTTTCTGCCTCAATATTCCGAAAAATATCCTGGTAAGTTAATTAAACAAAAATATATGAAATACCATCAAAAAGTATTATATTTATATAAATATCTTAACTCACCTCTTGAAGTGACATTATGTCGAGATATATCACGCATAACACCTTTGACACATATTTCTTATCACAAAAACTGATCCATTTAACACTGACTTATCGTCGAACATTCTGTACGATTTTCAATAAATAACAAACAGTGTCCTTAACTAATAAATAATTTAATTAAATAATATTTTAAATATATTTAAAATAATCAATTAAAAAATAATTAGTTTATCGTTGCGTTAAACAACGCAATTTAATTGAAAAAAAGTAATAAATCGATTTAAGTTCCAATTGAAAGATACGCCAATTGTCCGCAGAGCTTTGATATTCAATTCGATTCGAATGCGGAATTCAAAATTTCAAATTTGGAACATCGCTACACTTCACGGTCACACATCAAGGTTACGACATTGTTTGCAATCCAACTTTTATCGTTAATGATCAAGTGAAATTATGCATACGAGTTAAGTTTAACATAGTTTCGTGATGTCACATAGTGCAGTACTTGACGCGTCGAAATCCGCGCGAATTTTCATCTATCATTGGTAATATTTAAAATTGGAGTTGTTCGTTTCTGTTTTATATTCGAGTGGGGTCGTGTTTGTTCGTTTTAGCGCGTTTATGCGTCGGTTCTAGCAGACGTCCTCGCGGCAGGACGTCCGCGTTACAACTGGCGCGCTGCGTGTTATGTTATCACGCGTTATCAATCCGTTTTGTTTTATAATTCGCTCGAATTCATTAATAATCTATTATCGTGTTTTTTAAACTAATTGTGGCTTTCCAATGTTACAAATTTAAATAAACCGGTAAAATGTCCCTTTAGAATATTAATACATTGATCTGAACATATTTCAAATGATAATGGTGTAGAAAAACAGTAAGATTTGAATGATAAATACCTACGTTCGAAAAAACATAATACTCCTGATTCCAGCCGTGTAAAAAAGAAGACAAATCACTTGAGCACAGTGACTGTCTTCATAATTATCTAAAAACAGAAAATTGCTCTACAATAATTATGAGCAAATTTATGATATTAAAAATGTATTGATTGACATCGTATTAGAATATTTTTCGAGTTTGAAAATATTCTTTATATTTTTTAGTGTATTTCAAATATACTTAGAATAGATTTGCCATTTGACTTTGTCAATTTGTTCGTTGTATTATTACATTTAGGTAGGTATAATCTATTGTTCATTTCACCTCCATTCAATAGTTTACACTTCAAGGTTTTTCGTTATTGAATTAAAAAGGGATACCTACCTGCTTTTAAAATTAATTAGACGCACGTTCGATGATCTAATTGTCTAATTCCAAAATCTATTGCAATCTCTTTCAAAGGAATTCGGACGCCTGAATGAATTCAAATTATGATTCGTATTTTTACACAATCGCAGGCCCGGTCAGGAAACCGAATGGACGTTAAGTTTGCGGGGCCAGTCTTAAAATATGATTCGATTATTATTTTGTATACAATAAGTGATTGAAACTTGATAAAGTGTAATTTTTATTATGTAGGTACCAGTCATTTTCTACACTATGCAGTTCACGTAGACAGTTGATTTGATTACAAATAGGCAGGTACGTCCAGAATGCGCAATAAAAACTCGCCTTCTAAATTTGAAGTGTAAATTAGCGAGTTACGTGTGAATCATGGTCCGCTGCATCGGTCAATGACTTTGCTAACAAAAATGGACGAAGGATGTCTCAAAAGGATAACACACATGAGCACGATTTGAAGAGACGAATAAAATAAACCCTCATTTAAGTATTTATATTCATTTATGTAAATAACTTAATATTCTTAACCTCTTTTATAACATGATTATATACCGTTATTTTAAAGTAAGTAGTCTGTTATCTCTGAAAAAATAAAAAGAGTTCTTTATCTTTCCAATCTATTCGGCCTTCGTTTCCTTGTAATATCTAATATCATCTTCTAGTACGCAGGTGACATAAGCTATAATTTAGGCGGGCGAAGTTGCGGGTAACAGTGTGTTTAGAATAAAACTTACCGCTGCTGTTGCTGGGGCATCATCAGGTCGGAGTGCATGTAGCCTGCCTTCTTGAAACTCTGCGAAAGCGCGCACCGCAGCTGCAGCGTCACGATACCTCTTCCATAAGTCTACTGCCTTGTTATACCTGGGAAAGAGGGGAAAGAAAAAATGAAAAGAATATCATATAGACAACAGTCGAGTTTTAATAAACTTTTCAAACGATTGAGGTTCTCAATTTGATTGATTTTTTTTTATACATATTTTCAGCCTAATGAAGTTACTTTCCAATAAGACTTTGTGTAAAACAAAACAGGGAGGAAAAAGCAGCCCTTGCCAAGTTCCTTGTCGGTTCTTCTCACTCCCACAAGGTCTCTCGCCGTAGTTTTGCGAATCGTTGGCGTGGTTTTCGACTTTCACAAGAGCTATGTAACAGCTTAAACAGAATAAACGATTTTGATTGATTTTAATTGAGTAGTAGACCGGTTTACATAATTTTTTATTGTTTGAAAGGGTATCAGTAAGTTCACGCTTCGTTTGTTATTAAAAATTTAAAAATAATATCGTTTTTATTTTGCGAAAAACTAAAACAACTTCTATAAATTTAAAAATATTTCTTCATTGTACCTTAGGACGAAAGTACGACATATGGTCAAATTTACGAAGATTGAAAACGAATCTAAGCAGACATTCTGCAGACGTTCAAGTTTGTAACAAATGACATAAAGATTTAATTTTTATTACTTATAACAAATTATAAGATGCTATATCTTTAGATTTATTATTAACATTATTAATTGTATTAAGATTGTATGTGTGATTTTGATTGCTTATTTTAATGATATCTGATGGACTTGCTAATTGTTACATATTATGTTTGTATGAATATTAATTTAATAATTATCAATTTTTATATTATTTTCAAAATTTTTGCATGCTATTTATAGCGGAATGTGCTTGGACTATTATTTTGCTAATATCTTAAATTGATAACCACATTTCTAGCAAATAAATTATTCTTTACTCTTTGTATAAAAGCTCATGCGTAGTCAATGATATATAAAAATACGCCAAGATGATTTTAGCACTTGTCGAAACACTTCTTCCTTTCTAAACACTGGACCTTCTTTTTCAGTAAATTACACGATTTTCTACCCTACATTAAACATTAACGTTTATATTTGCGTGTACATATACCCGCTGTTTTTTTCTCCCTTTCAGAGTTTTCTATCTTAACACTACGGAATAAGATTCCATATATATCTAAATGGAAGACTAGCACCCGGTTTCTGAATTGAGAATTTAAAGTTATACCTAATTTAGACGTTTTAGACGTGTATAACTTATAATAACGTGTATAACAACAATCGTCGCTTAAATAGGTTTTCGTTTCTGATTTAATTTTTTTATTGATTATTTGATAGCAATTTGGTAAAACTAGGACTGTAAAACGTAAAAAATCTAAGCTATTGAGAATAATCAGTTGTAATTTTGTACTTTTTTCATCTCAGAAACCGGCCGTAGGACATCGAAGAATTGGTACTAGTGGTATATTAAACTTACTTGTCACACAACTGAGTGAGATTGGAACACGTGTGTTCATAAGTAGCGACTGCATCGTCCAGTTCTCTCTTCAGTTGAGCAGCAACAGTTGGCTCAGTAGATGCCGCTAGTGGTGCTGCTGCGTCACGCAATTCACCTACTAGTTCTCCACTGCGACGCGACAGGGATTCGTTGAGTGTCTGCAACGAAAAATAGGTAAGTATTGTCATGTTTTATTTGAGTGACTAATTATAATCATCATCAGACTTTTTATGTCCCCACTGCAGGGGCTGAAGGTTATTTTTTCTTATGGATGGCTGAGAAGGACGGGCCATAACTCCCACGCTGGCCTAATGCGTTTAGAGGGTATTCAACTGCAGATGCAGGCGGAACAATGGTTTTACTTGCCCTTCGAAGCACAGAATAGCTCGAGAAAATAATTTTCTGGTCACCCATCCCGTGACCGAACCTTGCGAAAGTTGCTTAACAAAGAGCGAAGGCCGCGGCGCTTATCCACTATGCCACCGAACACCTAACAGTTCATTAAATAGGTGAATCTTAATTAAATTCAGTAATTGACTTTTTACCTAGACTTAAGTTACTAATTATTTTTCATAAATTTTAATATCTTCTTAATTGTACTTTTCAATAGTAATATAATGAAGCTTACACCTATCTACAGACAGATTAAACAGTTTTATTATACCTCAAGTTTCTCCGTGGCCTTAAGGAGACGGTCATAGTCGACCTGCCCTTGAACAGTGAGCAATTCAACCATGTAGTCAGCTTCCCTCACTGCGCCCTGCACCATCTCGAGCTGTCGTTCAAATCGTTTCCACAGTTGAACTTTAGCACGCAGTCGCAGGCTTAAGTCATTACAAGCAGCTTCTAGTTCAGCATGAGTGTCCTATAAAAACACAACGTGTTAGCGGTTGTTCTTTAATAATTGAATTATATCATATTGTGATTTTTTGAAATACCTGTAATGCTGTAATATCCTTTTCTAAACCCGTGGGTGATACACAGACTCTCAAGCTAGTTGGTAGCATATGTAGGGATTGTCGTAATGCCAAGATGTCTCGCCACTGAGATGATAAATCCTCCATTAACCGATCACATGTTTCAGATGCTCGTTCAACTACATCACTGCCGAGACGTTCCGCTGCTTCACATTCTTCTAACGTTAACCGATCGCGACGTTGACTCTTCTGGCAACGAATTATGCCAGTTTGCACTTGGACGAGCTTCTCTTTTAGTAATAAACTCCTTTCTAACTCCGCTGATATCTGATCATCAAGAATACCTGACTGTGTTAAAAGAGCACCCAAACGTTCGGACTCAGCTGTCGGCAGTAGGCTTAGTCTGCCGAGTTCATTAAGAATTCTATCGATACGACTTGTCATTACTTGTAATCTTTCTATATACAAGTTTAACTCATCTTCACTCCTAATTACACCTTTCAAGCAATCTAATGAAGCACGTAGCTCTCGCAGTTCTTCTTCTATAATATTCAGTTTCTCACTAGACGATACATCTCGATCAGTTAAATTCTGTATAGCTGTTTTATGTATGTCACCGATTCGAGTAGCCAAGTCCTGCCATTTGTCCTCGATTTTAGAGAAGAATTGTCGCTGTACCATTTCATCTGATATTGGTAAAATTTCTAAAGCTTTCTCAAATTGTATCCCAGATTCGTTTTTAAGATTATTATATACTTCATGTTGTGCTTTCAATTCCCAGAATCGTCGAAGATTGCCGGTGGTGGTTATAGTTTCAGGCGTGATATTTTCTAATTCTCGATTTGCTGTCTGCATCCGACCTTCGATTCTATCAATCAGGTGATCAAATGTCATCCAATTCTCTTTGAAAGCAGTGAGCCGTGTAAGTCGCGAATCTACATCTTCTTGTAATCGCACTAATGTATCCAAAGCTGCAGAACATTCAGTTTCTAAATCTGAACAAACGATAAAGTTTTGTAATCCTTCTGTGATAGACAATAAACGTAACATTTTCGCATAGTGATGAGATATATCCAGACTTATAGATTGATATAGATTAATGTACTGTTCGTGATCCATTGAAGTAACATTAGACAAATCTGGTACTCTCTGCTGAGCCACAACAAGCCATTGCTTTTCTTCTTTCATTCCTTGTTTTAGTAAGGTCCATCTAGAAGCGCCTAATGTCATTTGTTGAGCCCTACCTGCTGCTCTGTCTATTATTAAAGTAGCTCTATCATGGAGAGAATTATGTAACGCCGAATATTTTCCTCTTGTTTCATTGTCCAAATTGTCTTCAAGCGATTCAAGAATAGCTCTACAATGACTTAAATTAACAAAGAATTTTCTGTGTTTTTGAATTTCTTCATGTAAATGATCTAAATTAGACACAACGATTTTTCCATCCAATAAGGCTTCTGCTACTTCAGTGATTTGTGCAAAATCTTGTAATGTTTGTTCATACTCTTCAGCTAATGACGTCAGTTGCATAAGGCGATCCCTTTCTGTATTGACAGCATTTTCTATTTGTTTGGTATCATCATGGCAAGAGTAAAGTACCACAGGACATTCGCGTTTGGGATTCACTTCTACAAACATCCTACATCGTCTTAACAATTTACTTACATTATCAGAATTGTCCGTATTTTCTAACTCTATTTTGTCAAGCTTTTCCAATTTTTGTTGACTTGGAACGTCCGATAGAATTAAATTATCTAAATCACATTTTACACGATCAATACATTGGCTCAATGTTTCAATGTCTTTTATAAATTTATTCCATTCTGTTTCTTGTTCCTTTATTTTAAGAGGACTTTGCTTACTTAAGGTATTGACAGCGTTAATTTGATGTGTTAATGTTTCAATCAAGGTAATGATTTCTTCATTTACTTCCGTTAACTCTATAGTTTCTTTTAGGTTACTAATATGGTTTTCTAATGTCCTAAGACGTTCACTTTCTTCTAAATTTTTGTTACCAGCTATAGTTTCTCTCTGTATCTTGAACTGTATTTCTTCAAGCCAAACAGAAATTGTTTCTATTACAATAATAATACTTTTTTCAATTCTTGATGAATCCTTACTTTCGATTGCAGATTTGACTTCATCTAATTCTTTGTTCACGACCATATCATACGATTTTTCTACGGTAGGCTCATACAATGCAACAATCATAGCATTATCTGAGGCATTTCTTTGAGGTTCAGATATTAATTGAGTTCTTTTTTCAAGAGTATCAAGAAGTCTCCCTTTTATATTTTTAAGCGATGACAAACTTTTGCTTGGTGATGGTGACTTTGATTTTGATCTTTGAACAACATCAGAATAAGTAGGTTTGTATTGAATAAGGGTAGTGCTATCTTGATTCGGAGTTATGGGACTAGTAAATTGGTAAATTCCTTCGTCTATTGATGAAGAATCTTTAATTGAAAAGTCTTCACTAGTTGGTGTTACAGACATAGACAATTCAGTAGTAATAGGATCTGATGGACTTTCAGGAGTTTGCGCTTGTGTTAAATCTGCTTTCTTTTTATGTTTCCTTTTCTTTTGTTTTTGTTTTTCTCCTATTACAGGTTGATCTTCGTTCAGTCTTTCACATTCTATAAAATCGGAAGTAGCTCGAGGAATAGATATTTGTGCATGTAAATGAACTTCATAGGGTTCTTCTGTGGAGGTAGATATTGAATCTTCTGAATATAATCTTGGTGATGTCTGTTGAGTTGAATGAACAGTAATAATATTCTCTTTTATTAGTTCTTGGATGATAATATTATCCTCGATTCTTGGAGTTGTTTGTTGAGTTTTATCGACTGTTATTGATTCATCAATTTCTAAATTAAACCCTGGAATAATCTCATCTAGTTCTGACACCGAATGTGAAGATTCTATGTCTGTTTTGGGAAGTAAATCTTTTATGTTTGTTTCCAATATATGAGACTCGTCCTTCTTATCAATTAAGATTTTTGCATATTCTAATGCAATCCTAGGTGAAGTTTGTTGAGAAATATCTGATGTAATTTTTTCAAACGCTGGTTCAAATGATTTTTGTTGATCTAATATTTCCTCTCGAGGAGATGTTTGTAGACTAATATCCGATGTTAATATTTCCCTTTTTGGGATATCAGGTTCGGGCACAAAATCAAGTTTTGCTTCCAACATTACACTTTGCTTTTCTGGTTCATCAGATTGCGTGAACGTACTTGTAAGTGGGACTTCAGGAGTTTGTACACTCATTTCATTCATTTCTTTTTCTTTGATTGGAGAAGTAGATGTTTCTTTATCAATATTTTCTTGTTGCATAGTTTGAATATCGGTTTCTGCTGTCGTGATGGTCACTTCTGTGCTTTTTTCGTCTTTTTGAACTTCTGGCAAGGGAGATGTTTGCATTTCCCTAGATTCTGTTTCAGTTATTACTTTTTCAATAGTTTGGTCTTTATCTTTTTCGCAAGGTATCGTTTGAGAATACTTTTCTTCTGGAGTTACAATGTCACTGGGTACAACTTGTGTTGTAGATTCAGTTAAGATTATTGGCTCTGGTGTTTCTACTCGACTAGTTTGCATCTCTGTTTCTGATAATTCCACTCTTTCTATGACTTTTACATTTTCAAGTGTTTGAGTATGAACTTCTTTTTCATCTTTAGGAATAGTTTGTATTAAAGATTCACTGACTGGCGTTGGAGAAGTCTGTTGTGTAATGTCGACAGTTGCAGGCTTAAATTCCACATTTTCTTCAACTTTTGTTTCCACTGATAGCTCTGGTGACGTTTGTATAGAGTAATCTTGGGTTGGTATTTCCTCTACAATGGTGATAGGATATGTAATAGTGGTTGTGATTTCGTTTTGTAAGATTTCTGGGCTACTTTGAATACATTCTTCTATAATTTTTACAGTGCTAATATCAGATGTTTCACTCAAAGTGTGGTATGATTCTTCTCTTGGAGATGTATCTATTGTTTCACTCCCAAGTTTAGGTGAGTTTGCTTTAGTTTGCGTTTCTTGTACTGTTTCTGAAATTTGTTCTATGTTTTGCACTAGCTCGGGTTTTGAATCGATTACAGTTTTCTTTTTACGCTTTTTGTCCTTTGTTTTCTTTTCAGGTAAACTTTCAGTAAATTCGATTGGAGTTGATACAGATGTTTGATCAGAATCAGTAGTATTTAATTTTGGATATGTGGTTATTTCACTTATGCCTCGTTGCTTATGTTTCTTTTGTTTTTTCTTCTTATTTGGTGTCTGAATTGGTTCCATAGATACTTCTTCTGGCTCGTAACCAATTTCTTCTACGACTGTTTCAAATTCATCCAAAGGTGACCCACTTTCAACTTGAAGTACTACAGCCGTATCAAAGACATTTTCCGATGGTTTTGGAGAATCAATCACAGGTGACGATGGTAACTGGATATAATGATCTAGTGATGAACTATCAGTTTCTGAAAAACTTTTTTCTGTTGGTATTTCTATCGAATCATTTTCTGAAACTTGCTTAGCTTCTGTTTTATTCTTGCTCCTCTTGCGACCTTTTTTGGACTCGTCTGATGATATTTCACTCACTATTTTCTCAGAAGGATCAACGGCATATTCTGTTTCTTTCATAGTGATTTCAACTTCACTGGGCAAAGCGACCTCTATATTTTTATTTACAATGGTTGGGACATCTGATTGAGTATCTTCTATTTTAACATCGAATTTCAACTTGGGCTCAGTTTTTCTAGTACTATCTATTTTCGTAAGAGACATTGATAACTCAAGAGATTGTTGTGAGAGTTGTAAGTCATCTTTTACTTGTGAAGTATCTGGTTCAAATATTTCAATTTGGCTTGAAAAATCTGTTTTTTCTACAATATCTGGTTTTTCTGATAAAATATATTTAACTTGATTGGAGGAGGAGTTCAAACTATCGAGCTGTGGAGACATGGTACCCACAGGAGTCTCATCTTTTTCAATCTTATTTAATACATCTAGAACTTTGTACTCATCTGACACTTTAACATCACTAGGTAAGATCACTTCGATATCTTTTTTTATTATTAATGGTTTATTGGACTCCATATTTTCAATTTTAACGTCAAATTTGACTTTTGGCTCAGGTTTTAGTTCTTTATTTGATTTGATAATGCAAGTGGATATGTCCATTGATTGTTCAGATTGTTTCTGTGTTTCCATATTTATAAGATTAGTATTATCAATCTGTTCCTTGTTGTCTTCAGATTTTGTATTTGTATATTTGTCGGTATGTTGTCGTTCTGATTCTAACAATAAGTTGACATCATAATTTTTGGCTGAGCCACTTTTTCCAAGATTATCTGTAGATTCAAAAGGTGGTTCTTCACCGTCGGAAGAAGGTTGGACCTGTCCAACATAAGAAGTTTCAGGAATTTTCGAATCTGATGCAACATTACTTTCAATTACTTTTATTTCTTGATTAAATGGCTCAACTTGGACAGGATACTGATTAACAAACAGTTCTGTTTGATTATAATATGTTTGCGGCTGAATTTTATCATTATCGTTTTCACTGTCAGTAAGTGGATCTATTGTTTGAGGCGTAGAAGTAATTTGAAGATTGATGTCAAGATTTGAAATCTTTTCAAATTGTTCTGCGTTTTCATCTAATGATTGTGGTTTAATTAAAATGATCTCTGAAATAGGTGATTCGGGATCTTTATGAATAATTTGTGGCTTAGTACTCATTACTCCAGTATCTATTTTTTCTACAGATTCAATGTTTTTCTCACTTAAAAGTGGACTTTCCCTAACGATATCTTGCACATTTGATTTATTAAATTCATCTTTTATATCAGTAGGTAACACTACCTCAACTTCTTTTTCGGTGATATTGGATGCCTGTCGTTCTAATTTGGGAATTTCAACGTCTACTTTTACTTTAGGTTCTGGCTGTAATAAGACATTCGTTTTGTTGATAGATGTTGAAATTTCTAAAGATTGTTCGGACTGTTTTGTGTTGCTCATTAAGGGTTCAGTTATGCTAATATTGCCTTCTGTATGTTGTCGCTCTGATTCTAGTAACATGTTAACATAATGTTTATCTATGGTTTGAATTAGTTCCTTTTTGTCACGGGTATCTGAAGGTTTAATTGGAGTTGATGATGTTTTAGAAGAAGTGTAAGTATTTTGAGTATCTTGTAATACCTTTGTCAATTCATCTTGGTCTTCTGCTTCCATTATATTATGTGATATAATTTCTTTTTCTGGTATCTTTGCGTCTTTTTCAACTACGACATTTACATCTTTGTTAGTGTCTTCAAAAATTGGTGTTTGGGGCATATCATTGGGTTGAACAGTTTTAAAATCCTTTGCAGTCTCAGACAATTTTTTCTCGGTAGTTTCTTTTGTGTTGTCTTCATTCTCTTCTTTATTAAAATTTTTGTCTTGACCAATCGCATATTTTAATTTAGAAGAATGCTCAATTTCACAACCCATAAAGGATTGAGAAGCAACTATTGGAGAAGATACTTCTGTATTTTCATTAAATTTCTCTTCTTTTGGTAGATTCATGCTTTCATGAACTTCACTTTTTAACACAGAGCTTACGTTAGGCTGTTTTTCTATTACCTTTGTTACATCTTTTTCGGGTATTGTTGAAAAACGTTCTGTAACATTAGAATTTTGAGGACAATCACCGGTATTTTCAATTGACTTATTTACAATTGAGTCTTTCGATATCAACACTGTTGTTTGCATGCAATGAGGTACTTCTACTTCTGTTGTTACATTTTCGTTTTTATTTAAAGAAGCAGCTAGTGCAGATATTGTAGGAGTGGGAGATATAGGTGTTAACGAAATAGTAGTTTCCGCAGATAATTGCTCAGGGGGAACAACAAACTTTATTTCAGGTATGTTATTGTCTTGTTCAATTACTGGTTTAAGTTTAGCCGAATGCTCAATTTCACTTTCAATAAAAGATTTAGAAACTGTTACAGGCGGACTAATTTCTATTTCTTCAGCATGCTTCTCTTGTTTAGATAGTGTTTCATGAACTAGATGACTCATAGTGTCATGATCTTCATTTTCTTTAAGAACAGGATTATTATGTTGAGATTGCTTTTCTTTTACTTCTGTTACTTTTTTATCGGGTGTTCTATGATGAAGCTTAACGATATCAGTTTTTTGAGAAGAACCTACAATGTTTTCAATAGGCTTATTTTCTATGGAGTCTTTTTCCATTAATGATTCAGTCTGTATATAGGGTATTTCTGCTTCAGTTATAACACTTTCTTCTTTATTTGATAAATTAGAAGGTGAGACTGTTGTAAAGGTGGAAATTGCAGAAGTTATTACGCCCAAAGTATTTTCTGGGGATGATTGCTTTGAGGGAACAAGAAACTTCTCTTGATTTTTCTCTTGATCAATCACAGGTTCTTGCTTAGTTGAATGCTCAATTTCCTTTCCAATAAGGCATTTAGAAGCATCTATGGGAGAAGTTACTTCTGTAATTTCAACATATTTGTCTTGGTGACGTTGTGTTTCGTTTTCTTCAAGGACGGGATTTCTAATTTCAATTTGTTTTCCTTCCATTTCGTGTGTCTTATTCTCCGTCATTTTTTGAAGCGTAACACTTTTCACTAATCTGGACGGACCTTGCGTAAAGTTAGTTTCTTTTACTTCACTTTTTACATTTTCATTATCTTTTGAAGAATCAGGCAGATTTTCAATATTTAAATCTATTTCAGACGTCATTATTTTTCCGATATCATCTATAGTTTGTTCAACATCGTCATCAGGTTCTTCGATTACTTTTTCTGTGACATGTTCTTTTCCATCTATTATTTGTATTTGACGAATGACCCTGATTTTTTTAGTCCTAAATCCTTGCTTTTGAAGATTGTGAATAACATTTGGTTCTTCTTCTATAATTTCTACATCTTCAGGTTCTTCGATAACTTCTTCAGTTACATGTTCCTTGCCGTCAACAATTTGTATATGTTTAATAATACGTTTTCTTGTTCGTGTTATTTTTCTAGTAACTTTTTGCACAATGGTCGACATATTTGATGCTTGTTCTGTTGTTATAAATTGTCCTGTTTGAACACTAGTTATATTATTATCAAAAGGACTTTCCGTTGTCTCTGCGATGGTTTTTGATAAAGGAATAGTTTTGAAACTTTCAGATTCCTCGGTGATTATTTTATATGGCCCTTCTTGCAATTTTTCCGATACTGATTCGCCAATATCTTTTGCTAATTTTTGTGATTCGGTTTCTTGATGAATAACTGTATAATCTGATGCATCCTTAATGTATTTTGAATCATTTTTACCGTCAAAATTATTATCATCGGGAGACGTGTCATCAGGTTTTGGATGTGACGGTGGTAATGGAGGATGATCACCTTTGTCATCTGAACCCTCTATCTCTTCAAACTGAACACCACCTTGATCAGTAACATTTATGGAGATTCTTGGGATTTGTTCTTCAAACATTTCAATGTTATCAGGTTCTTCAATTACCTCCTCTGTAACATGTTCTTTGCCGTCTATTATGACCACGCGTCGTATAATTCGACGTCTGGTTTTCACAATTCGCTTTGTAACTTGTTGTACAACGGCTGTTACACTAGATGAGGAAGTTTGAATTTGAGGTAATGTTTGACCTTCGGCCAACTGCAAAATATCTTCTGGTTTCATGTCTTCTTCCATGGTAATGACCATATCTGGTTTCGATGTGAATTCTTGAATGGTCACTTCACCTCCAGGGAGGCCAGATATGATTTGACCATCGTGAGATTGATAATGAATATGCTGAATACGACCATCGCCTGATGTAGTAGATATAGCACCTTTGTCTTCTCGTAGTGTTACCTGTGAAAAGGTCTCCTGAGGCAAATCTTCACTCGAAAGTATTTGTGATCGTTGTTGTTGGGTGTGCAAAGTTTGTTGTCTTGTTACTAATGTTTTTCGGATTTTTTTGACAATAATTCTCTTTGTACCATCAGCATCAACGACCACTTCAGTTGTGGTCTCGTCTGGCTCTACCATAACAGTTTCAAAAGATTGTGGCAAGCTATGAATTATATTGAGTTGTGAATCTTTGTGTGATTTATCATCTTTATAGTTAGCATCAACAAACAAAGAGTGTTCGTCTGCTTTTTGTTCTTTTGTTATTGGTTTACTAGCTATTTCAATTGTTTCATGACCATCAGAAATGGTTTGCCTTACTTGTATGCTTCCAAATATTTCTCGTTCATGCTCTATGGAGTGCGGCTCACTTGTTTGTATTTCAACTTCTTGTGGAGGCGCACAAGTAACAGATACGTCGTGAGTCTCCTTAACGCCTTGTTCACATATAACAGATTTATCGGTCATAGACGGTGGTTCCGATAAGAGACTTTTTCCAGTCTGGGTTTCAATCGTGATATTTTCTATTTTTTCTTTGATGTTAACTGGTGGTATTTCAGTATCAACTATATCGCAAGATATGAGTTTTTCTTCTAAATTAGAATGTTCTTTTTCTTTGACAATCTCTGCTTCTCTTGGTGTCACTATTTCTTCAGGCATCGATGTAGAGTCAATAGTCCTGTCAGTCTGTGAAACGTCATCTTCTATCAATTCTGGGGCGGACTTCATATGTAATAATACATAACGTAATCTCTCTAACTCTATTATGACTAGATTCTTTGTTTCTTCCAAAGCCTTCTGCATTACATGTAACTTTTCACTCATCGCTTGACTAGATTCATCGCTACTTATCACAGTTATAGACTTCAAAATGACCTCATATTCTTCATAGTCATTGATATATTTCTCATAAATTTCTATATATTTAATTATATCTTCTTCGATAAGAATATCCCCCTTTATCGTAGAACTCTTGAGCTCATTATTAATTGATTCAAGCCAGGTATCGAGCTTCAATATCTTTTCTTTGTTTTCCTCTATTTCTTTTGTCTGTCGTGACATTTCTACTTTGACTTCCTGAAAATTTCAATAATAATATTGTTAGTTTGTTAATACATGTATGTAAATATTTTTTTTTACAAAAAGCAAGTAAAAGTTCAAGTACCTTTCTTACCTGGATGATGTCAAGACCTTGACGGGCTTGGGTTAATAGTTTTGAGATTCTCGCTTTCATAATTATCAGTTCTTTTAATAAAATTTGTATTTCTTCTTCTTGTTTGTACTCCATTATTTTTGTTTCCAAGAGATTCGCTGCCTCCTCACACTTGACTAGAACTGCAATACCGTCCTAAAATGAAAAACGAATATCGTATAAGACCGATTTTAAATAATTTAATGAATATTTAAATAGTGAAAGTAAACAATTATGCTATTCTGGAGAACATCGTAAACTACATTCTACATTAAAATGTCAATGAAGTATGGATTGACTCTAAGGCATTTTTGTTTTTTGATTTAATAATTTTCCTAACAGAGACAACTTAATTTTCGACAACATGGGCTAAATATGATTTTGTTTGAGGCAGTTTCATTTTTAGCCTGTAAATATAATAAAATATACTGACATTTTAAGTTTCGTTATTCTTATAACGTGCAATACAGAGAGCATTTCTTGAATCTTAACCATAAAATTATAATTGTAAAAATATAATACACTGATTTCGTTTAGAGTAATATTCTTCGTTGAAATATATAAAGTTGCAAAAATTGTTATAAAAGAACATATATCCACCACATATATTATATTATTATACTAGTAGTACTATAATACATTATTAGCAAAGAATGTGTAATTTAAATGAGATATTTACTAATACAAGATACTAACAAAACTAATTTAGATTATTTTGAGACATTATTCTAAGCATTGTAAAAAATTTTGCTTATATATCGTACAGTTTACATTTATTTTTATATGAATAACAACTTCAAAAGCACTTCAATGTTTATTCACACGAGTACTTCTAAGATTTAGCATATTCTTTAAATGGTAAAGATAGTATTATTTTTATTATTTTTTTACACTATGAAAATGTTATAAAAGCACACTGTTGTGGCTTCAGCATTTTGATTTAAATCTTATTTAAAAGTTACAGCGATAATATTAAAATGCATATAATTGACATATCGTTGTGATTACAGAAAAACAACCTCTTCTTAATATATTTTTTTTATATAATTTTTATCAGTGGCTTTTTAGCGGTATCATTCATTGATATTATTTTAGATTCAATTTTAATAAATATTACCTCTTGTAACAATATTTACCTTATTTAAACATAAAATATTGCTGACTGTATCTGTGTCACTGATTTCACTTATAACATAAAAATTTATTGAAAATAATACAGTATCTACTTTAATAACACTATCACTCAAAGAACATACTATATTTATGATTACTGTTATATTTCGTTCGCATCGCGCTTCGAAAGCTACTGCTTCTATCTCGGTTTCGTACATAAGTGTCCTACTAAATGATGCCAAAAGGTACCTTGTATATTATTAACCATGTCGTAACCCTAATGCAAGGCTGACATCACGAATAATACTCAAACAGATGATAGGCATAGACTCACTGCCAAGGCTAACGAACAATACACACACACAATGTAAATAAATGACGTAATCATCAAAATAAACCGGTGATCTAATATCAATTCTAGTTTTGTTTACATCAATCATTTTTTACATTATTCAAATGGAATTTATTTAAAAACTTAGATGGAACGAAAAGTTTTACATGATTTCTACGTGTAAGCTGGTTGTGTTCAAGAATAGATCACGATGCACGAGCTCAAGGAATCGAAGGCTCGTCTATATTTGTAATGGGTGCTATATCTACACCAGCGTCAGTGGGAATTGGGAATGTTATTTCTGAACTATGAGTATTTACAATGTAACTTACCCTGAGACCATCCTCCATAGCGTTTAGGCTCTCATCGGGAAGATCTGTGAGACGAGTCTGTACGTTTCTCACTTCCTCAAGTAGACTTTCAATATCATTAGATAAGTCATCCTGAGAACACAGCCTAATATTAGTAAAACGTATTTATTAACAAGCAATACGAAACGTGAAATTAATAAGTTTAAATAGATATATTTTAATATGATTTGTATAATTTGATAACTGTGATTCATATTCTTAATAAAAATTGCTTAAAAATCCACTTTGTTCCTGGATCCAGATGTGATTCGAACCCACGATCTTTCCCAATCCCATCTCAGTGTACCAGGGACAAAGTGGATTTTTTAGTATTTTTTCAGTATATCATTGTAAATGCACAATTGATCAAATATGATAACTGTGACTCATTTTGTGCTAAAATTTAAAAAAAGATAACTCCATAATTTCACGTTTGTTTGGTATAAACAAAAACAAAACGGTAAAACATTTTTCATTCCGTTTCAGGGTCTCTGTTAGCTTGGCAAAAATTAACAAAAAACATAAAACTATTAGTTGCACATCGATTTTGGCATGACATGCAGTCTGGTACATCCATAGCAAAGGATACATTCCAATAAACAATATAATATCATGTTTAAAGTACGGTACAGTTGGCAAATAGTAAATAAGTTCAACATAGTATTAAAGTGATAATTTTGCAAAAGTAAGTAAGCCAAAGTTAGAGATCTTCTTCTTTTTAAATATTTAAAGGTAATATACATTTCAAGTAATTTTATCATAATAATATTTAATTCTAATAGTCTTCTCACGTAATATCAAACAGTTATATTCTAGTAAAATTAACTGGAATTCAGATTATATAATCTATTTGTTGCAAACAACATAAAATTGATAGCTTACTTAAAAACAGTAATTTAGAATGTTAGCTTTAGTGAGTCAAGCGTGTTTTTAAGCTAGTGATTGGACGTCATGAGATTGAGTAATACAATGCTGAACTTATGCGATCAAACTACTATTCAATGTACATAAATCTAAATTTAAACAATACTAATCATCTAGCAGTTCCATACTAAGGGTCACAACTAACGACACACATTTTTTGCGTGTACTGAAATACTAAAGTACTGACCTGAGACAGAATATTCAAAATTACTGAAGACGTAACATCGTTTATTGCTAAATCCAATATCATAAATCTAAAAAATGAAGCATCATGACTGTCGATCGTCTCGTAGTGTCAAATTTTAGGCAATTCTAACATAGAGGGTTTATGAAACAATAACAAATTTAAATAAAACAAGAATCATTATTTATCATCGTGTATTTTATTATAGACAAAATTCAAATCGTTGTTAGACTAAAAATAAATATTAGATATCAACTATCGCTGTCAATTTTCAAATTGATCTGACTAGACATGACTAGATTAATTTGTTAATAACACACTACATTGAATTTATACGTAATGATTTCAAATGCGTAAATTCTAAATTACATTAACGCCAAAATTGGCACTACAAGACGAACGGCTTTGGCGTTGCTAGACGACATTTCACAATACAGAGCCTTGTCAAAAGTGAAATTAAGAATTTAGTAATAATATCATGCCAAACATAAAAAATAAAGTGTAAAATTGTACAATACGACTGGCTGTCAGTCACCTTGGCTGTCCTGGTAGTAGCATCTCCTTCTGTCGGCTCCTGTTGGGATGGGGATAGGGCAACTGGTTCTAGGGACAAGGTTGTTAGTAAATCCTCTCGAGTGTCGGTCAACGTGGGCAACGTATCTTCAGCTTTTGCTTCTGTGATATCACCTGTTGTTTCTAAACTTAAGTAAGAACTTTGATCCTTCCAACTACAAATACCACCAGGTAAATCCATGGATATATAATTAGAATCAAATGAAGTACTACTCGAATCTCTAGGTTCGTCATTGTCAGAACAATGACCCGAACTTCCACTAGGGTCTTTATCCTTGTCATTATTATCTTTCATTTCGAAGTCTATTGGAGACAAATCTGAGGTTCTAAGTTTTTTAGACATAGCAAGATAATACTGTCGTTCCGCATCATTGTAAACATGTTTATCAAGCCAAAATGAATGGTCTATAAATAAGTTTTGGTTCAGATTCACCTGTTTGTGAGAGCATGTTTCAAGTGCAAGTTTAGTATTGGAAAGATTCATATTAGTTTCGATTACATTTTGTCGATGTAACATTTTTTCGGCATCATTAATTATATGTTTTTCAGTAAAGAAATTTTCGGGTTTGATGTTTTTAATGTTGTTAGTTACGACATTAGATTCCACGTTAGCAACAATGTCATTAATTGATTCACCAGGTTGCATTAACATTTGTGTAGCTGTTAGTTTTGAAATTATTTGATCAGGATTATCATTTTTTGGGTCTTCAATTGCCAGATCTTCAATTTGGTTTAGATTTTCGGGTAAATCAACCCTTTCTTTTATTTTAAAATCAGGTTCTTGCAATACTGAGTCAATCATACTTACACTCACATGTTTGGTATCTAGGTCTTCTTCAATTCTTAATATTTGCTCATCATTCATATCATGTAATCTTCCTGTTTCCGATAAATTTTTTGTATCTAATAGCATTTTGTCTTCAGGATCAGGAGAAGCGAGCGATGGTGTCATAAAAGCTGATATTTCCTCATTGTCATACTCAATTGAAATTGGGCTGATCAATTCTGGAAGTACTTCATCACTCGTTTGAGACGAATCATTTTCGGGCAAAAGCATCTCTTCAATTTCTCTTTGCAAATCAGCCATTTTATTTTCAAGAGATTGTTCTTCCGTTATTTTTTCCTCATTTTTAGTAATTTGATCTTGAATTGTGCAAGTTGCTTTTTCGGCCGTTTCTTTTCTTTCGTTATTTTCCAAAACAGTATTGGTTTTCAAAGATACCTCGGTGCTGGTTGCCTTAAATTGATGATTTGCTTTGCTACTGCTTTCTATTTGGAATTCATTATCGTTAGTTTCTGATTTTATCGATAAACTTGGTAAACTATCTAAGTGACTTGGATCTACTTTCCAATACTGAGCTTCGGAAAATATTCTATCTTTGACAGGTGTTTGAGAGCATTCAGGTGTCGATATTGGCGTTTCAATTGCTTGTTTCAAGGCGTTCGATACAAAATTGGGATCTTTTTCATTTTGGCCGACAGTAGAATGACTACATTCATCCGAATGTATATCTATTTTACGTTGTTTTTCATTTTTCTTCTTATTTTTCTTTTTGTCACCCTTCATAACATCTACTGGAATCTCTTTTTTATCTATTATAATAATGTTTTTATTTTCAAGCTCGCTGTCTGGTATCAAAGCTGTGTCATCATTAGTATTAGCTTTTTCTACTGATTTTCCCCCACGTTTCTTTTTATTCTTTTTGATTGATTGTTTTTCATTAACAGACGCAGTAGGTTCATATTCTATCACTTTTGATTGAATATCTTTTTCTTTAGATTTAGAAGATCTGCTTTTTCTACTTTTTGATATTTTTATCATAGAGTTTTCAATTTCATCATCACTGTGGCCAGTTTGAATAATCTCAGCATTATCTGTATTCAATGTTGTAACAAGGGCATCAAATCTATTTTCAGACTTATCACGCTCTTCTTTAGTAGTAATATTCGAAGTTGACCACGCTCGATTATCCCTTGATCGAGACCTTGACCTTCGATGTCTTTCTACAGTTATAAATCCCTCAGCATCCATTGTAATTGGTGGTTTATGTAATTCTGAATTCAACTCCTCAATTAATATAACAGGAGCTCGTGTTTGTTCATGAGCATGAGGTTCCAGATTAGTTTCACTTTGGAAAACACGATCTGGTGATGTACGGTTAGCGGCAACGATATTAGCCCAAGAACCTAATGATTCTTCTGTTGCCGAATATTTTTCACTAATTTCTGAAATTTCATCTTTGCTTCTCAGCTCATTTTCTTCATCAGGCATATATGATGTTCCTACAGTATGTAGTGGACTATCTTTTCCGATGTTTTCATGATCCAAACCTTCAGCCACCACTTCAGCATAAGATTTACCCTCATCAGCAATGTTTGCCCAAACATTGATGATTTCTTGTACTGGAGGTTTTATTTCAACTTCGGAAGTTTGTGAATCATGTAATATAGATGTTTCTTCCCTTTTATCTTCTTTTTTCTTCTTCTTTTTATTTTTCTTTGATTTTACTGGAATCATCACTTCTTCAGACATCTCAATAGTTTCATTAGCTTGTTTATTTACTGGCTCAGATATATTAGAGTCATCTGCTTTAACATTATGTTCTTGTGGTTCTTCTTTGTCTTGTAATATCGATGAACATGTTACATCAGCAGATTTTGATCCACTTCTCAAGACATCATCATGTGTCTCTTTTATTTCAGATCCTGCATTATGTTGATACATATAGGATGGTGTAAATTCGGGTGCATCAGCTGACAAATTAGAAAATAGGACAGTATTTGAAAAAGAAGGCTTAAATTCAGGAATGGAATCAATCTCGGGTAGAAGGTCATGCAAGCTATGTATAGGGGATTTATCAGTACGTGTACATGTTTCGTTTTTAGATAGGCTTAAGTCAACATCATTGGACATATTTTTCTGATGTTGTATGTTTTCTTTGGGTTCCGATAATTGTTCCATACATTGACCACCTAAGATATTATCTGTCGTATCAGGCTCTAATGTTTTTGTATCTACTATGACAATCTTATTCATTGTAGGCTCAACCGAGATAGCATCAGGCTTTATATCAGGCTCATCAGTACGTGTGTTAATTAAAGAAATAGTTTCAGTTCCTTCCGTAGTATTTATTAATGTTGCGATTTCCCGCGAACATTCAATATTATACGTATCTTTCTTATCGCTTAACAGTTCACACTGTTCCGTTAGTTTGATAGCGGGCTCAAAGCTTTCATCTAATTGTGCAGGCGCGTTTTCTAAAGATGTGTTAGGAATATCATTATTTACATTTGTTGAAATAATATTTTCTCTTTGAATGTTTTCTTTATCATCTTGTTCAGTTCCATATTTCACAACTATAGGTGTTTTGTTCAGATCAACTTCAAAGGATTTTGGTTCCTGCATTATATTAAAAGAAATTATGTCAGACTTTAATTCGGCTGTATCAGTAATGATTTGATAATCTATTTCTCCTGATGATTTCATTTGCTCCATAACATCATCCTTATATTGATCTATATTCTCACTTGAATCATTTTTTTGTAATGGTTTACATTTTTCACTAATATGATCTCTCGTAGTTTCCATAGATATTTCCAAATTTTCTTCTGATTTCATTAGCAAACCTTCATGGGGGTCTAATGTCAGCAAATTAGAAACATCAATGGAAGTGGTTTCCAGAGATTTTTTATCTTCTTTTATTTCTTCATAATTATTCTGTTTAGATTCAAATTCCTCATATTTTGATTTCTGATTCATGTTTTGTTCTGATGAACTGAATTTATTATCGATACTATCAGTACCGCATTGTTCTTCAGTTTTACTATTATTCATATTTAGCGTACTTGGTAAATTATTGGTTTTATCACTTATAGTATTCAACTCAGAATATAATCCAGATGATTTTACTAACGCAAGCTTTGTTTCAGCATCTACCAGTTCACTGTATTTATATTTGTGATACGTGTTTTCAAAAGTAATGCTTTCTTTTATTTTATCCTGTTCATATGTTTCATTTAATCCATCTTCTTTTTTATATGAGGTCTCGTCCACAGATTCATTTTCATTATGAGCAATAGAAACTTTTGATAAAACGTTTTCAGCGTCTATAATTTCATGATAGGTTTGACGCAGTGGGCTAATTTTCACTTCCATATCCATATTTTCATTTCCTGTCATTTGCGTTTGTATTGTATTATCATTGTTTTCATCTTTCACTGCTATAGATATTTGCGTATTTGCGTTCGATTTTGTAGAAAATGCAAGCTTATTTTCAGCATCGTTTATAACTTGATAGTCATAACGTAATGCTTCTTGAGTTGGAATTATATAAGAATTTGAAGAATTTCCATCATTTGTGTTAATTTCGTCAATGTTGTGACTTTCTACTTCTTTTGCGATACATTCTGAAACAGCAGTTTGATTTAAGTTTACACTCAAACAGTGCTCATCCGCTCTAGATTGCGTTATTATTTTTTCATCTAAAATGTGATCGATTACTTGAGTTGAAATTGACTGATGATCATCATTGTTTTCAATATTTTTAACTTTTATTGGTGAATGCTCAGCAGCAGACTGAGTTATAATTGTTTCATCAACGATATTTTTATTTGTTTGCATCTCTGATATTTGAGTTTGAAGAGCAGTTTGTATATCTTCTGTTTTGTTGTCAGTACTCTCGAATGATTGAATAATGGCTGGGTGATGATCGACTGTAATTTGTATATCATCTTCTTCCAAATCATTGTGTGTGTTTTGAACAGCTGCAAGATTTAGTAAGATGGGGGCAGATATCACATTTGCAAAAATTATTTCAGCATCGTTTATTTCATGGTAATTGTACTTTAAAGCTTCCTCTTTAGGTATAATTTTTTCAATGTTTGTACTTTTTGTAGAACATGACTTTAAATCAATATCCTCTGCAGGTAAACAACGAGAGTCGAATTTATTGTAATTTCTATCGCCAGGTCGAATTATGTCTCTATCAATATCGATCTCCTCAACAATCTCCCCAATTGTGGAATCATCAACAGCATTCTTCTTTATATTTACATGTGTCTCAGTTTCATGAACGTTTTCATTTGGTTTGCTTTTTATTCTTTGAGATGACATCGCAAGGATATTTTCGGCGTCTTGTATTTCTCTATAACTGTGTCTTAAGATTTCCTGTTCGGGTTTACTTTGTTCGTGTGACAAATCTTGTTTAGTACTATGTTCAAGATCAAGATTTTGCATGTATTCATTAATTTTTTGGTTACAACTTTCTGATAGAAATTTGTCAGGGCTTTTGTCAGTACTATATATTATTTGTTGATGGTCATTATCCGTGTTTTGTTGTTCACTTTTTAGCTTTCTCTCAGCTAGAATTGCGAGAGCTATTTCTCCGTCTTTAATATCTTGATGATTATGTTTGATTATGTTTTTTTCGTCGATTAATAAATTAACTACAGACTGCTTAGCTTCAGAAGATTCCTGGTTTTCTTGACAAACATGGTCGATCTTCTGAAAAGTTTCCAAAACTTCTTTTGTTTCTATAATTGGAATTTCCGTTTGTAATTTAATATCTTCATCTTTGTTTTTCACATTTTCATCTTTGTATGTTTGAGTTTCGTGCGCTACTATCATATTTTCAAATATTTGTTCTGCATCACGTAATTCAACATCGGTTGTCCCTAATTTTTTTTCATTCAGCAGAGGCTCAGTTATTTCCAGTGAAATCTGACTCAATAAGTTATTTTTTATAAATGCGTCATTCATAGTTTCTTGATTTTCTTTTTCTCTTTCCAACGAAAGTTCATTACTTGGTTGCTTTTGTTTATTAGATTTTATAATGAATTGGTAATAGTTATATTCTAATTCATTCATATCCATTTCAAGGGAGTATTTTTTTGATTCTTCAACTAGTTGTGTATATGGGATAGTAGAAACTGTTCCAGAAGATATTTTTTTGCGATCTTGTACAGATCCGAATATGGCTTCTTCTAATATATTTTCATTTGTGACTGTCTCTTGTGATATTCCAAGTGCTCCTAATTCACCTACGTTATCTTGTGCAACGATTACAGTACATGGACTGTTTATATCCTCAGCAATATTTTGCAAATTATATGCTTTCATCGTATCACCATGTTGTTCATAGTGTGGTTTTATTTGTGATTCTAAATCTAAATATAAAGATGGTTCTCTGTCATCCAATTTCTCTTGTAATGCTTTTTCGGTGAGTCTTTTTTCATTCTCTAAAAAGTTTTCGATATCATTTTTGTTACTATCAGCTAAAATATGTGTGTTACTACCAACAGGTTCATCTAATTTTTTATTAATATTGGAAGACTTTTCATCAGTGATTTTGTCGCTTTTTTTCTCATCATTAATGAAACTAATATTTTCATCAATTGGAGATGTATCTTCTAGAGAATTACTCTTGCTACTAAATACTTTGACGGTCCTTATCGGTGGCAATTTTTTCTCTTCGTGTGTTATTAAATATATAGTACGCGTCTCAGCTTCTTTCGGAATATCTTGGAAACTAGATTGTTCTTCTATAAATCTGATTGAATTATCTTTCAGTGGTTCGGCTGAGAAATATTTGTCATTATTATTCTGCTCACTAGGAAGGCTTGATATTGTAGAAGTTTCTTGTTGTATATCTGTCAGTTCAGTATCTATTGATAATTTTCTACAAATTGGTTCTGATTGATTTATAGTAAACGATGAGTCTGCTGTGCCATCTATTACTGACGAGACTTCTTCACTAATTATTTTTTTATCTTCTTTTAATATAATTACTTCAGAAGCTTGCTCTACTTTTTTGCAAAGATCAAAGCTTGCATTTTCGTTTGCTATCAAAATTGGTTCGTTAACATTTTCTTCTTCAGCAATTAAATCATTCCAATCTACAGATACTAATTTGTTTTCTACATTCTCTAATCTTATAGATGCGTCTAATTTTTGGTCAAAATCTTTTTCGATTATATGTTCATCACAAGAAATCACAGTCTTGTTGAATGTTATTGTGTCTAAATTAGTGGTTTCCTTATTTTTTTCATGTTTTGCTTTTCCTTGTCTTTCTTTACTTTTCTTTTTATGTGATTCAAGTTTTTCAATTTCCTGTAAAGCCTTTTCAACTTCGTTATCCTCTATTTTATTTTTCTTCGGCTTTGTCTTTTTCTTTTTTTGAGTATTCACGTTTTCAGAGACACTGCTTGTTCTATATTGTTTATCTATGTCAACAGATGAAACTAGATCTTGAGCAGAGATAGATTCTTCGAAACATTGATTTGGTTCGATGTCCTTTGATATAGGCTTAAATTCTTCAACTTGCTCAACGATTGTTGGAACTTCTTGAGAAATTGGTTCTATTACTTTAATGTCTTCCGAAATTGGAATTTCTATAGTATCAGCTGTTTCAAATAACATTTGTTTTTGATTTTGAATATCGTCAGAATTTTTATTTTTCTTCTTTTTCTTTGTTTTAGGCTCCGCATCTAAACTTTCAGATAAAACATTATCTTTTGCAACTTCAGAGCATTTCAACTTATTAACCGACTTCTTTTTCTTACTTTTTGAAGGATGTGAGTCCTTTGGCGGTATTTTTATTGGTATAGTAGCATTTAAATTATTGTCACTTTCCTTATATTTTGTGGTCATTTCTAAAGTGTCTCTTTTAATATTATCAATATCTGGTTGATTAATAGTCTCAGTTTCCTGCGTACTAATTGCGAATGTATCAGAAGATACGTCCGTGTATTGCTTTGCACATTGCTGTTCCTTTTTAATGTCACCTTTGTGGTCAATCATATGTTTATTTTTATCCCCAACAGGGTAAACTATTTCATCAACACTATGTTTCTCCATTTCTTTGCTCTTGTCACGAGACTCTTTAGGCTTTTTCTTTTTGTTTTTATCAGATTCTTCGATTTCTTTTAAAGCTTTTTGAATCTCATCTTCGGCTGGTTTCCCTTTTTTAGCTTTATGTTTCTTTTTGGATTTCTTAGATTCAACTTCAATATTTATTTTATCGCTTTGTTGTGGCATGGTACCAACATTTTCCACTACTGTTTCAACTATGGTAGCACTGTGCTGAATTTTTTTAGTTAACTCCTTCTTTGGAGAATCTATCTTTGTAGGCAATGCTGTAGGAATTATTTCCACTGGCTGTAGAGTTTCGTTAGAGTCGTCAAAGTCTTGTACTTCAATAACTTTTTTAACCGTTTTTTTCTTTTTAGTTCCCTGAGTGTCATGTGCTTTAGATGGTCGTTTTTCTGGAGCACGTCTTTGTCTCGGCATATCTCTTGATCGACTGCGCTGCGATGGTCTCTCTTGGTTATCACGCTTAGTATTTAAAGTTTCTCTCCGATCAATTACCGATTCCGTATATTGGATAGGTTGAATTTCAGTACTTTCCACAACTATTTCTTTCATTAATTCTACTTGTGCAACTTGTGGTTTAGGGAGTGTTGCAACACTATGTGTTTTAACTTGTTTACGCAAGCCTAGTGCTAATATTTCCGCATAGGAGAGATCTTGTGAGCGATATTTTGCTGCTGGACTACTAGTTCTTGTTACTCTTTCTGAAGGAGTCAATTCCAACAAAGTAGAGGATGGTATATTTTCCAACTCGGTGTGACTTTTTGGTTTTGGTAATTTGAACGTTTGATTTTCAGAGCTTGACTCTTCGTGAGAAGATGGTGCATAATATCCGCAAGTTTCTTTCATTACTGGTACATTACGAGTGACATAATCATCGACATAGTCATTCATACACTCATGTCTATAACGTTCACTTTCACTAACGCTATCACATTCACGAGACTCACTATATCCGCCGCTGGGCTCGAAAGTCATATCCTCTATCGGATTACACTGCACACAAGACTGAACAGTCACACTAATTTTTTCACTAGCACATGTATACACATCCTTCGGTGGACTATCTTTCTCTTTAAACTCTCTTGACCCACTCTGTTCTCTCTGTGCGCTGGGCTGTCTATGAGAGTCAGGTCGCTGAGCACTAGGTTGTCTAGATCCAAATGAACTAGATCTTGAGCCATAGCCCTTGACTATCTCGGCGTAGGTGGTGCCGGCAAGCAGCCAAGCGGGACTGCGGGCGCGCCGCTGCGGCGAGCGCGCGCGCCTTGCACGAGCGCTGTCACCAGTGGACACGAGCATGCTCAGAGTCCTCACCGGCTCGTCCAGCTCGCTAGCTGTCGCCGGCATCACGAAGTACGGGTCCAGCTCGTAGATAACCCGTGTCAGCTCATCGATACGCCGGTTGACTTCCTGATACGCAAGTATGGACATACATAATTTACAATGGGTTTATTGGAGTACGAAAATGACTCACGAGGCTTACGAAGTTGAGGATGATGAAAAGAAACGGCTGTAGATGAATGTGTCGAATGCATTTAATCGATACTTTAAATAATGTTTAAAAAATTACAAAGTAGGAATAGTGTTTAGATAGAACGCGAATGCTACGTGTCTCGGAGCGGATCCGAGTCAGGGCTTCCACGTTGGACTAACAGCTTGATTCGCTCGTTTCGCGCCTGAATTTTACTCTGGAGTGATTTCACTCTCTCTCGACACTCCTAATAGAGGATATCGACAAAGTGTTAGTAGCGGTGAGGTGAGAGGAGCGGAGAACAAAAAAAGAACGACATAAATAAACTGCTACTGAAGTGACGGTGACAAATGTACAGTGATCCTATTCGTCGCTCGAAGTATAAACAAAACTAGAATAATCGCAAGCCACCTTTTTAAGTGTGGTAATAGCCTGAGTAAGGGCTTACCTGTTGATGTTTCTGCGCGCGCTCCGGTTCGCGCGGGCTATAGTTGGGCTGCGCAGCGTGGCGCAGTTGCTGCTCAGCTTGAAGCAGTTGTTGACGTAGAAGCGCAACGTCAGCGCAATACGCGTCTACTTGTGCTAGAGCTGCGCCAAGAGCCAACGCTTGGGCAGACGTTTGTGCACTAAGAGCGTCCAAGGACGCGCTCAGTGCTCGAGCATTAGCCTCTACACCTTCTGGCCCTCGTGAATCTGCTGCTACACCGTCTGGACCGAAGTGTACCTGGTAGAAAGAGTTTAAATTAAGAAAGGTGTCCTGAAAGAGAAAACTTTATAAATCGTTAAAAATAAACTAACGTTCAGCTTCTCGACTGCATAAGTTATCTTCGTTTTCTGTGTCGAAATATCATTAATGAGCTTTTCCCGCAATGCCAGACGGTCCCGCAATGGTTTCTTAGCGTTTTGGGGCGTCTCGAGGGTTCTTGCGGTAGCTTCGAGCCAATGTCCGGCATCTTTTAATTTCTTCTCGCATCTCTCCCATTCTTCTGCAAGTTCTTGGAGTAGGCCATTCTAAAATAAAATTAAACATTAGCAAAAGTAATCACAGTATTATGGTCGTTAGGTACTCTTATGAATACTGACTGTCTTCGCTAGTCGTTTTTCAACATCAACTGTGGAGTTCTCAGCCGCTTCAAGTCTCGATGGGAGATCTCCTGAACTTGTTACACGCTCTATCGCTTCTATCTCTTTTGCCATATCTGCTAAATTCTTAGCTTGCTGCTTACAACTTTTCAGTGCGTTCTGGAAAAAATATGTTGTTGATTATTTATACTCATTTATAAATTTACGAATTTTTAAATCCCTTTGATTGCATTATGAAGAAAATGAATTACCCCATATTCAGTCTGTTTCTGTTGCGCCTCCTGCAAGTCGGCCAAAGGCAATGGCCGCGCTAGGAATGCACGTTGTGTCTCAACCCAAAGGAGGACTTTTTCAAGAAGTGCAAGGAATCTGGCAACAGCATCACAAGCGTCTTCGATAGCAGCTTGTCTTGTTTCAAGTTCACTACATACTGCAGCAAACTGTTCTGAGAGTGCTGTTACGGTCGATTGTACAAGTTGTCTTTCTCCAGCATCGCGACTGCCTTCCACAATCGAACGTGCATTGCGTGTCAATCGTTCCACTCGATCGGCAATATTTGGTATTTCAGATCTAGTTGCCACCAGGCGCTCTTTATAGGGTTCAGGTGGTAAAGTGCGGTCTCGTGCTGTCAATTCAGAAGCTCTGATCCACGCTTGCACATCTTCTACGTCTGTTGCATATTCAGATCGAGCTGTGCGCGCACGTTTCCATTCCCTTTCTTTCTCTTCCATTGCTGCCGCCAACGCTTCAGAAGACAATTCTAAAGCTGACAGCTCTTGAGCTACGTCAGCAGGTGCAGATCCACTGTACCGCTTTCTGCTTTCTTCAGTGAAATTTTTTGTACGTTGAACTAGTTCGGAAACTTCTTCTGCAAGTGCACGCACACCCCCCGTTTCGTCCTCGCCAAAGACGTAGAAAGTCTTCACTTTAGCAATAGACACGTCGATCAACTGTCGGAGTTCGTCTATCTTCTCCGACACTCGGTCGAACTCAGAAATGATCGTGTCTATCTCCGCGAGCCTCGCCGCAATAGTCTTTCGCAATCTGTAATAGAAAAATATTATTAAGCGTTTGGTTTGCACAAAGATCTACTGGGATATGAAAGGAATCGAGCAAAATACAAGTGCGGTAGAGCTGCCAAATTGCGACAAAAATAATCCGGCGCGGCATGACGCGGCACCCGTGACGGAGCAAGGTCGGCTATACCTCGTCGTTCGTGCTCGTTCGCTTGCGGCGCTCCGCTCGCGGCGCCCGACCGTCGCTCAATGAATTGGACTCTATAGATTCGCCGGACGCATCTAAATTTAAATTCCACGTTCTAATGTTTGCATGGTGACATCAGAGATCGCGAGTTTTTTCGGTGCATTTGCCGACACGAGTGTTTACGTTTTGCACACATGGCCAACCGCATTTATTTTCCGATGATGACGTGACACTTATAACCTCCAACATATCATCTCGCAATTACCTATACATAATTAAAAAAAAATTTGCTTATTATATGTAACCTGTTCCGTTCAAGATTTTCGTAAAGGTTAATCGTATTGCGCAATAAGAACCGATTAGCGTGCCGGCGACGTTGCCGGCCGGCGCCGCAAGTTCTATGCTAAGCGCCACAGTAAATATTAAAAGGGGCCGTTGCCAAAAATTACAAGAGCACATGATCTTACAGAGTTCCAAATCCAACGAATCCGTTCTTAATTCACAGAAATAGTTCTAATTTTATGAGTCATCGCTCCACAGACACGTAGCACATTCACATTTGTATCACATAATTCAGTGTGGTTTGGAATAAGTTCTATTTCTTGCGGTCGGAATGCAACAAAGGCACCTCCGAGACTCTTTAGAGCTTGAAAATATTTTAAGAAACTGTTTATCTTCGACCACTTATTTTTGGACCGGTTTCGACAGAGCCGCTTTTAGTTTGCGGAAGGGAACAACCGTGAACAGCACCCCGATTTACTACGCCGCTCTGCGACACTTCGTCACTTTGGAACATATCGTACTTTTGCGTATCAACTTCAGCGAAAAATCTATACTTGTTTAAGATGGCGTATGGTCTAAGTATATCCCTATGCCTGAGCTGGTTCTAGTGCAGACCGCGAGGCCGTGACCTATAAAATCGTTGCGCGCATGCGCGGAACCGCTCGGAAATAGTAGTCTGCCAGTTTGAATAACGATTACACGTCCCTCGAGCTCAGATATTGTCTGCGATGTCTGCTCTTTAACTTTGTACCGTATTACAATGACATAAAGACACGACATCGTGTAACCGAGTTATCATGTTTAGGGTTGCTAAGTAGACTCGCGATTGATTCAATATATGACCTATAACAACGTAGTGATAGATTGAAAATCACGTCAATCATTCTAGAAGAAAGTTAATTCTTTATTTATGTTTGAGTATATTAATAATCAATATTAATAAAAATGCACCGCAAAATGCGTTGCTAAGGACATAACTCAAGATTCGACAAATTTTTATCCAAATATTTTTTGATGTCTGAGGAATATTTTTATAGCGAAAAACCGGCCGTGGTACAATGTGCTAAATAAAATTCGATGATTATATGAGGATGTTGTTTCATTCTATAAATTATTGCGGACTTGTATATACCAATACCTATACAACAACGTTGTATTAGCTTCCGGTAAATTAATAAACTATGATGTCATCGTCATGACAAATCAGATGAAAGACCTTTTGAACTTATTCGTGTTAAGTTCTTGTATACTTTTAACTTAGACATGTTATATAAAAATAATTTGCTTTATGTAACATGTTTTTATGTTGTTCGTGTAGTTATTAGTTTTTCGCTGATAAGTAATTAAATATGACACAACTATCACTATAATTACATAGTATTAAACAAAGTCGCTTCCTCTGTCCCTATATCCCTTTGCATGATTAAATATTTAAAACTACGCAACGGATTTTGATGCGGTTTTATTCATAGATAGACTGATTCAAAAGGAAGGTTTTTATGTATAATACAAAACCACGCGGGCGAAGCCGCTGGCGGAAAGCTAGTTAATTATAAAGAGAGTTTGTTTCCATTGTATAGAAAACGAAATTACTGGACAGATTTTAAAATATTTTTCACCTCCTTAAGCGGGTGATGATAGGCTATAATTAATGCGAAGTTCGCGGGAAGACAGCTCGTTAAAATAACCAAATTTTACGGTGTACAGAAATTATGTTATTTTTTTAAATAATTGTAATAAAAAAAACATTTAAGTATAAAATATTTACTTTGTACTGTTTGTAATCTTGACTGGCTCTGACGAAAAAGGTTACGTTAAAAAATAAAAATTAATCATTATAATGTCTCTAATGCCATAAAAATTAATGACGTAAGAAGTTCATTATCAAGAAAAAATTAAACAGGCCTACCAACATCTATTCATAAACCATCATGTTTTATTTTAAGCTTAAAATTGTGTCAATTCTTACTATGATCTCCAAAAAACAATATTATTTTAATGAACAAAAGGTAACTTAATAGGGATTACATTTGGGTACAAAAAAGAAAGATTCTATTAAGTCCATCAGTGATATAATAGAAAAATATTACATATATACATTTTTTTTTTTTGCTTTAGTTCAACAAGAGATGGCTTAGATAAAGTTAGAGTAGTGGGACCTCGCTGCGTCACAACTATGAATAGTAATGTACAAAGGTGTGAGTGACGTCATGTGATATTTCAAGTCATTAATTTATTGATTCAAATAAAAACAAAATACTTGTTTAATATCCTTCAACAATCTACCCAATGGACAGACGAAAAAATTTGTCATCATCCTATTATTTGCTTATTAGACAATTTTGAGATTTATTTCATATATATTGAAACATAATTTTACTTCAGTGCAACAAAAGAAAGTATACAGTGGTGGCCATATAATTAAAAACGCTCCCCCGAAAATAGTTCATTTACTTAAAAAAACAACATATAGTTTTTGTATGTATTATTTTTTTATTATTATGGTACTCCGAAATGTTTCTACATTGTTGGTACGAAAGTACTACAAATAAGTAAGTTCTACAAATTAGATTTAATTATCCACGAATAAAAAAAAAATATAAATTACGCAAACGTAAAATCGAATCCAAGAAATACTTCTTACTGGCTGGTCATCTAATTAAGAACGCAAACAATTTTTTTTATTCAAATTTAAACAAAGTACACTCTATGGTTATACTATTTCCTCATAAATCTGGAGCCATTTAGTAGTGTAAACACAATTGGAACGTAATTTTTCAAAATAATAATGGGAAAAAATAAAAGTTTCGATCAATTTCTAATGCAAAATGTCAAAAATTTATTGAGTCAATGCATCGTCGGTGTAAAGCAGTTATTAAGAGCCGTGGACATGCGACCAAATATTAATTTTAGTTTAAAATATGTTTGTTTACATTTCTTATATTATAACATAACAATTACTACGCATTTTATTTTAAACATTTCACCAACAGCTTAATAGTATTCTAATTATTTGTCCAGTTTCATTATCATATACTATAATACTGTGCACAATAAATATACTTTTACAAAAAGTTACTATTATATTTATATGTTTATCCAAGTTTAGTTTATCTTAATTAACTGGCTCTCTGAATACGTAAGTAAATACTTACAAAAAGTAATATTAAAAAAAGGGCAAGTTTCATTTAAAACATTTTATAAATACAAATCGATCTTAATTATATGGCCACCACTGTATATTTTTATTTAATATAATAACAAGTGTCAAGACAAAATACCTTTATGTCTTGACACTTGTTATTATATTAAACAAAACACCTATCTATGTCATTGTGCCCGACAACGTAACAAATAACGACAGGTGATAGTAAATTGCATGTACAAAAGGTGCAATTAATTACTTACTCGCAAACTGTTATGATTATTGTAAAAGCCGCATAAAGCCTTCGGGTACAAAGTGACTCATATTTATAATTTTTTACTATAAAAAGGGTAAACCTATATGTAAAAAAAAAAAAAAAAAAAAAGTTTTCATACGTATTTTCTATTAATAACATTTTGATTGTGACAGAAATATGAGAAATATTATATTTTTGATTTAAGTTTATTAGGCTTTATTTCTTTATACAAAACCAGTTGAAAGTTAATATTTTTTGTGGACGCCTTTCTTTAATAAAGCTCAATTTTGTTTTATTTATAAATATCACTTATATGGTTCAGATTGCAATATCAGCGAAGTCCTCTTATTATGGTGTATGTGAAACAACGAATGTACCATAATACAGATTTGAGAGAATATAGAGGTCATTTTCTACATTGACCCGACTGGAAATCACACCTGCACGTGTAGCATAACAAACTCGAGAAACGCTTTGTTACTTTCTCGGGTCGAGAGTGAGATGTTGTATGAGCGCACCCGAGAAAAGTGACATTTGAGTGTAGACCAAACGTTCTCGAGTTCGTCATGCTACGCGTGCAGGGACCTCCGAGATGTCGACCCCTTGAACCCGGTCTCCGAATTATTTATTTTTAAGGATTCCAAGTAGGTACATGAACAGAATCAAAGCTTAAACATAGGCCTAAGTGTCTAATTTTATAATCTACCGCAGTCTTTTTCAAATTGACATTTGAATAATATTCACGACTTTCCCGCTACAACTATTTTCCAATTCATAGCGATTGCGACGTTTTTTTTAAAAGACAATAAATTAAGGATAAATTTCACATTAATTCGAATGGTATGAGGCAAGAGTTACACGAATATTACTTTTAAAGCTATTGAGTTATGTGAAACGAAAGAGTTGAATGCTAACTGCAATTTTTCGACGGATTTAGCTAAGTTTTTATGTTTCTTGATCATTTAAAATTCGTTAGAAAAGTGATTGCGACTTTAAATGTTACATAATGCCAATCACAATTGTTATACATTTGAAAGGGCATATGGCAGTACATTTTGAAATTAGACAGCTCGAATAACTCACTATTGTTAAAAATATTAATTATTTTACTATTGTTTTAAACAATAAAATCGAGAGGGACAACACTAGGCACGCCATTACGGCGGTACATTCCTATTTTCTTTGTGACAGATGGTTTCGGTTTTTAAAAATAAAATTCATTTTATAAACATCTTCTGGAAGTTTTTCATTACTTTGAAATTAAACAATGGCTGTAACAACCCATGTCGGTTAAGATTCGGTCACCCACCACCACCACGTAATTAAACTGAAATAGAATTTATTACGGACGCGGAATAACGAGTCGAGTCACACTAGAACACCAATACAAGGACGCGCTAAAATCACAATACTTTATTTTTTAAAGGTAGACTCAGACGAAATGTATTTTTGATTATATTTCATTCCGTTAATGATATATTGTTTAGAGAAATGACAGGAAATTAAAGCCATTGAATTTATTATTCTAAGTGTTTTAGTTTCAACTTATTTCTTTATCATTATCGCCAACAGTCCATTATTAGCCTTATCTATGGATGTGGCCAAATAGAGAGAATGGGCTATAATTCTCCACGTGGGCCCTTTGTGTATTGGTGTAGCTGTAATAGCTGGGGTCGACGGCTTAATATGCCTCCTGAAGCTCAAGAAAATAAATTTTGATTACCCATCCCATCGCAGACCAAACTTACAGCGCAATGGAACTCATCTTATGTATTTGATAACAAAGAAAACTTAGTATATAAATAAATAATAATACATATGCTAAAGTAGGATAAGTTGCGTCGAATCTGAATCGAACTTTATGTCAGCAATGTGTTGAAAATATTCTATTCGTGGCTAATATTACGTAAGACCGTCCTCAGGATCTGTACAGCATTTTAATTTCAATCTAATGCCGTAGAATTTAAAGATAAAAATCCATGGCAAATTTAGTGACATCAGCGTCCCAAATAAAATGCTATTTTTTTATTATGTAGCTTTACATATTCAGTGATGATTTCATGGTGCAAATAGCTGAGCGTCACGTGAAAAATAATAAGTGATATCAACGTCTTCTTTCTTTGAAGAGACGAAAATATTTACTTTAAAATATCTTTTTTTTTCAGACGTTAGATCGGAAAATTAATTAGTAAAGTGAATATTTTAAACACCAAAATTTATTCTTTATATAAAACGGTGATGGTAATGACATACTCGATATGTATAGATCTACACGAATTTGTATGTAAAGTAAGGATAATGTCAAATATGTGTAACGTTTATAAGTTATGCGCGGGCGCAGCTATGATAAACGCGAGCGAGAGGCGCGACGAACAAGTGCCAGTAAAAAAGCTTGATTAGAACCCTAAACCACATTATAGCATAGTTTTATCACTTTTTACTGAAATAAAGTTACTGATTACTCTTGCTTACGATAATAATTAAAAAAAATCTCTATGAAACACATCCGAGTGGCTCGCGAGTTAGTTTCAAGGTCGTCATCTCTGAGATTCCGAGTTTATTTCCGGTTGGGTCAATGTAGACGATGGACTTTTCTATATTGTCTCGGATCTGGGTGTTGTGTTACCTTCACTGTATTAGATACTCCATAATGAGAGTTTTATGTGTATTGCTTATAAATAAATTAGTATAAATACGTCACATGTTGTCATTTTCTCAAATATTTATTTATTATTTGATTGAAATCTAAAATAAAATCAGATTGGGTCAACTACTTTTCAGCCTATGCGAGTCATAATTATTGAAATTTTGCTTCATTAAGGTAACGTAATAGAATCTCTCACGTTTCTAATATTTAATTATAGTCTAATTTTTACTGACTTAATGATACTGAACTTTGAATTATATATCATCATAGACTCTTCTATAAAATCTAATATTATGGAGAGAAAAGATATGGTTATTTTTTGCATTGAATAGGCTCCGAAACTATTGGAATGATTCTAGAAATTCTTTTAGCCACGCGAAGCCACAAATAGACTGTAATTTATACGGTCGAGGCCGCGGGAAAACAACTGATTGTATATAAAAAAGAATTCATGACTTTCTCACGTCCACTTCTACAAACTGACATTGTAAACATGTTACCATATATATAAAGTGAACCGACCGAGTCGCCCTTGACCGATCCATACACGAAACGGCCTATAATCGGAGTGACATCACTGAGCCATTATGAACGCAATCAAAAGGAACTGTGACGTACTGAACTGAGCATAAGGTGTGTATTCCAATACAGGTTAGATCAGACTAATAAAAATTATTTGGCAACCGTGTGTCATTTCCCGTCGTCGTTTGTTTCCTTTTTGACTTTACTTATGGCGATTTAAGAGAACTATATTGTTTTATTTACATGTAGTTGTTATATTTTTAAAGAAAAAAGCTTAAACTTTGTCCCTGGTAATCTGAGATGGATTATTCATGCGAGAATTGGATTCACCAACGAATATTGGTAGATTTTGTGGGTAGGTCTCGACTGCAGATGAAATCTTCAGCGCCGATTTTGATGTGAAACTAAAAAGTAAAACTCGAGATAAGAAATAAATAGTCACTCATTTAACTACCAGCCCTCGCAAGCAGCACATCCGCAGTATAAGATTGGATACATCAATCTTAACACTATCGATCTTGAATTTTTAGCCATACAAGAATGTGCGAGAGTCAAGATCTCCGTTTCAAAAGTAATCTAAAAATAGTTCAAAGTTCTTTCTTTATTTTTGGTAATATTATTTTACTAATTGTTGCGGAATGTCAATGGTATTATTATTGGCTTGTTTTGTGTCAATATTATAAGAAGGTTACGTTCACAACACTAAAAAAAATTTAAAATCTTCATGCACAATATCTGTGTTGCGTTGTAGAAACTATGATAATGCTATGAAGATATTTTCTTTACGTCTCTTATAAATCTGACATCTACGTGATAATAAATCAAGTAGACGCTAACTGTTTTGTTCAATGTTTACATCAAATGTTGTACTCGAATAACGCTCTTAGTTTTTCTATATATATGTTGACATTGCATTTTTTTATGGATTACACAATTCGTATTTGCCACCTCTTTTTTATTTGTCTTGCCAAGTAGGTTTCAATACGGCAGGTTAGTGGGAAAATTATTATTTTCAACACGAGTCGTGCACGAGTTGACATTATTTTGACCGTTTGCCAAAAATCATAGTTTTTCATTTGACTTCCGGCGTCTATTGGCGCGAAATATTTTCCACGCTTTCTGGCTTCGCATAATTAGCAGAAACCAAAGAAACATCAATTAACTAGCACAAGATAAACATTATTTTACAAGTGCGTGGCGTCTCATATATCATGACGATTCTAAATGAAAGTTGTATATAAAGGAATTGCTAAATAGAATTGAAAATGAAACACGAAACAGATTATTGAACATTTGTTTTGATTCTTTACTATTAAAATTTTACAATAATAGGTTACAGTTTGGAATATCACAGATTTAACGTGTTGTGTGTGATTGATCCAGTTATGTAATGTTTGTTATTATTAACAATAAGCAATAGTAGAAAACAATCTTTCTATTGTTTATCAATTAATGTTTTTTCTTCTTCTATTTCTGTAAAAACTTTGAACTGTGGTGACATAAAATCATAAGCATTGGTTTTATTTATTATACAAATTAAATACCTACATAAATTGTGGGGGTCTCGTTACCTAGGCCAATAGTTGAAACAATCGCAAGATGAATTTCTTTTGATTGATAAACTAGTTAAATTTACTTTACTAGAAACGGCCAAAATGTGGTACGTCATATGAGCTATGATTAAATTAGAATAATAAAATTAACTTTGATTATAATATCACTAGCTATATTTTAATTATGATCTTTTACGCTTATTTTTTGTATTTAAGTATATAAAATTAAAATAAACACACCTCGTTTTGCCGATCCGCCAGTTGCTTCTTTCTCTTCTTCTTATTCGATAAAACCACATCAAACACTAATAGACATCGAATGTGGAGCACGGATAAGTTTTATAATGTCTACACTAGGACACATTTCATTTGTTTTACAAGAACGACGAAAATTAACTCACAATTTTTTTTTATGTTTAACAAAACCATTTGACTTTATGTTGTGATTTGACGGCTCACCACAGAATAAACAAAACACGGATACATACTTCAATCAACAGTAAATTAGAAAAAAAAATCCTAGATACAATTAAAATGTACACAGAAAAAAAATATAATAATCTATTACTGACCTTCATGATGAGTCTGTGAATAAATATAATTATGAGAATAAAGACACTGAACAATTAAAACTGGAAAACAGTTTTAAAACACAATTCCAGAATAAGGTGTTGCATATGGTGATAAAATAGTATGTAATATGAATAGTCTATTAAAATATATAATAACACACGACACACAGTACTCACTTCTCATAGTTCTCCACAAGCTCTTTGACGTTTCCGTCTGTATCTTCAGCCACTTCTTGAGAGTGTGTATTCAGGAGGTTAACTATGAAGTCTGCATGTTCTAATAGTTCATCTCTGGTGTCCTCCAGGCTAGCCACGTCAGTTTGTAGTTCCTGATCAAAGAAACATATTATTAATTTTGATCCTGCAAGTGATAAATTAATAAAAGTTCGTTTCACTCCAAAATCAATTAAACTGTGTTTTTCATTATGATTATATGTGAAATAAACAATGGATTAGATACACTACTGTGTATCCAAATTCTGATAAACCAACGACGTATTAATTGCCTGTTGTTTAGAATTCGGACTTTAAAAATAACTAACATCCAGTTGCACAAACGTCCATTAGTTTAATACGACATTACCCTTACAAATTTGACATTCATTAGAGCTTAAAAGCGTCATTAAACGTTAATAGAAGAATGTGCAACTGACCATAAGCCTTCTTAAAAGTAGATTAAGTTTCCTTCAATAACAGCTCATGAGTTATTGAAGAATCTTCAAAATACATTTATGTTACTTTATAGTAAACAAAAATATAGTATTTATACAATGCACTGATCTCAAGATAAGTAGATAAACATTTCTAATTATAAAAATCAGAAACAATAACAACTTTCTAGATCCAATAACCTGAGACCCGACTCAACTGGGAAACTGACCTTAGCTATATAGCTTAGAAACATATTAAGAACTATTTCTACATGACCTTAAACTCTATACTTATAAGTACATATGTGCTTATTGTCAAAACTTGTGGCAATTCAAATACTTAAAGTAAAGAAGGGTCACAAATGATTTATTTCTACAAATCAGTAGCTTGTAATACATTATATATCAATGAGAATTTCAGGGAAAATAAAATAAATAAATTAAGAGTCACGTACAAAAACATGAACAATATCTTCGTACCGACAATTTCTAGTTACTCATGAAAAGCGTGAATAAATTTAAGAATTTAACTTTAAGAAGGCTTGCGTGTTCTTAACTTAACAGAAACAATAGATCGTAAATACCTAACCTACAAGTACCAACGTTTTGAATGCACAGTTATTTTATAATATTTAGTTGGAAAGCCATAATTCCGCTACATTGTTCAGCTTATTGGAAAATTTTTACGTTTGTTCATATTTTTTCTAGTACATGTTAGAGTGTTTTTGTAGCTAACTTCTACTAAGTGTCTATATCAACTTAAATTTTGTTTATAGTTTGTATCATTCATTATATAAATCGATAAATAACTTAGTAGTACTTTCCAGCACAATTAAAGTGATTGTAAATAATAATTCAAAAGCATATTATAGGGAATGATAAAGTTGTATGTGTAACTCTGTTTCCTATTAGTAAATTGTTAGTATCGATGGGTATTATTATTTGCAAGTACTGAGTTTCTAAATATGTATTAAGAGCCACTAAAACTGTAATTAAAAATTCTACTTCAAATCTTGATAAGTCATGAAGATTTGACCTTATTCTAGCATGTTCTATGCGTAGTTTTAACAGAGGGACGATTAGAAAGAGCTTTGATCGTTGACCCCAGAGTAAAAAAAAAATGGTATATATTTTTGAACTCCTGAATTTTGATTACTCAGAGGTTTGCTTAATAACCTAACCATGTTTAGCTTTACAATTGTATTTATCTACAGAATTGTCTTATATTACGTCACAGATGAAGAAACGTCTTGGTTATCTTTTATTATCTCAACAAAGGAATGTAATTTGAACAACAAGCATGCATCGTATGTCATTTCTCGGGTGCGCCCATACGATATCTCACTATCAACCTGACAAAAGTGACCTTTGATATAAATAAAGCGTTTCTCGAGTTTATCATGCTACACATGTTGATGCCAGGTAAGATGTGGCCTAAAACCTAAAAGGTGTATATTCACCCTTGAGTTAAACATAGGTCATAAATCCTAAGAATCACGAAGTAAATGATTCTCATTATATACCTGAAGAGCATGCCTGATGTCTAGAGCTCGTCTCCTAGTAGTAGGTGTGGCGTCAAGTTGCCTGAGCCGGTCTGATGCAGCTGTGATGGAAGCGGTAAGGCTTCTCTGCACGTCCAGCAATTGCGTCCAGCGTTGTAACTGGTGATCTTCCGTCGCCGCACGCTTAGCCAAGCCTGTGAATGTAATGAATATCCTTAGCTTATATTCTTAGCGGAATTTATATTTATTTATTTAACAGTTTATTGTACACAATAAAAACACTAAAGTAACAATACAAATATAACTGACACAACAGGCACTACTTATTTCTAACCAGAAATTTCTTCCAGTAGGCCTACGGAAGGAGATTCATAAAAAGTAAGGCAGACATAACGTGCACAATAATTAAATTGAAATATTTACAATAGATACGACTTTTGACCATAATTACATACTTAACATGAACATAAATGTATACTTACATATTATATACTTACATAAATAAGCATAATAAATAATATATATACATAATATAAGCATAAATACATATATAACATATATAACTAAAAATATTATATATACTAGACAACTAGTGCTCTTTGACTCGCTTTTTAAATACAGGTAATGATGGACAATCACGTACTTCGTAGGGGAGAGCGTTCCATAATCTTGCGGCATGGACAGTGAAGGAATAGGAAAAGAAATCAGAGTGATGGGTGGGGATTATAATTAGTGCCTTACATTTCAATCAACAAATCAGGAAATATAATTTTGCCATGTTCATTCGAGACAAATTCTTCACACGTTAACATTTTAATGAAGTATTTTGATAGTATTTTATACTATATATTTACTCATAAATAGAGGCAATTTGTTTTGGCGAACGTTGTATAAATTATGTTATGGTAGGCACTTGTTATTAAATAAGAAATCGAATTATACTTGTCACGTCTATTAAGAATACACCATTTGTCACCGATTTAGTATCATCGTCTACATCATGAAGTGTATTGTTCAACAGCAATGATCCAAAACTGTTGTGACCTTCAGTTCATTATAAGCATTAGTTAGGTTGATTACTTTTGTAAAGCTAATCTCTAGAAAAACAAAACTGTGAATATTTCATTGCTTCTTTGAATACTCCAACATTTCTTTGTAACGATTGTGATTCGTTTAAAAAATATCCATTTTGAATACAAATTGCAAGCAACTCGGTAAATATTGGATAGCAATCTATAATTCTTTTTTAATCTCTGTAAATACACCAAGGTATTTTTCTAATTAGTGCTGACAAATGAGAACTGTGGCCGCAAATGTTCTATTTGCCGAAGTTGACTTGCTTATCTTCTTCTAGGTGATTAGTAACTGACCTTCACAGGTGATGTTCCATCGGTCGGCTAGTTCCCTGGTCTTCTGCTCGACGCGTTCGCCGCTGGCTGCGTCCGCGCCGCTGCAGAGTTCGCGAGCACGCTCCCGGACCACGTCCAAGAGTGGCTGCTGATTCTGGCGATCATAATAACAGTGATTAACTATCAACATTTTAGGTAGCAACTTGACTAAATGAAATTGAATACATTAATAATTAAGAATATGTCCCGTAAATATAGACTTCTGACTTTTCATATAGGTAATGTGTCCCTCAAAATACAAACAAGTTGGTTGTTAATATTTACTTTAACTGGTCGTAATACACATGTATCCTCTTGTTAATTAATTTATTACTATGTTTAATTATAACATTAAGTCATACTTATCATGACCGTGAATTTTTAAGTTATTTTGTTGACTTTGTGTAGCAACATACAATTCTACTAAATTGCATACCCGAGGTAATGTTTACCTTGTTATCAGTAGCATATATATACACATACGCTATAAACTGTTAACTGATAGTACTTCTGATAACCAGCTTTAGATTAACGAATATCTCGGAGACCATTCTATCAAAAACACAATGACATTTAATGTCTAAGCTGATATAATTGTCACGCATACCAAGTACCAAACCGTTAGGTACATTGGGCTAAAACTTAAATTAGTAACACGTTTCAAAGAGCCTGTTATCTTTTTTTTAGACTTTTGGAATATCCTAATGGAGGAGCCGGGTCGTATATTCTATTTGTTTGAGATCCATTTTCTTTTTTTTCTTTTTCAACGTATATCTCTTTCATAAATGGGTCCGTTTTGGAATGACAAACAAATACTTTTTATATATGATTAGTAGATTTCTTCTTTCAGATAAAGTCACATAAATAAATGCTCATTCATATTTAAATTTTAGTTTTTCAAGTGAATACTTAACGTGAACCAAAATGTAAACAATAGGAAGGTGTTTAATAATACAATATCGCAAAAGGAAGTGTACAACTGAGTTAAATCTAAAAATAGAATCGATGAAATCATTAGTTTCATGTTGTAATATTTTGTAATCAAAAACAAATCATTAACTATTAGGAATGCGTAAGTTAAAATGAAGTAAGTGAAATTTAAAATTACATTTTAGTTAAATTTAAAATTTAGTTTTTAACAAGTGAAACGGTTTACTTTGGCAATTGTTCCACTCTTACGATACACGAAGTTATATCAACTGGACCATATTACAAAACGTTGAACATACTGAACTATATTCAAAGATTTACTTAGAATTTTACGGTAAATAAACGAATACTCTAACCATAGCGTTAAAAGAAAAACCATATTGTTTCCTCTATTCTAGATATTTCATATTATACCGTAAAAATATACATTTCATAAAGTAAAATTGCACAACTCCTTATAATAGATAATCAACAGTCCGTTTGATTCACTTCGCTTTGAAAACCGGCACTATACTCACTTTCCTTTTGCGCGGAATTTTTACTTTTTAATTCTACAACTATAAAAAAAATTAGTAACCCTTAGTTACAATTAGTAAAAAACTTAATTAGGTACTCGTATATTGCACTTGTATAATAACAAAACGCAATAATAAATACGGTGGTTGTGTTTTGTTCTCATTGCGTCGAAGTACGCCACAGAACTGACAAATGGCGAAAAATTACAGCGCGCGCTCACGGCACCATGACATCATCCGTTAAGGCGTATATCTTACCAATTATTAATTTTATACCGAGTAATTTTAATTCTATAGGAAGGTGAACTTGGATTTTAAGTACCGTCTTAGCCTTTCTGTAACCTTATTCTCGAACTTGATTGATTACTTGCTTGCATGCTATATGAATTTTAGTAAACTGTCAACAAATCTAATTTAAACCATTTTTTTAGAGTTAAAATCACGTTGTTGAGAAAACTAAATAACATTTAGCTTCTTGATTTTAGGTAGCGTTGAATAATTTTTTTTTTTTTATAAATTGATTTTTGTTTGTTGTAAGTATATAAAAGGGAATTTGACGAGACTCACAACCCCTAACTAAATTAACATCTCTAGATATATAATGTTCTAGCTTTTGCCCACGCCTTCGCCCGCGTGGTATAGTTTTATGTCCTGAAATAAGAAATAAAAAAACTTCATCCCCTAATTAAGTCCCTTAGGGGACGAATTTCGTGAAATCCTGTCTTAGTGAGCACCTACATCTTAAAAAGAACTCGTATTCAGTTCGTAATATGCAACTCCTAGCACTTGTAGTAGCGAAGTTTCATACAAACTTTCATCCCCTTATTTAACACCTTCGGGGTGGAATACTCGCTTATTGCTCCTCTACACTCCCTAGGGAATCTTCATATCAAATATCAACTTTATACGCTCAGTAGTTTCGGCTGTACTTTGTCTGTTAGTCAGTTAGTCAGTCAGTCAGTAACCTAAGAATTTAATATATTTATGGAACAGTATACTTAAAATGGAATACTAAAACTGCTTTCCAAATTATTCCTTATAGAAATTTTAATACACGTTATTGCAAAGCCAAGCGAATCCGTAAACTGTTGACAAATTTTCTGAACTTCTTACAAATTTAATCCCCTATCACTACATTAGTATAAAACAAAGTCGCTTTCTCTGTCCCTACGTATGCTTAAATTTTTAAAACATCACAACGGACTTTGATGCGGTTCATAGATAGGATGATTCAAAAGGAAGCTTTTTATGTATAATACAAGACCACGCGGGCGGAGCCGCTAGCGGAAAGCTAGTTAGGAATAAATTATTAAGGAATTTCAATATTTCCTATCAGGGATTATATTCCAAATTCGGTTACTTTCCTCTACATAATAATACTTCAAAAGATTAATGATATCATATCTAATAATGTACTTTTGAATGCAAACAGACGTCTTTTTTAAAATGCTTTTCAATTATATTACATTTAAATATACTTTTTAAAATATTAAATTAAACGTGAATTTAAAATATATGTGTAGTAGCTTTATATTCAACAAGTCAGTAAACATAAAAATAAATAAACATCTCAAATATAAGATAACAAAACATAGAGAAGGGCTTTTAACAGATTTAAGGAATGTGTCGTCTTAAAACGGACACGTGCTTGACATTGAAGAAGTTAAATCAATTAATGTGGCGAGTGACGCATTATTAACAACGAGGCGTCACTTTAACAAGACCGTGAGGCAGTGCATTAACCTAGTCAGAATATCAGCAAAAAACTCAACATGGCTTACTATGATCTAAATGCATTCAAGGTCGCAAGTCTCAAGGCGCCACTTCAGCCATAAAGATGAGGAATTTGAAAATTGTTATAGCAAGTGAAGTGATGGTCGCTGCCGTAAAGATTCTTTTATTTGTCTTTCAATCAATTTTTAAAAGATTAGTTAATTTCTCTCAATTACGAAATCGATTTTAAGATATTTTTATCGTCATTATAACAATCTATACAAATTGTTTTATACGATCGTAGAATGTTATAAATTATTCGACAGTGTCACACACAAGAAAAAGGTTACTTAAATTGATTAAGATATGAAAAAGATATTACTTATATGATAAATAATCTTCACCATTTATCGTATAAACAAACAACACAGCAAGCTCTTCAGATAACAGTCTCTAAATTTTAATTATAAAACTAGGAATTTCTGATTTCAACTTATCATCTTCAATTTTTTAGCGGTTCATGTGATATTGTTTGAGTCTTATATATGTATAAAATAGAATGCTTCTCTTCACAACTATATTTGCAAGCTCTTTTTCAACGATCGGCAAGTTGATTGGATAATGGGTATGTATCGTACGGGACCTCCCCGGAGGCGGGATAACGACTAATGAAAGTAAACTGTCAATAGAGCAGTTTATACCGTAGGTGTTTCTGCATCTTCTCAGAAACATTTTTAAACAAATTCAAAAGTATTTACTTCTCTACTATCAAAATACTCTTCATCATCTAGCATTTATTAATAATAATTAATAATAATATTTAATCATTTTTATTTTTATTAATTTTATATGTGAAATAGGTATTTAAGTTTTAAATGACACGTGTCTGGGAAATTTCATAGAATATATCAGCGAACTAAAATTTGATTTAGTCAAAAGTGAAAGATAATATTGTTATTTATCTAGTATAAAGCCTTTTTCTTACCTCTAAGTCATTCTTTGCGTGCTTCAGCTTCTCTAGATGCATACGCAGCTCGTCTAACGTAGTGAAAGGCTCGTCTTTGATATCGTTCTTATCCAACATAGCTTTGATCTTATCTACCAATTGACAAAAATCTTTCCAAATCTCCAAGTCCTGTTCTAACTGAGCTAGACGAGATTTCGCCGAATTTAATGTATTCTTTAACAATTGATTATGCTTTTGATGATCTTTTGATAACTCTTCTTGTTCTGATGCTGCTAATGACGGCCAAATTTTGTCTACAATGTCCTGCATACGCTTTCCGACTAAATCCTTCATTTCTGGTTCGGAAGCATTAAAAAATGACTTATGCTCTTCCAAATCAGCTTCAATGTTTTCAAAATCAGTACCGTTTTTGCCCATGTCGAGACGAATATTAGCTTCATTTACCCATATATTTAATTTTTCGACTAATTGAAGGTATTGTTGCCTGTTCTTCTTATTGTCTTGTAAATATTTTTCTCTGTTAGTCAGCTCAGCTGGAAGGGAAGTTTTGAGAGAGTTTCCTTCTGATACCATTTCTAACAACGATCCGGGAACGCCATCATCATTTTTAATAACGTCAGTTATTTTTTCTAATTTATCAAGGTACAACTGAATATTTTTGGCCAAAGCAGCATGTTCAATTAGTTTCTTATCAACACTAGCTACATCTCTATTGAGGAGTGGACGAGAATGTACTAAAGCTTCGTTATCATGTAACCATTGTAAAATTTCAGATAGATCTGAAGCAAGTTTCTTATGTTCTGCTGCTGCTCGTTCATGTTCTTGTCTTTTTGACTCTACTGTTCTTCTCAAAGTTAAAAGCTGTTGTTTTAATGATTGAAGTAACTCTGTTATATTGTTCCTATCAATTACAGTGCCTTCTGCAGCGATTTGTTGACCTTTATCTGTAGCAGTAGCTAAGAGAGCTTCGCAGCCTTGAATTTTGCCAATGATATCATCATATCGTTTTATTTTATCTTCTAATGAATCATTAGATTTTTCTATATCGGCAGTCACTTCAGTATACTTAGAAATGAATTCTTCAATTTCTTTCACAAGGGCAAAGAACTGTTCTCGTAACAAGAGCAATTGCTTAAGTTTCGAAATTTGATCTTCAATAGTATCCATAAGATCATCTTGTTTTGTGAGAATATCTTGTAGATCGTGAAGATTGCCACCTTGTAATTCATTTAGCATGGCTTTGTTCTTTTTCAGATCAGAAAGAATCGATTCATAGGCCTGAATAATGGGCTGAACGTCTTCTACTTTACTGCCTATGGGTTTGTTTAGGGCTTTTAGTTTATTTTGAATTTCATTCAAGAATTCTAAAGCTGCTGCTATCTTAGCCGCAGCGTCTTTATATTCCTTAATATGTTTTAATAATATGTTCTTTTTATCATTAATGATAGCATTGATTCTTGCAAACTTATCGGATAGTATATTAACCTGTTCTTTAAGTTGCAATTTGTTAGAATCTGAGAGTGTATCCATAATATCTTTAGATTTGTCCTTTATTTTGGATATATTTTTACCAACCTCTTCTGCTTCTTTACTTAACTTTTCAAACTTAGCTAGTTGTTCCTCTAAAAGTTGCAAGCTTGTCGTTCGGAGTTCTGGAGTTGCGGCTACTTCTGCTTCATTTAACCAACTCTGGCACTTTGCAACTTCAGATTCAAAATCGTTTCGTCCATGTAATAATTTGTTCAACGCAGAAAGCTTGTCATCGATATCGACTTTGGCTGAAGTATAACTCTTATTTAGATCTTCTAAAATTGCTTGCAATTTAGCTCTATCTTCTGCTGAACAGTCTTTAGATACAGAATTACCTTGGCGTATTACCTCAGTTAGTATATCATTATGGAAATCAGTTAATTCACTTTGATGCTTTTTATGAATTGCTATTTCTTTTTCAACTTTAGTAGCCTCCAGAGGTACAGGTCCACCTAACTTCTTAATTTCAGCAAGCTTGGTCTTTAACCAATTCTTAGCCTTTTCAATATCATTTTCTAATTTCTTTCTATCTTCAGTACAACTACCAAGTCTCTCAATTTCTTGTTTTATTAGAGAAGTTAATTGTTTTTGTTTTGATGATAGTTCAGACAGTTCTGATTCCAGTTGCGTTTGCTCTGATGGTTCCAATTCAGATTGAATGTTACTTACTTTCTTTTCTAAAGAATCAATTACAGTTTTCTTGCCATCAGTTTCTTTTAACAAATTAGCAACCTTCTTTTGCCTTTCTTTAACTGATTTACTTTCATAACCTAAAGGTTCCGGGTGTAAAATATTGTCTATTTCTTTTTGCATCCAATCATTTTGGGCATTAACTTCACTCTTTGTGCCATCAATAGCATTATATGTTATCTCAAGCATATGTAATTTACGTTGTATGCGTTTGGCTATGTCATTGTATCGTCGTTCAACCGATTTCATCTGAAAACAATAACATTATAAAAAAGGTTCATTGTGTTTGTATTTTCATTTAATTTATTATTATATATTTTACTTACTTGTTCTTCAACTTGTTGAGACTCCAGATTGCTAACAATATTGATAACTTGTGAACCAACTGTCTTAATACCGTCAACCCTATCTTTTCCTGTTTGATCAAATTCTGCCGACAACTCTTTTAAAGCAGTTAGTTTTTGCGGGCATGGAAGGCCAGAACCTTTGTCTGCCAAACACATTTTTTTCAAAACTGAGTCAAACCAGTCGTGAATTTCTTGACACTTGTGGCGGAAATCGTCAATTATACCTTGATTGCCTTTTTCTCTTTCAATTGCTTTTACAATCGACTCCTCTAGGTTGTCCAAGTCATCTTCTAGATTCAATTCATCTTCTAAGCCTGTGATAAATTATATGGTTAATAATATTATTTTTTATTATGAAATAGTTGATTTTGTTTTTTTTTTTCTAATTATCTTACCTTCAGTTGGTATTTCAGTCAACAGCCTATTCCTCTTCTCTCCTAATGAAACTAATGCATCACTCATGGCTGCCATGTCTTGTTTAGCTGCTTCGGGTCGCAACTTAGACGGATTTGCAAGCCAATCACGGACAAGAGCGTTGTGGATATTGATCCATTCTTGAATTTCGATAACCTGTTTCATGGATTCTTCCATACTATGAACAGCGTCGCCAAGAGTTTCGAGGTGGCTTTGTACCTATGTAAATATCAACGTATTAACAAATTGGTTTAAATCAGTAGTTTATCAAAATATAGTGTCGTCTGTACAAAAATTAGTTTCCATGTTACTAAAGGCGTATGTTAAGTTTTATATCAAACAGCAAGCAAAAGCCTTACCCTCTGTTCAAAAGCCTTCAGTTTATTGTTGAATTCTGGTGCTTCTAAATTTTTAATAATAGCGTCGATGCGCGGTGCACTGCCAACTTCGTTCACATGTTTCTAAAAACAAACCATGCATCACACCATACAACACAAACACATATGCTTGTTAATTAGTACATAGGTTAAGCAAGAACAAAATCTTTCTTCAAAGAACAAAACGATACGAATATTACTTAAGTCATCAACTTAAGAAATATTCGTAAAATACCCGATTTCGATTAGTTTTAGTACTTCTACTTAACATTCTTTTAAATAATTAGTTTAGAGAATCCAAATAGTGATGTCTGAATAAAAGAAATATTTATATTAAAGACAAATAAACTCTTATTATTCTTGCTCATCTCTCGGAAACGTGGAACAGTTAATGTGATAGAGATAATTTTAAATTTGCTTATTACGTACTTAGTAAAATACTTTGTAATATCATTGAAACATCATGCATGTGTTAAATTGGAAAGAAACGCACACGTTGTTTTATTTGTACATTTTTGACTATTAGAGTGAACAGTTGGGTTACCAGGTGCGCAAAAATACTTTGCCAACGAAAAGCCTTTACATTGTTCGCTTTAACAAGCTTAACTACACTAAATCCTCTATCTACGTCTTCGAATATGATAAACAAATATTGTAAATTTATTATCTTACTTTAGGCACAATATAAACTCGTTGGTTTTGTTCTTTTTGTAGACCTGGCAAACTATAATCTATATTATTAATAATCTTAAATTCAGTTGAACACTTTGAAGCAGACTAAATATAGCCTCTTATTATTACGTTAGTCGTAAATAAGGGCCGTACTACTTAGGGTAAATGTACCATTATAATCGAAATCCGACATATCATAGACTGTTTTGTCGTCTTTTACAACTTACGTATTTTCAATGTTTTTTTAGAGTCAAATTAGAAAAGAACACGATAAAGTTATCGAAAATTCATTTTCAGAATATAATCTCAGAAACGACTAACTTATTTCGTATATCAGAAGTCACTTTAAAGCATAGTTTTTCAAAATGAAGTAAATACATCGGAAGAAAGAACAGATGTTGAAGCTCTAAGTACCTGATCGATGAGATCTTCTAGGCGCGCTCTAACATGAAGCTCACGTGCTGGAATCGGTAATGGTGCTGTATCAGCTGGTGATGAAGGTCTGGAAACGGAAGCAGCAGCTGCGGAACAAGCTGCTACTGCAGCTGATAAACGACTCTTCTCTGTTTGTAGTCGGTTATGGAGGGCCTATTTGATATTAAAGGTAAGTTAGTTTATATGATAATTATAAAAGAATCCACTTTTTAAAGTCATGGCATACATACCCTAGCTTTATCTAATAATTCTCGACCATGTGACAAACCATCGACAGGCACATCTAGTTCTGTGATGGCAGGCTCACATTCATCCAGATTATTCAAAATACTTTCAAGAGTATCTTCATATTCCTTAAACTTAGCTAATCCCTCCCTAAGTCGGCGTTCGATTTGTAATGCAGTGGCAAGTAAAGATTTGTGACTGTCGTTAACATTCTTCAGTTGTTTGCCTACAGTGTCTTTAATAGAAACCGTAGTAGCTTCATAACGTTCAATCTGGGCTTTACCCTTAGCTTCTAACTCATCCAGAGTCGATCTGTATTTCTGAATATCGTCCAATAATACAGCATGCTGAGCCAGTTGTTCTTCAGTTTGCTCCCTGTTTGAAATGTATAAAGAATTGTGAGCCATAAGTTGGAATGAAATTTGAAGCAACCATTTCTCGGTATCTTGTAATGATTGATGATATTGATTGTAGTCTTTTATTTCCGACTCCAACTCGGCTTTCTTTGCTACACATTTAGCACGCAAAGCATCACACTTCTTTTCAATTTCAGTTACTGATTCTTTTACTGCAGGATTTTTGGCCCATCCACTCAATTCAGCTGCCTCACTTTTTAATCTTTCTAATTCTGGTTTCTTATTATCTATTTCTTCTTCAATGTGTTTATATTTTTCTAATAATGTCTTCATCTCTCCTAGTTCTCCACCAGTGGCTGGAACTTTGTCCAAGTTTTGTTCGGTATCCATGATCCATTGATTCAATTTATTCTTAGAATCTTCAAAGTCTTCCCATTTACCAATAGCAGCTTTGAGTTGTGCAGTGATGGAGTTTAAGTCAATCTTCAGTTGGTCCCAACTTTCTTGTAGAAGGGTAACATCGTTTCGCAAACTATCTTGCTCTTCTGGTGGAGTATTGTTGAGTGCTTTTTTGAATGCTTCTTGCAATACTACCAATAAATGATGACCTTCTGTCATTCTGTTGCTAACTAATTTAATCGTTTCAAGCTTATCTTTAGTTGTTTCGATGTCGCCTACCCCAATCGAGTCTTGTACGGTTCCATGTGCTGTTTCGAGCCATTGTTGCAAGTCCTGTTTAGCTTTTATGAATTCCGTATGGTCTGATAGATTCTTTTCTCCATTTGAAACAAGACCTTGAATTTTGGTAAGCAATGCAGTATATTCTGTTTGCAAATTGACAGTTTTATCCCGTACCCAAGCACAAGCACTAAGTTCCATTAGATTTTCACATCTGTCATTCAGTTCTTCCAATACATGCTTGTGTCCTAAAGCTTCAGTCAATAATTCCTAAAAAAGGAGAGAAAAGTTAATTTATTTTTAATTAATATATAATTGTGATTGAATTATATTTATATATTGTCATTTATTTATCACTTACCCGACATTTATCAAGATGTTCAGGAGTAATCTTATCTACTTTTTGGACGGATTTCAATTTGTTGTCAAATTCCTTAACCCATTTACTCATTTTGTCTGATGTTTCTATGAAATCTGACCAAGCAGACAGGCATTTTTCCAATAATTTTTTGGTATCCCTACAAATTTGCTGAAGATTTTCCCATTCAATCTGTAACTGCTTGATTTCTTGGTTTATGTTATCCTTTCCTTCATTTCCAGTTGTTTTTAGTACCGCTTCACTAAGTTGAATTGTTTTCTTTAGAAGTGCCTCTCCTTTAGGTAAGGATTCGATAATGACGTTAACATTTTTAAGTTTCTTTTGTACCTCTTCCTTTTCTCCATGTGAATCTGAACACTGCTGAATTTCTATTTTACAATTACGTATCCAGTCATAAAAATTGTCATATGATTCTTTATATTGGATGTGAGAGTTAACGTATTCTTCAAGTTTCTAAAATAAAAAAAAAAATTACAATCTTAAATAGTCTAATTTTGTGATTAAGGAGTAATCGATAATTTCTAACAAAATATGATACTCACTGAAATCATTTCATTTACGGTCTTTCTGATATCATCATAACGCTTCAGAGTGTCTTCAATATCTTTTGATTTCAAAGATGCATCTTCTTGAATTTTCTCATTTAATTTCTTAATAAAATCATTATGAGAATCAATGTCCCGATTGAAAGTTTTGAACTTTTCCAGTTTCGCTTTCTTTTCAGATAGATCATTCAATAAAGAGTCATCAGACTGTATCTTTTGGTCGATGTCATCTAACCATTCAACCAACAGCTTGTGAATCTTAAAAAAATATTTTGAAGTATTTTAGCATAATGAAGGAAGACAAATTTATTTTCTAAGAGAAAGAAACACGGCATTAATTTACGAATTAGTATAATAATACTTAAGCTTCTATTTAGTTTGTATTATATTTAATAAAGTAGGTATAAATTAAAAAGACAAAAATTTATGAATATTATTGTAAAATCTTATACCTTAGAAATATCATCGAATTGTGCAGCTCTACTCATCAATTTGTTTCGAACATCTTGTAGGTCAGCAATTAATTTGTCAAATTCTTGTTTTAAGTTATCCGTATCTTCTTGAATCTTCGCTGCCCCTGTTTGTTCTGTATTCATAATAACTTTCTCTTTCAACTCCAAGAGATACCTCAATTTGTTTTGTCCTTGTTCCAAAGACTGCCGTAACAGTTTTACAGTATTCAATTTACTATTTACTTCTGGCAAGGTATTTGGTATCTCAGCACATTGGTTAAGTTTTTCACGAGTTCTGTCCAACCAGTCTTGACACTCACCGTAAAGGGCATTATGTTGTTGATGTTCCTTAAACAGGGGAAATTAAATCAATAGTTTTTTTATACAATCTTGATTCAAATTGATTTGATTAAACAAATATAATTTGTATTTGAAATACGTGAGCACAGAATATTTCTTAGGACACCATAATTTTCTTAAAGTTATCTAAGCTATCCAATCTGTAACGATTGCCTGGCAAAAATCGCTTATTAGCGATAAGGTTCTCGATTGTACTTCGCTTTTTTTTTCTTAACTATTTATATCCTTTATTTAATGGTGTTTGTACAATAAAGAATAATTAATACATACATTAAACGACAATAATGAAATTTGATGTATCACCTGATAATGAAGTTCTAGCCTCTTCATTACTTCTTTAGCTAAAGATAACAATGCATTGTATTTTGTTGTTAACTGAGTAATACCATTCGATATTCTTGTATCAGCACAAGTTTCTAACAATGTTTGTGCATGCACATTGAGCTTATCAAGCTCAGCTTGCCAGTCAAATAACATCTGCAAATGTCCCTGGAAATAAAACAAATAATTTACAATTAAGTATAAATAAAAAAAAAGATGCGAAAAAAGATACCAATTGAATAGAAGCAATTTACCTGGAATTCTTCAAGGACGACTTTTTTCTGTTCCAAGTTATTTTGCAATTTATTAAATGATTGCACTAATTTTTCAGTCTTTGACAACCAATCCAAGGCTTCCTTGTATTGCTCTTCATATTCTGTCCACTTTACAATACCTCCTTCAATAAGAGCTTTGGTATTATTTAATTGCTCTCTACAATAAACAGAATCTCATTAGTTTCTAAGTAAAATTCAGTGAAAAGAAATACTAAAAATAAGTAATACTCACACATATGTATCGTATTCCTCTTGCATAAGAGCTACTTCTTCCTCGATTTCTTCCCTATCTTCATCATCTGCTACGCCACATGATATCTCGCCTTGTTCTAGAGCCTTTTGTAGTTTAACTTGACCTTCTGGCAATTCACTTTCAAGGATTTTTAGTTGTGATATTTTACTGCTTAATGATTCCTTGTCTCCTGTTGCATCAGAACACTTTCCTAATTTTTCTTTAGCAGCTCTTATCCATTGGACAAAATCTGATCCAGCGTCTATGAAAGCTTGATGTTGTTCAACAGCTTCTTTTTGTTTCTCATATAAATCTTTAGCTTGTTTAGATAGAGTTTCATATTTGCTAGTGATTTCAGACGCTGGTGCCTGTTGCATAAGTTCTGAAGCCTTAGAAGTTACGGACTGTATCATGGGTTCAAACGAAACGATATCTTGTACAATATTGTTTGTTTGACGAAGCGTGGCTTTTCTTTCACCAAGACTTAGACCAGTAGTGAGGCCAGCTAAGCGATCTTGACCTTTTTTGGACTTAGCGACCTTTTGCTCGCACACTTCTTGTAGTTTTGCTTCTCTGTCTGAGATCCATTGTTGAAGTTGCGAATAACTTGAACTATAATCAGCCCACTGTAATAGCGCAGTTTCCAAATGAACTTTTGCAGTTGTCATTTTCTTAACTAAACGGTCCCATTCATTTTGCAACTCCTTGAGTTCTGTATTTATTTTATCTTTGCCATCTGATCTTGTATTTCTGAGAACTTTTTCTCCACTATTAACTGTAGCATGAACCAAGTTTTGTCCTTCTTCCCTTCTCTTTAATAAATCCTCGATTTGTTCCAACCGTTTTTGAAGGGCTTCCTTGCTACTATTGCTTCCGGCTTCACTACCACTGCGAGTGATTTCCCAAGCATCATCAATCCATTTTTTAGTCTTTGCATAGTTATCATCATAATTTTGATGCTGTTCGTAATTTGTCTCTACTTTCTTTAGAACATCGTTAGCCATATTAACAAGAACTTGATACCTAGAATTGAGGTGCCTCAACTGATTATTGACATAAGTATCCAAATGTGATGCAAGAAGTCCAGCTGCAGAAGCATTAAATCTTTCAATTTCTTCTTTGCCTTTATTTAATTGGTTAACAATTTCTTTCACTTCATTTACCTGCGCACCTTTTTCTTTTGCAGAACCTAGCAATGCCAATTTATGATTCTTGATAAGAATTTCTTTTTGTTGCAACCAATCTGAAAGTCTTTCATATTCATCTTTATATTCGCGCCATTGATTAACAGTTTCTTCTAACTGATTTTTTTGTTGTTTGATTTCATTAAATAGGTCATCAAAACTTTCTTTTAATGCTTTCATTTCATTTTTTATTATTGTTTGACCTTCTGGCGATGTGCTAGCTAAAACCACTTCTCCAGTATGCTGAAGATGTTCAAGGAGAAGCTCTCCTTGTGCTTGTTTGTTTATGAGCGCATCTAGTGGAGCCACAGAGTTCTCTATTGCTAATTTATCGCTAAGAGGCTTTGATTTCAAAGATGGCACTTTTTCCCTAGCTCTACCTAACCACTGTATAAGTTCATCATGAGCTTCTTTGTATAGTCTATGATCTTTGTACTGCTCCTCACGATCGGCAAGTAGTTTTTTGATTTTGTCATACAGTGTGTCGAATTTATTCAATGTTTCTTGCGCTTTTGATGCGACTTGATTTTGTTGTCCACTTGCAATCATTTCTGAAGCTTTTGCTTTAAGCATGTCAACATCAAGGCGATCACAACGAGCTTTTTCCTCAACTTCTTTTAATTTTTCCAGTTGAACGCGTTTATCTGTCATGGACGTTTCAAATGGCGATAGCTCAGCCAACATATTTTCTAGCCAATTGTTACTTTTTTCGATAAGCTGAATTTGTTCCAAAAATCCGGCCCATTTTGTTACAGAGTCATCTAACATACTTTTAGTTTCAATAATTCTGGATAACAAAGCAGCCCATTGCTCTTGTAAAGTGATGAGTGAGTTATTTATTGCTTCGTGACCAGTTTGTGCAGTATTAGCCATTACATTTTGAGCAAGCTCTACAAGTGACTGTACTTTTGTAAAACCTTCATCCTTTGTTAGCAACAAGTTTTGGATCAGTACCAATTTAGTTTCTAAGTCATCCTGAGAACTGGAACTTAAATCAGCACAGAAATCTAATTTGTCTCTTAATTCCTCAATCCATTGAGAGCATGCAGAAACATTACTGGCAAATTCTTGATGAGTTTTAACATATTGTTGCCATCTATTAGTCAAGTCTTTAATTTTCTGAGAGAGGTTTTGATATTTCATTGATAAATCAGATATTTGTAATCCCCTAGGCCCAAGAACACCTGTATACAAATGTTGTGCTTTTTCAGTAATATTATCTATTTCAAGTTCTTTAGCACGAACTTCTCCCTGCAATTCCTGGAATTTTTTGAATTGTTCTTGTTTTTCGGGTAGTGTAGCTTTTAAATCAACTGCATGAATTTGATTATCAGTATTTCTAATCCAAGCCAAACATTGATCTTTCATGTTTTCGTATTCATTCCATTGCTGGATCTTATTCTCTAAATTTTCAATAGTTTTATTTATAAATGAAACAAGACCTTCCCATTCTTGATGTGACGAGTCTATTTGGTTTCTGATATTAGCCTGCCCATTACTGATTGTTCCAGGGAGAACCTTCTCACCTAATAATCGGATTTTGTCAATACGATTCTTTTCTTCCGGTAGACTAAGTTGTAGAGATTTTAATTTTTCACAATTGCTGCTCAGTGCTACACGTTCCAAATTAACATCACCCCATAACTCTGCTGTATTGTGTGTGGCTTCAACCCACTCTTGTAAGTCCATAACAGCTTTGGTGTATTGCTGATGATTATTTACAATTGCTTCATATTGCTCTACAAAGGATTTTGCCCTGCTAAGTACAGTTTCATGTCTTTGTTTAAGTTGGTTGATTTCTTTAGTAATATTCTTGGTAACATCAGGTAAGCTTTGAGCACGAGCTTCTAAGTCAGTAATATCTTGTTGATGTGCAAAAGCATCTTGAAGATATGACCTATAAACATTAAGCTGATTTCGCTTTTCATCTAAAGTTGCTCTTAACTCTATTTCCTTGGGTAGATTTTTTTCTGCAGTTAAAAGCCATTGCTGGACATTCTTTAAGTTATCTTCAAACGATGACCATTTGTTTAATTCAGAGTCTAAATTTTTCTCGGCTTTTGTTATATTTTCATACAAATTATCAATTGCTTGCTGAATGTCTTGAAGTTGTTGCTCTATTATTTCTTTTCCTTCCAGCGATGTAGATGGATATAATTTTTCACCTAATTCACATGTATTATTTACTAAAAGAGTTGCATTTCTACGCTGACTAAGCAAATCATTCAAACTTTCACGTTTGGCGCTAATACCTTCAGGAGTGTTTGCCAAATTTTTATTACATTCCTCAAATTTATGTTGCGCTGTATTAATCCATTCAGTGCATTGATTATATTTTTCTTGATAAGCTTTATGATCATTTACAGCTTGTTCGCATTTCTTGACAAGTTCTTTAGCTGTTGATTGTATAGATTGGAAACGTGAAGTCATTTGTTGTAAATTCATGGTAATTCTCGTATCATTACAGTTTTCAATAAGGTCATTAAATTCATCAGTAAGCTTATCAACATCATTTTCGGTTTTCTTCAAATTAGACAAAATAGCCTAGAAGGAACGAATACAGTTTTAGTATTATGTATTGAAAATAAAAAAATCCAGTCTGTTTTTAAACTAAACTACGACAACTACTAATTAGTATTCTCATACCATTGACAAAAACGTGTGTCATGTATTTTAAGAAGTAAATAATACCCATAACCAATAAATTTAATGAATTAGTAATTAAGTGTAAGAGATAAATTATGCTTTGGCATAATTTTGATCTACGACAAATAAATATCGTAATTATTGTTAGATGTTTATAGAAAGCTTTGGTGTACATTAATAGATCAGTATAATCTACTTAAAGTTAGACTAGTCCTACGGTGCCAACTTTAACACTGTCATTGTATAATCTTACTTGATCCAAAGCTTCGCCAAGTTTTATGGCAGCGGTCAAATCATTGTCGTGATTATCAATCGTTTTACACAATTCCTGTTTAAAATTATCATTATTGAAAAATGATTCACTGAATTTTTCAATGATTTATAAAATATCGTGAAATTAATGACAAATAGAGTAACAAAACTTTGTTTTTTCCAGAGTAATTGAATATGTTAAGGTATATAAATAAATCAGAAAGCACAAAAGTCCGGTCTCACGAAAAGGAAAGTATCACGATGAATCGAATACCTTCAATTACGCGTAGGGCAATTTATTATTTATATAAATAGCTTTATATTTATATTTATATATATATGTATATATATAATAAATTGCCCTACACACCCTATTATATTAATAAAAATTATTGGTATCAATAATACTCGTGCTATTTCATAAAAAAATCTCACAAAACCATAATAAAATTATTTACCTGATATTTGTTCAGTTGATCAACTTTTTCTTCCAAGGTAGCCTTTGGAGTATACGTTTTCAAGCTCATTTCAGTATCACTTAACCAATTCTGTAACCGTTCATTAGCGCTCTCAAATTCGATCCATTGTTGAATTTTATCTTCTATTCCCCGTTTAACGTCATGTACTGTAGCTGTAAATTTCTCCAAATCAGCTTTTAAAAGTGCCATTTCACGTGACATTCCTTCTTTGCCTCTTGGAGATAGTTTTGAAGAGTTACTTTCAATAAGATCTGCCAAAATCTTCAATTTATTGTTACCAGTTGGAGTGGCGTCCAACAATTCTTGGAGTTTATTTAGTTTACTTTGCAAAGCAGCTTTATTTCCAGTGTAATCGGAAAGTAAATGTAAACGATCCCACAAATGTTTCTGATAATCTTGTAGTGACTTTTGTTGATCAGCAAACTGTTGATATATTTCAAATGTTTTTTCATGATTGCTAATGATTTGCGATAAACGATTAGTCAATGCATTATATCTGTCCCAGATAGACTGAATTATTGCTGACATTTCGTCACTTTCATTTTTTCCAGAGTGCAACGTGGCTGCTACAGATTTAGCCTTTTCAGTGACAGTTTCAATAACCCGTTTATGTGAGTAAATTTCTTGAAGTAATGTTTTATTCTTTAGCAATTTTGATTTTATTTCCTGTGCTGAATTAAGAACTATCTTTTCTTCAGATTCTACAATCTTTTCCTTTTCATCCAGCCAAGATAAAGTTTGTTGCAAAACATCTTGATAGCTTGACCACTGTAAGGTTTGAGACTCGTATTCTTTTTGTTGTTGTAAAATGGTATCATTAAATTTATCCCACCTTTCTCTTAGCGCTCTTATATCAGTTCGAATATTTTCTCTTCCGTTTGCCGCAGTTTCGGGCAGAACTTTGTCTCCGGCACCAGTCAGTATACCAATTTTATGTTCACCATTGTCTTTTTCCATTAAAAATCTTTGTAGTTTATTTCCTTTACTTTCTATACTAAGCTTATCTTCTTTTGTGACCATTTGTGACAGTTGTTCTTCTAATGGTTTTAACCATGCGTCAAATTCATTTCGAAGTTGAACATATTTTCTGTGATCTGCGACTAATTCTGACCTATGATTAACGATTTCCTTTGATATTAAATGTAACTGTTGATAACGACTACTTACTTGAGTAACAAGAGGTTTTAGACGTTCTACACCACTAAGTTGAATTAGACTATGTGATTCATCAACAAAGGCATCAATTTCTTTCTCTTTACTGTTTATTTCATTACGAAGTTCCACACATCTTTTCAATTGTGATTCTTTTTCTTCCAGCGTGGAGCAAAGACTTTGATCGCGGCATTTAGATTCCATATCCTTAAGCCACTCTGTTATGGACTCAATTGAAGAATCAAACCTGTTCCAAATATCTAATGTATGTTTCAGTTTTTGTTCTGCCGTACCAATATTTTCAACTGCATTGCGGAGTTGTCCGACTAAGTTATCAATTTCTGATTTGATAGCTTGATTTCCTGCTTCAGAAGTGCTTTTACTGACAGATGAGAAGATATTTTTAATTTCGTCTAATTTACTGAAGCCTATTTTTTCAATGTCTTTCAAAATAACGGTTGAGTGCAGTTTACGAATAATTTCAGGTTTTTCACCTGTAGCATTTTCAATATCTAGTAACTTTTCAGATTGAGATCCTAACCAATCTTTATATTGTTGAATAAGACAAACTAAATCTTCGTGTCTTTTGACACAGTCTTCCAAATTATCCTGCAAGTTTTGAGATTTAGTTACGATATTTTGGAAAAGTTGTTTGATAGACTGTAAATAGACATTCAAAGATGCATCGTGAGTTTGATCTACTAGCTGTTGTGCTTTATCACATACTGATTCGACTAATTGTTGATGAGTCATAATTTCTTGATGCATTATTTTATGGTTTTGCAACTGAGCTTTTTTCTCCTCTAGAGTTGCTTTTAATTCTGTATGACGTTGCATAGCTCTTTCAACGTCTTTTAACCATTTTGTTAATTGTTCTTGTGCAAGAGAAAAGTCAGAAAATTGTAGTAGGCACTGATCAAGTTTATTTACTGTTTCTTGGAAACTGTCTCCAAAAGCATCCCATAGTGTTCTAATTTTTCTGATTTTTTGTCGAATAATCTCTCTGCCATCAGGGCTTGTATGAGTGTAAAGTTTTTCTCCAAGACTTAAGAATTCTTCGAATGCAGGCGTCTTTCTGTTGCGGGTTTCATATAATTCTTTCGCTTTATTTTGCTTTTCTTGCAAAACAGCGTAATCACCTACAATCTCATTTAAATCTTGTAAATCACCAAGCATTCCGTTAAGCCATTTTTCCATTTGTTCATACTCATTTTCAAATGTTTGATGTTCAGAAACAAACACTTCATATTTAGATATAATTTCGTTAACCAGATTATTCAAAGTGTGATACCTCGTTGCTAACTTTGATGTTTTGTTTGTAAGATCAGATTCATTTGCAATAGTTTGTTTGTTGCTTGTAAGATTGGCAAAATCTGCACTTCTTGCTGCTAACTCGTTTTTCATTTCTTTGACTTTATCTAAGTGAGCTTTTTTTGCTTCGAGATTATTTTTCAAACTTTGGTCTCTTACTTGACTTTCTTTAATTTTTAACCATTCTTCCAATTCGTCAAGAGTTTTTTGACTCTCATTCCATTGTTTCAAAATATCATTGAGTTTTTTGTCTTGTTCTTTACATTGTGTTGAAAATTGGTCCCATGTGATTTGAAGCTGTTCATATTCACTAATAAGTACAGGATGGCCGTTAGAACTAGTGGTTTGCAGGACATTGTTTAATTGAGATTTTAATCCACTTAGAAGGTTTTCAATTTCCACGGCTTTTGATGTTACCTTACTTATGGCAGCAATTTTTGCGTCAACGTCTTCTTTTTGTGTGACTAATCCGTAGTTTAACATACTGTTTTCTGCAATGATATGATTTAGGTTATCACGGCATTCTTCAAACGACTGTACATATTGTTCATGATCAGCAACATGGGTTTCACAAGCAGCGATTCGGTTTTCAAGTTCTTTGGACATTGATTTATATCGGTCAATTGTTTTTGAAAGGCTTTTTTCAGCTTCTTCATCAGGCATAAGTTTTATTTTCTCAGTTAGCTGTTGAATCATCGATTGATGTAATTCAACCTCTTGATGCATAATTTTGTTATTATGTAGCTGAGCTTTTTTTTCTGGAAGTGTAGAGCATAATTTAGTTTCACCTAATTCCTTCTCTTTATCAGCTATCCATTTCTGCACTTGATTAAACGTATCATCAAAAGATGATCGTTTGTTAATGGTTGTTTCAATGTCCTTAATAATGTTGTTAAGCGAATCAACAGAATCTTCAAAGTAATCTCTAAGAGATCTTAATTCATTTCTTACTTGTTCACGACATTCTGGAGTAATTCCACTAAATAAAGCTTCACCAGATTCGATGGCAATATTCAAAAGTTTCTGCCCAATTTCTTTGTTTTCATTAAGTCGTTTAACTTGTTCCAAATCAGCTATACTTGGCTTTGCATGTTTACTCATTACTGATAGGTCTTTTATTTTTCCATTCGCTTCTTGCAACCAATTTTTAAAATCAGCTATCGATTTATCATATTTACCTTTATTATTTTTTAAATCTTGCAACCTATTTACATGATTATCAAAAAACTTATTGATTGTTTGATAACGTGTGACTAAGTGATTAATATACTGGAGTACGCGGGAATCAGGATTTCGAGACACAATATTTTCCCCAATAGCTGCGAGTGTGTTTACTTGGCTATTATAGTTTTTGACTTCCTCGTGAATTTTTTTAATTTCTGTAATTTTAGTGTCAATATCATTAATATTTAGAAGATGAGCTGCTTCTTGTCTTACAATATTTTCCTTGTTTTTTAACCATTCAGATACGTTTTCTAATAATGTTTCGTATTCTTGCCAAGACTCAATATTTTCTTTAAGTCTATTTTTGATTTCATTATGGTTAGCTAGTAAAACATCAAGATTTTTTTGCGCTTTCTCTGTTTGTACTGCTGCTTCTTGAGCACAAACTGGCTCCGCAACTACTTTTAGTATATCACAAGCTTCTTTCAATTCTTTTACTTTATTATTGCATTCTTCAATACCATTTTCAACATCCAGTAACGCAGCTGCTTTGACCTCTAAATTATATTTATCACTACTTGCATCTGGCATGCACCATCTAGTTTTATCATCAAGAATTTTCAAATTCCTATTGAACATCGCCAATTTGTCAGTAAACAGTTTTTGTAAGAATGTTAGAAGAGTTGTTTCAGTTTTATTAGCATGCAACAGTACACTTTCAAACCGTTTCTGCAAAGTACTCAATTCCTTTGGAACTAAAGATTCGTAAAATCCAGGATAGTTTGCGTTCATTTCTGAGACATTTTGAGTTACATTGTCAATTTCATCACTAAGACTTTGTAATTCAGCTTTGCAAGACTGACATTTCTTTAATCTATCCAATATTTTTGCATTATCTCCAGTCATATCATCACATTTAATGATATCATCACGAATCTTACTTACTTTATCTGAAAGACGTTTTATATTATCCTTTAGTTTATTTTCTTTAGATTCTAATGATGATACAGCACTTTCTAAGTTTTCAGCTAATCCTTGAAGAGCTTCAAATTCAGAATCTAAGTAAGACACTATTGAAGAAACTTGTTCTAGAGGAATATTTTTATTCAAATTAGTAATTTGTTCACATTTGGCTTTGATGCTATTTTTGAGAGAGAGATAAATAGGCAACTCTTCTTTGTACTTTGTTAGATGATTTTGACCAAATCTTATCTCCAAATTGTCACAAGCGTTAGATAAGTTCTGTCCTGTTTCACTTAGCCATGATATAACTTGGTTTTTAGTGTCATCAATTTGCCTCCAAACAATAAGTTGAGACTCTAAATCTTGAATTCTTTTAATTGTGGCATCGTTAACTTTCTCCCAGTGAGTTTGTGACTGAAGGAATGCTTCTTCGAGGGGACTCGTGTCAAATCCACCTAATGTTGATGCTTGTTTTAAAACTGACTGCTTAATAACATCCATTTGATCTAGTAAGCCTTTAGATCTTTTTAAAATTTCATAAGATTTCTTAGCTTTCTCTAAAGACTGAGCAGTTTGTATGTAATCGCTTGGTGCATCTTTTGCTTCATTATATAACTGCTCAGCCCTATTCATTTCTCTATCAAACGCAACTGTAAAATTTTTGAGTTCTTGCAAGGTAGAAGATAGAAGAATATATTTATTTTTAGTATCACGAACATTATTGACAACTTGATCCCAACTGTGATCCGCTGTGGAAAGAGCATTTTGTATTGTGCCCATATTTGGCTGATCTTCCCTCATCAAATGCAATCCTTCCTCTCTCAATTCTTTTCTAATTGATTGTTTTTCTTTTAATTCGGCGTCAAGTTTATCAAGTTGTTCAGTCATATCTTGAATTGTGGCTTCAGTAAGAGGAACGGGCTTTTGAGCCATATCATTTAGAACACCCTGAACATCATGTAAAACTTTAGCCAGTGCATTATGTTGAACATTAAATTTATCCCATCTAACGCCAACTTTTTGGACAATATCCCTCTTAGATGTAACTTGATTGAGTAAGGCGTCGGCTTTCATTTCTATTTCTTTAACTAAGCTCGTCGGTGAGATGATTCTACCTGTATTCTGATCTGTTACTTTGACCCTCGAAGGTCCGTCTAATAATGCTACATGACTTTTCCATTCAGGAACTTTAGTCATAGTATTTACTAGTTCTTGACGAAGAATTTCGTAACTTTCTGGTGTTAATTTAGGGCCTTCAATTTGATATTGAATATGACCAAGCTGTTGTTTGGTATCTTCGTACCAATTCAGAAGTTCAGACCATTTTTGTAAGACAGCCTTATTTTGTTGAATATTATTTTCTATTATTTGATAATGCTGTGCTATGTTTGAATAAGTATCACTAAGAGAACGAGATTCATCAGGATGAGCTGATAGCGTCATGTTTTTTATTTCATTATAGATGTCAGTGAATTCCGGTTCCTTAGCTGCATGTTCTTGAGATAACACATGCATTGATTGTAAAGTTGGTTCCACTTTATCAGCACTTATTTGATCGTAACTTTCAGTTTTTCTTCTAAAATCGGTAATCCAACTGTCAAATGTATGTAGTTTTGTCATAAACTCTTGACGTACAATAATTTTATCAGACAATTCATTTACTCTTGTCCTGACAGTTTCAGCTAAAGCATTCGTGCGTTGTTTTATATCAGATACTTTATTTTTCAATACAGCTGCTCCTTCTGGTTGTATACTATGACAAATATTATCACAAGTTTGAGATAAACTAATAATCTTTGCTTGCTGTTGCGAAATTTCATTTCCAAATGATTTTAATTTATTCAGCTCTCTGTCTAATTTTTCAACTTGTGGCGTATCTATGGCAAGGTTACGACTGCTTAATAATTTTTCACCATTTTCAATCCAAGATTCTAACTTTTCAGCTTCACGTTCAAAGTTTTCCCAATTTGTAACAAGTTTATCTAATTTATTGTTCCATTGATCTGAGAGATCATGAACCACCGCCCATCTAGAATGTATAGCGTCAACTTCATCGGGAGCACTAGTTTTTCCTGATAATTGATGACTAACGCTTGATAAAATTTGTAGGTTCATTAACTGTTTGTCACAATCAGTTACCAAAGCTCTTGATTGCTGTTGCAATTGTTGAGCTTCAGTTAATGTGATTGGTTTTGGTGCATTACCTAGTTTCATTTCCGCTTCTTCTATCCACGGCTTAATTTCAGATACCCCTTTTTGATATTTTTGCCAACTAGCTAAATCAAGCTCAACTAACTTTGTTTGATGTTCACTGGATCTTTGGATATCAGCCATCATTTTTTCTAGTAAAGCAACCTCACCTTTTAGTCTATTAGCATCTTGAATGCGATGTTCAACAGCTAGTTTACTTCCTTGATCAGCAACATTTCGAATAATGTCTAGTTTTTCACTAATGATGTTTTGTAATGCTTGTGATTTTTGAACGCGGTCTTCAGGCGTGATATTTTCAGATCGAATTTGAAATAATAGTGCCGGGCTCTCCTTTTTAATCCATTCTCGAACATGTTCTAATTTTTTATCAATTTTGACCCATTCTTGATTAAACTGTTCGAGATGTTCTACTTTGGTGTGCACTTCATCTTGTACTCTACCTAACTTACGTTCAATTGTTTCCAAATCTTTTTCAATAACTGGTTTGGGCTTATTAGCAGTAAGAGAACGTAATTCAGCATATGCTTGTTGTAACTGAGGTAGTTTTTCCTGTTTGGCTTTTTCAATATCAGCGTTAAGTGTACGTGTTTCTTGGAGTTCACGACCGATATTAGATACTCCAAGTTCTAAGCCGGGATGAGCGACATAGCTTTCAATCTTGTTTAGGTCTGATAGTAATTCTTCTTTTTGATATTCATAATTCGACCATACTTTTTGGGTATCACGTAATTTATGTAATCTATCATTTGATGTTTCATAGGCGCTATTCCAACCACTTTCAAGGTTTCTGACATCCTCTCTTACGAAGGCAGGAGCATTGGCATCTTTAATAAGCTCTTTGCCCCGCTGTAACATTGACATTACCGAAGGACGTTGGCGGTCAAGTTTCTGTACGGCTGCCTGTTGCTCTAGAACTAATTGTTCGACGTGTTGTAAGGATTGAGGTTCTGGTTCAATCATAGCTTGTTGTTTGGCATTTTCCAAAATACAAATAACTTCGTGTACTTCTCTGCGATACGTGTAGCATCGTGTGTATGTTTCTGTCTTTATCATTGTTATTTCTATTGTTGGTATAAGATTTTTATACCTGGCAATGAGGTTCTCCAATTTTATCTGTTCTTCTTGAGCTTCTAATTCGGAACAATGGTTGGTCAACATGTCGAGTGTTTGAACAAGCCACTTCATATCTTCTCTTTTCTTGTCAGCTTCGCGACAGATGTTCTATAAAATTAGTTATATTATTATTATAAATTGATGTGTAAAAACTAAAAACGAAATCTCACCGTCTAATTAACGTATAAAATTTTTAATGTGTGATTAATTTATGATTCAAATAAAGTTTATTTTTTTTATTGTAAGCTGCTTAAGCTTAAATTAAAACAGGCATTACTATAGATAGTAATATAAACTTATAATACATGAATATCTATAAACTGTATATTTATAGATACTATGTACGAGTAATTTAGCGAACTTCGAAACAAGAGTTCTTTTTTAACACACCAGTTTCGGAAAGTATCGCGAGCAATAGGGTCCTGAATTCAATTCTTTATAATTTCGACTCGAGTTTATTGTGATATCTTTGTTCTTTTAGCGTTTCAAAACACAAGGACTATTTAGCTCGAAAGAAGTAGTGTGAAATTTAAATCAGCCTTGGTTGTTTAAATATTAAAGTGAATTTGATTATAACTGTCCTAGAATCAAGAAAATTACGTACCGATACTAATAATAAAAAAACGAATAATCTAATTACTACATTTTAAAAATAATTACCATCAGCTCTTTTAGCTGTTTCCATTGCAAGCAGCATAATATATTGATAAAATTGTTAAAAATATTCAAATCGTTCAGAAAGTATTTCAAAGCTAAATCACATTAAGTACTCACTTGGAATATGGTCTTCTCTCTTTCAAATGCTTCAGCAGAATCTACTTCTCTTACGATACTATCCATAGTAGTACCGACGTGCTCCATCCATCTTTCCATTTCCCTAAACTTTTCTCTGTAAGCGTCCCATTTAGCTGGAATCCTTTGCAACTGCTGTCTAAAATGTTCCACTCTGTGGACGGTGCTTTCCCATTCTTGTTCACATTTCTTGACCGACTCTTCTAAAGTAGTATCTCCAGTTTGGTGAGTGTAGCTAGTAGCAATCGTCTTGAGGTTTTGAAGACAGTGTTCGACTTGCATCACTTTGCCTTGGTTACGGAAATATTCTTCGTTGCGGATAAGGATGCCGTCGGCGTCATCGCTCTGATTATAAGCCTTAATTAAGAAAATATAGAAGTTAATACTATTTGTGATATTTATACTCTAATATTATAAGTAACATTCTATTATCATTAATTTGCTCAAGTTTTAAGCAATTGTTCATCTTGTGCAGTTTTTTTTAGGGTTTCATACTCAAAGAAGAAAACGTAACTAACCCTTACAAGATCTCTCGCGAGTCTATTTGTCCGTCGCGATCGTCTATCACCTATCGCCTATAGCTAATTTGCTTCGAAACTACTGAGCAATTGAAGAAATTTAGATGTTTTTAGAAATTTAATATTTTCATGAAACTTTCAGTATGAAAGTGGCTTCGCATTGGGCGTATTTTATAAAACCGAAAAACTGAAATAGGTAACCATCTCACCTGCTCCTCATAGGCAATCTCCTTCTCGATATCCTTGATGCAATGATGGAAGACGGCCTCATCGAGCCTAAACTCCAGCCGCATGAGGTGTGGCGGCGCACGCGCCAATAGCTCTCGCCACCGACGCTGCAACTCTTCCACGGTCTGGACCACTTGCGGACGGTCTTCTTCATTCACCAGCTACATTTCATGTTTTAGGTAAATCATTGGAGACAAATTGCCATTTATGATAAGATTATTTATTAGTGTTCCTTTATAGTCATTGTTAAAGATTTTCAATTGATTTAATTGTTATTGAACTCTTATAATATTTTGGACTTTAATATTTATATTAGTAAGTCATCAAACATGAATGATTTTAAAAGTATTAATGCAATAATACTTATATATCAAAACATTATCATAGAAGACAAGAATAATCAATAATAATAATTTCTATTTAGATAATTACAATAATTAATTAATATGTTAAATAATTAATTTTAAAGTTTACCTCTAGAAGTTCCCGTCCTGAGCGTACCAGCTCTGAAACGGCACGTTCATCTGCACCTTGGAAGAATCGCTTGTGGAAGTCAACAGCTTGTTTGGAATCTACTCGATTATCGGCCAACAAAGCTTCCGCGCGGGAAGCCCATTCTTCCACTATTCGTTTCTTCGTCTCGAACTCTTCCCAAGCTCTTACTAAACGTTGCAGTTCTGATTCTCGACGAGTAGCTTCGGATGATACATAGGCGAATCTGAATATAAAAAATAGTTGTTGGCTATACATGTCGATATTGAGAGTGATATCTTATAATTCTTCTTATTAAATTGTTTAATTACTTGCAGAAATAGAACTACTCTCAGAAATGTTATTTAACTTAAACTTTTGCTTACAAAAGCTGTAATAATAATTATAATGACATTACAAATGTCCACATTGTAAATTATCTGTATGTAATATAAAGAAGTTTGATTAAATATTACCAGTTGATTATTTGTCTGCATTTACTGCACTTATTAAAAGTAATTTAAAAGTTTTGGAATATACGTTAATTAGTCACCTTTCATTCAGGTCTCTCATTAATCTAACTTGATCAGTGACATCAGCACTACGGTCAGCATCAGCAGACTTAACTATGTTCTGGAAGACTTTGTTCTTGCTCTCCAACATGGAACGGTAGTAAGTTGTGCGCGAGAAAAACGATCTGTGAATCTCGTAACGCTCTTCCACAATCTCACTGCAACAACAACACTTTCAAAATTGGAATTATAATAGTAATACTTTAATTGCAATGCACAATTTATGTTAGTTACACAATTTCATAAGTACATAGTTAATCAAAAAGTTGCTAGTTTTTTTTGCGAAGTTAATTTCAGTAATACTGATTTAAAAAAAAAATTACACCTTATGTTATTGGACATGGTTACGCAAAAGTGCTGGCCGATCAGTAATTTAGAATCATATCACTTACCGTCTTGTCTCACTTCTGGACCTGAGATTTTCTTCGGCCTTATCGAGCCAGCTGCCGATCTCTTTCTGTCCTGTCTCCAGGGACTCATGCTGAACTAACAGCTGTCGGTACTGGTGCAACTTCACAGGAACGGTCGCACGCACCCTTACTAGGGCTTCTTTCTGCTGTTTCAACTTAGCCATGTTACCCTCTACTTCATCTCTTGGAAGTTCAGCAATTGCATTTTGGAAGGTTCTAGAATCATTATTTCATCCTTAATTTAGTGCTAAAGTTCATTATCGAATATTGACAAAACTGCTTTAAAGGTTTAGTTAGAATATAATTACGTGGATATTTTAATTAGTTTTGTACTAATTATATAGCTATTTACTGCAAAAAGTGAATTTGGTTATATCACTCCAAACATAATACTTTGAATAAGTTCAACTATCGTGATTTTCTACTCACCTGCTTATGGTTTTGAAAAGTTCCTCGTTGTGTTCAATTTCTGAATTAAGCTGTAATAATTGATCAATATAGGCTTGTATGTCAGCGGTGTTGGCGTTTGGTTGTCGTGTCAAAATATTCTCAGCTGCAGTCAACCAATTGTCTAAAGCTTGCACTCCAGAGGCCAACTCGCGCCTGTGGCGCAGGGCATCCCCACCACGGACATATCTGAGGATTAAAATATTAATATTAAACACTTCTAAAATCGGCTATGTACTACATAATTTAAAGAAATTAAGTTTTACCGTTCTGCTTCATCCCAAACACGTTCCCATCTTTCAGTGATTTCTACGTATTTTCTTTTGATTTCTGAACTTATTTCGTCAGAGCAAGTAGCAGCCAAAAATCCAGCTGCGTCGCCTAAAATTTGGTGTTTCTCTTTCCAGACTGTTAAGTCTTGGAAGAATTCTAATCTTTCATCTTCTGAAACTCTCAGCATGTGCTGAGCTTTGTCTAACCATGTTGTGAAGTCGTCAGATAAATTATTCCACCTCTCCCAGTGAGCAATTACTTCTTCAAGCACGCTTCGAGCACATCTCACATCTGAAGCGACCCTCCTCCAAGTTTCGGCCACTTCTTTTAAAAACGTATCAATCTCTCTTGCTTCCGTCCTATCTACTTCACAAACTCTCTTATATTCATCAGCAACTTGTTTTATATCGACATATGCTCTATCAAACTCTTGGAAAATCTTATTTTTAGTTACAAAATTGTCATAATCATCTAATAAGGCACGTACATTATCAATGCGACCATACTTGCTGGTCCACGCGGAAAGTTTTGCTCTCGTTAACTCTGTAAATGCTACAATACAACATTTGTGCTCCAGATACTTTAATCTTGCTTTTCTTTGTGGTGCTCCTCTACTTACAGTTTCAAGTCTATCTTTCATATCTTGAAGCCTCTCACTTGGTATTCTTGAAGCTTCTGGAGATATTAACGCTCTTTCGAATCTTTCCATTACCTCTGGCAGATTAGCGAAAAAGGAACTATGTTCTTCTAACTTTTCACTTACAATTGCAGCAGTTCTTTCGTCTAAGGTTGTTGGAATTTCGTCGAAATATAAAAGATATTCGGCCCTTGCGAGCCAATCTCCTATGACTTTGAAATCACCCGGTAAATCTGAGTCTAAAAGCCAAAGCCATCTTCTGTGTAATCTCTCTAGCTCTACCCAGAGTGAAACAAGTTCTCGCCATGATTTAGGAGCTATAGCAACTAAACTCTGGGTGTACATAAGTTTTTCGAGTTTTTGGTAGATAGGCTCACGAGCGAGCCTCTCATTTTCGGCGCGAACATAATCTTCGTAGTTTCGCGATAGCGTTCGCGAGTCGTATTGCCTTTGAACTGTGGTGACACGTTCGGTCAGCCACATTCGAAGAGATTCGTACTCCTCTTGTACTGCCGCTACGGCATCTGGTCCTGTCGTCTATTGAAAATGATATCTTAGTTAGTCATACAATACTAAAATTTAATAAAATAAGCTATACACTAAATAATGAGACCAATATCAAAAACGAAGGGTGACAATAAGAACCATTCTGTAACATGTAGTTTGAATGTAGATTTTGTTTACCTTAGGCTCCGGATATTTGTGAAGGAACTGAGCTACATATGTCATAATGGATCTCTCATCTGGCTTATCCACATCTACATCTTCAGCGTCCAACAGTCTAGCGATGCCTAGCTCGCTTTCTGCGACGTCGAACGCATGCTCCAAGCGCTGCTTATTGGTTTTTCTTTTCATTTCCGCCAAGTTGATCAGGTTGGCTTTGATTGCATCTATAATGGCTAAGAATGCGATGCCATCTCGCCATGATGGACCGAAATCTGTGACTTGGATGTTTGAATCCCTAGCAAACAAAAAAATTGACAATATGTTGACGTACATATAAGTTGATAGGTAAACTACAAGCATAATATCAATATTTATGACTTTAGTCTTATAAATTTTGTTGTTTTATAAAAATTGTATGACTTTAAAGCAACTTGACTTACTACTATCTGATAACAAATCGTTACATTTATAATATCATAATTTATTAACTAAATATATTGTCTTTAGTTGTCAATGGGTCACTAGATTCCCTGAAATCATGTTCATTTGCTAATTACATATTTTCAAGTTCATTGACACAAAACTTGCACGTACTTGGGTAGGGCATTTGCCACCCATTGCAAGAGCGTTTTCCTAGCTCCTTGCTTCCATCTGTCTTCAGCCCTTTGGGTAGGAGTAGCCGTGCCTGACTCTTGAGACATCACTGATGCACATCGTGATCCCACCAGATATTCCAGTGCTCTGCTGTTTTCCTCGATCTGAAAATAAGAGAAATAATAAAACTTCCAGATTCTTTTCAAAATAAATTACCATATAAAACTTGTAGATTGTTGTCATTTTTAAATTACGATACTGTTATTGTCATATAGCGCGTCTGTACGCGCTTTATTAAACATTCGAACCAAAAAACTAAAGACTATGCTTTGATGGTTTGGATGCTTGAGATATTTGATCAAACATTATTGGCAAAAATAATAGAGAAAATTAGATATAGGAAACAATCACTTGGAAATAATATTTTTTCATGAATTGATGACGTTTCAAATGAAGACAACATGAATATTGAAAAAAAATCAAGAATATGTATCGATGATTTTAATGACGATGAATCTTGAAGTGGTGTACCAGGACCAGCCCTCTGATTGTCTAATTTTAAATCTATTGCAATCGCTTTCAGTTTGAAAGGTGTTGCACAACCATTGCTGCATAATACAAATACCTTTTTTCAACTGTCTTCAGAAACAAGCAATGGTTGTACAACATCTTTCAAACCGAAGCGATAGCGATAGATTTTAAAGTTAGACAATTAGTTCCCAGGACCATAACAAAGTGAAATTAAATATTATTTCTGCCTACTCCTCTATTGTATGACTATGTGTTAAAAACTGCAAACAACATATTTGTTTATATTGTTACACTACTAAAATACGTTATGGACCTTGGATATCCTTACTAATCACAGAAATATAATCTACATATTTATTATACACAAAAACAAGATTTTACGATTAATCACGATTGTGAAAAATAAATTTCACATAAACTTGTTTATTTTGTGACATCAACCAATAGCAGGCACTGGGATCCTGCCTTTTCGCCAAAAATTGTTTGTCCGATTATAACTTGCCAACCAAAGTTTCGTCTATGTTTCACTTTGACAACTGACGATTAACAAAATTTTTATATGGCAACATTTCATTCGGTGAATATATTATTATGACAAAAAACATTTGGGATATTTATCATTAGTACAATCTTTCACTAGGCCACTCAACTTTTTGACGAATAACGTTTCGTGCCCTTTTCATACATTGATAATTTGTCATTTTTTTCTCTGAGTATGTAGATTTGTTTCAAGAACTGTGTCATAAGTATAGCAACAGAATCATATAGGTTAGCTTAGGTTAGTTTATGATAAACAATGCACAATCGAGCGACTGAAGCGAGCGTGCCATGGTAGCAGTCGGCGAAGTGCCATAAGCAAAGTAACAGTTAGATAAGTTTATGACCATTCATGGTAAAATTAGGTGTGCCAACGAAAGAAGAGAGGTGGAGCGTGTTGATTGTGAGCTAACCAGAATCGACTTATCTAATACGATTTTTGGTAAACAATAAACAACTTAGTGAAAATTACACTGACTGAAACATTTTGCTATTTGAAAGTTGGAATTTCAAAAAGTATAATTATAAAAAGCACACGAAACTTATAGTTAATAATGGTGAAGTTGGGAATTGAAAAACAATATTTTATGATAAGTTGGCAAATAATTATTCTTCCAAATAAAATTCTACGAAACATTAGTTGGTAAGTGAAAATCAGCCAAACAATTTTCGGCGAAAAGGCAGAGAACCGCACAGACAAAATTTATTTTTAAATAATTCATTGCTATTAAAAAAAGTAGGCACTTTATAAGTAGAAAATAAATTGCGAAAATTATAGCAGCAGTATTGTATGTAATAAGTATTATAAGTATAATAAGTTTTATAGCACGGAAAAGAACGTAATGGTTTTTGAGAATGCTTTTTATTCACATGCATTACGTTTTATTGCATAAAAAATAAATGTACGTTGCAGAATTATATTGTAACAACTGTTAAGCTACCCTAAGTAGCAACTTCATCGTCATAAACGGTTATTTCCGAACTTGCGATATTTTTTCACGTGTATTTATTTACGGATGGTATAAAAATGTCTTGCTTGCTACTTACAGCAGCAAGTCAGGTTACAACATTTTGTCAAATTTCCACAATTGATTATAGACTTTACCGTCAACGCACTATGGTTTAAAATTGTGTGGAAAATTTGATAGATTCTTATAACCTGACCTGATGTTGACTACACTATCGGAATGTGGAAGTTGCTAAATAGATACATATCGCAGTTACGAAATTATTCCTTAGTTTCTCTACAAATTGACTCCTAGTAACTATAAAATAGATATTATAGATAAAAGCTGTGAGGCGCTAATATACCCACCTGTGATCTCCTGTCCTGTGGGTCCAATAAATAGAGAGAAGCTTGCGCAAACAAAACGAGTTCAAGCCAATTAAAATGAGAACATACCGTTGATTTAATCGTAATAAAATTTCTTTAGATTATGTGTTTAGAACCCATAAAATTTTCATAATAATTATTATACAGGGTTATATGTATAACACCAATAATCTCGCAGGATTAGATATTAAACTTCATAGACGACAATATAAAATTAAATACGGACTGCACGATGTATCCTCATTTAATATGGTCAGTTAGTGCTACTATATCAATTACCAATTTGACCTGACGAACAAAAAATGGTCTTCCTACAATAATTGATATTTAAAAAATAAGCACAATTTAGCTCATAATGTTCACAAGTTTAAAGAAAGATATCAATACAAAATGGCGTCACCATGTCGGTCCTATTTTTAAGACTATTTTTATCGAGTCGTATCTTTTGTCCATTTTAGAAAGACCATTCTATAAATAAAATCTAGTGTAGCTAAAATGTCTTGAAATAATGGTTACATGTGACATTGCAAGAACACAATTTTGTTTTGTTAATCCCGCTATTGGCTGCTCATGTTACTGCCTGATAATTAAAAACTTATTAATTTATAAAGTTCAATAAATAAGTCACAGTTTGATAAATGCTATATTATCAAGCCTTTATTGGTTTGCACTATTTGATTGAATGTTTGAAAGTTCTAATGGTTATATTTATAAAATTTGAAATATTTCTTTTTTCTCCTAACCAATGAAACCTAATCTAATAGATACAAATACGGTGCTTTCAATTATTAACTACCTAAATAATGTTGAGTTGTTCACACACCGGTGCTATCTAAACTCTTGAACTGTATCACAAGCCATTATATTTTGGAGAAGCTTTTTCTACAAAAAAAAAGCAATAAACATATTGGCCATCGAACGTAAATATATGTAACGAACGATCACATGTAAATATCATAGTACACGAAACAGTTAAAGAAAATAAAATCAAATAAGAGAATAATAAATTGTGAGAGGCCAATAAAGATAATGCTTCAGCTTATGTCGTTTTGAAATTCGCAACAGTAGCTGATGTTCCGGTAGGTGCATTCACCGTTCTAATCAGAGAAATCAGAAATAATATATAAAAAGAAAATAAAATTTTATAAACTCCTCCAAAAGTAAATAAAGAACATATACCGTCTTACCTGGAAGTATAAGATTATAGTCCATATAAGTCCAAGGACGACCGCAGGCCGGCCGTCGACTAAGTCAGCAGCATTGATGTTCACAAGCTTGATCCTCTTGCCGGCTAGGAAACGTAAGGCGGTATTGGCGTTGGAGAGGAAATGTGGCCTCCGAAGCACACGACCTCTCTCCATGGGCTGGAGAAAGACAATATGATAAAGATTTCACCATAATACCATACTTCTCAACAATTAACGGTTCTGAATGTGGTAGAAAAAGAATTATTAGGGTGCATAAATATATAATATTAATAAATTTTGGACCTCACATACATTGCTTAGATGCCAAATTAAGAAGCCTAGCTAAAGCACTTGAATTATAGAAATCTGAATTAACCAAACCACAACATCCAGATCTGAAGGAATATATAAAAACCCATTTTTTTATATTGAACCGACCGGGAACCGGTAGCTCGGTGGTAGCTCGGTGGCGTAGTGGATAAGCGCCGCGGCCCGCGATCGTTGTCGTTAAGCAACTTTCGCAAGGGTCGGTCACGGGATGGGTGACCAAAAAATTTTTATTTCGAGCTACTCCGTGCTTCGGAAGGCACGTTAAGCCGTTGGTCCCGGCTGCATTTGCAGTCGTTAATACCCTCCAATCCGCATTGGGCCAGCGTGGAGGGTCATGGCCCATACTCCGTAACCATCCATAAGGAAGGCCTGAGCCCCTGCAGTGGGGACGTAAAAAAGGGCTGATGATGACCGGGAACCGAACCAGGGATCTCAGGCATAGCGATACCTTGAAACTGATGAAAACTAAATAAGAACTTCAGCATTCTTTAATTCAGCTAAAGCTAAAATTTTAAGCTAACTCACCAGTTTTTCTCCAGAAAGCACCTCCAAGAGTGCGAGTAACTTGGTGCCATCTCGCAGGTCATATATGAGGTCATCGATGCGCATCGGTGGTATACGCTAAACAAAACATAGTCATAACTATTCAGTTCCATTCACTAATTTCTATGGTATTTCTCTTTGCATCCTTAAAATTGAATATTTTTCATCAATTTCTTATCACTATATAGTATAAAACAAAGTCGCTTTCTCTGTCCCTATATCCATACGTATGCTTAAATTTTTAAAACATCGCAACGGATTTTGATGCGGTTCATAGATAGGGTGATTCAAAAGGAAGGTGTAAAATGTATAATACAAGACCACATGGGCGAAGCCGCTGGCGGAAAGTTAGTTATACTTTGAAGTAAGTTTAATTGTTAATTAATCATATCTATTCAAACATCTGTAACATAGGTCGCTGGTTCATATCCGGCTCGAAGGACCATGTACGCAATGCGCAATAAAGAAGTAAACTATATTGGCGCTGGAATATATAATAAAAGATTCGCGTTTAGTACAATGTACGTTTATTCTCCACATTGGTTGGTACAGAACAGAGGGGGAATCAGTGTTGTCAACACTAAACCTTTAATACAATGTTGTCACAGGATAAACTTAAAAATTACTAAAATTAAAGTTAAATGTTGGTAATTTCAACACGAATGAATTAAATTTACCGTCTCAAACCTCAAGATTGCTCAACAATTTCATCTTACAGTCATTATCATTTATAATACCAAATTTATACCATTTTTTTTCCAGTTATCAGATGTTTCTACCGAAACCGCTTAAAAATTTGAATTAATAAATGTGAATGTGATGTAAATCATTAATCTATCATATCTTGTTCACGCCCTAAATCTCTTGAGCTATTAATTATAACTTGTCGTTTCATTAATTTAAGAACATTATGTACCTAATTAAAGGGACTATCTAAAAAACAACTACTTTGTTTTCACCAACATCAACTTCAGCCTTTCTTTCGATAAATAGTTCATACATATACCTTCGATAGATGTGAATTAATCCAGTTGACGAATGTTTTCTTTTGAACTCTTTCCTGTTCATCTGTAACAAAAATAAAATATAATTAGATTAGGTCTATTCACATCGACAATTACCTACCCTATTACACAGACATCTTACTACATTGAAAGGTCTTTATTACTTTTTTGAGGATTTCTTTTTCACGTGTTCTAATCTCTTGATTTTTAAATAAAATCATCCATCGTGTGCAGGTATATTAGGTTTATTTTAGTTTTTATTACTCATTGGTATTTGTCTAAAATAAAAAGGGTATCCACTTTCAGACATTACCTACTAAATAAATTTAAAAATAAAACAAAATGTTATCAAAAAGTAAAATCAACTAAGAATTAAATCATTGATTTAGTTTTAATAATTTATGGCCACTGTTTTTTTTGTTTTGTTTTATTTTTAACGCCTAACATCATCTATTTCTAATAGACTGGCAGAGAATGCCTTAGGCATTAAGTCCACCTTTTGTGTTTAAAATGCAATAAAAATGAATACATAAATTGCGTTATTTTTTTATTACCGGAGAATATAGTCTTTCGTTGATTAAAAATAAATTAACTTATAAAAACAGCGACATCTACAGATTATCGAAACAACTGAAACCGTTTCTATTTGCATTATGGCATGGAGTACTATGTTTCTTTTTTGTTATTATGATCCTCGGTTGTTTTCGATCATCCGAACTAATAATGCCGCTGATGCATGGGCCCAGAGTTCCCGTAGGAAGCCCGTCAATTTACAGTCACGCAGCAAACCCCCCATAGGTTCCTTAACACGCACTTGGCACCCCCTGGTACCAAATTCCTAATTTTGTTTATAGGGCTGGCGGTATTTTGATTGAATAGAAAAAAATATATTACACAAAAAGTATGCATTGAGAGAGTTGGGATATATTCTCATTATTTGCTGCTAAATGCATCTAAAGCTCTCGTATTAAGGATAAACAGGACAACAAAGTTACCACAACACCCAGACCCGAGATTATGAACAAAAGTTACATTGACTCAACCGGGATCAAACCCTGTACCTAGGATATGGAGACACCTTAAATCCGGAGCGAACCACTCGGCTGCAGTGTAGATAAAATTATGTAAGTAAAAATAAATACATAGAGTTATTAGTTATTACTACAAAGTTACTACACATTTTAATCTAACTTTTTAATCTAACGTACTTAATTTTCCTAAATTTTCAATTTATTAATTCATAAATTATATGAACATATAGTATCTACTGACATTTTCATTATTTCTGAAATATATCGACGAAAAAAGATGATTTCAAAATTTTGAAAACATTAACATACATTAATATAAGTAACAGCCCTACTTTTATCTTCGACATATTTCGGAAATAATGCAGAGCACAGCGATCGCGTGTAAGATAACTTGATAAAGTTCGCTCGCAGCTTATCGGAGCCATCCTCGGGACATTTCATTGTTGAAAGAAATAACCTAAGTTATTTTATGTAGGTAATACAGGAAAGAAACAAAATTCAACTATAATAATAAGAGCTTTTGCAAGCTCGTATCATTTATGAACAACTAACATCGTTTTTAATTACTGTCATAAGTTACTACAAATCAGTTGAACCACAGGATTACAATTGCAATGTACTGATTTACTTACTTGGTGTCGCTAAACTCTAAGGTCCTAGATTCGTTTCTCAGCCTCATACCTAATACAAGTTTAGCTACTTAGTTTAGGATCTGAACAAGGATTTTTATACATAAAAAAAGAGAAGACCTGAATATATGGTTTTAATTTAAACTTGATATCTCTACGCGTTCCCCAAATTAAATAGAAATATATATATACCGACGGAAAACAACGTTTTTATATCCTGTAAGGGCCCTTTTTCCTTCTGAGATAAGTCATCCTAAAAGAACTTGCTTTTATGAATAAAGCTGATGCCTATAAATATGAATGTGGCTGTCGTATATAAACTTCATGGCCGAGTTATGATTCCGTTTTCCGTTTTCCGAGTTATGATTGTCTAAGGGTAAATAAGATCCATTAATAAAAATGCGACATAAGGTCTTTCCGACTGCTGTTAGAGTGATAATGAAGCCACAAAATACTGTGAATGATACTTGAGTCTCCATTGAGCCACTATTAAGTTCTCTCGCTTAAATTGATTTGACCCTGTATTGTTAAGTCGGGCGTCCATCATCAAATTACCGTGTCCACCTACATTCAATGCTGCAAGCACCTATATCGCGCCCTAAATACGATATCATGGATATATAAATTCTCAAATAACAATGATTCGTCTGATGTATTGCTAAGCTTAAAACACGAGAATAGTTGAAATAATTTAGTTTTGAAGTCCTCCTTAAATTAAAATTTTAGTCCAGGAAAAGTTTTTAAACAGAAAAATAAATAAAATGAAGAAGAAACTAGTAGGAATTGTTTATTTTCATACAGTGGTATCTACGAAGTATTGTTATTTATATATTATTGCATTTATTCTACTGTACTTTATTTTGTTGTAATTTAAAGTTAATAGAAAGCTTACTCCAAAATCAACATTTCCAAACGAAACAAAGAGATTTTTCGATAATTTATGTGATGCAATGGAGGGAGGACCTGACAATGCCTCTGGTGTATCAGAAAATACTCATGTATATGAGTCTAACAAAATTATAAGAACGATTCGACACTTTCTGCTTTCCAAATTTTCGTTCGTGCATAAACAGTTGGAATTCGTATCCCGCCTCGGGCACCAGAGATTTTTGTTTGTTTTTTTTTAGTGTGCAGAAAATTTTAGGGAAATGCATTGATTTTTTCTTCTTTTATTCATAGAATACTCCTCCTTAACTTTTATATCAATACAATCAGTACATATATCAGAATTATTGATATTACGCATAGTAAAACAAATAACGTATCATGTTTACAGAATCAATCTTTTAGGATTCTTCAAAATTGATATCTTTCTTATATCCTTCGAAGAGAACTTCACCAAACGATTCATAATATACCAAATAATCTCTCATTTAAGCTCCCTCATTTAAAATAACATTTTTTTATCCGTCGTGTTCTGATTGTCCGGAACGACATTTTAATTGGCACCACCTTAGTACCGTTTGTATGCCACTGATCTCATCTGCCTTGGTGCCAAGGTCAAGAACAGATCTACTATCGGCTTTTCTGTGAAACAATACATCGACTAAAATATTACTAGTAGGATAGGTACTCGTAGTGACATTAGCGACAATATTAGAATCAGCAGTTAAGCTGACAGTTACTTGGTTACACCGACAATAATTTTCGATGATTTCTAAGATTACTAAGAATCCATTCCTAAAATCTCATGTTAAAGACTGATTCATGATCGATTGACAGAAGTAGCTCTTTGGTGTAAGATGCCAAGTCATTTATGTAAATTAAAAACAAAAAATGACCTACGATTGAGCCTTGTGGAACCATCGTAACTGTCGATCCAATGGATCTTTTACTATAGATGGCAACCCTCTACACTCTATCGCTGAAATATAGTACCTAATGTGCTAATTCTATAGCAAAATCAGTCTCCAACTTGACGACGAAAGCAGCACTTTTACTTGTTATAGGTTTAGTTAAACAAAACTTTTTTGAAAAAGTATTTTATAGAATAACATAATAGTATAGCCGATTGTATTAGATGATACATCATTAGTATCATCACTAAATATAACACTATAGATATATTAAATATAGATCCTATGTCTTTTTGACATTCATATTAAATATATGTAACAAATAAAATGTATAATTTATACAACTTTCACAAAGGCGGAGTAAATCGTCGACAACCTATTTCACCAAGCAATTCTAAGAATAGACTACAATGTGAATTAACTTATGTAATACTTTGAAAATGAATAGGTTTGCATTTCATTAATACAATATCATGAAACAATGAGATTACGTAATATGTACCATATTTATGGCGCATCATTCCAAAAATCTACCACACAGTCAAGATAAAATTAATCCTGCCATATTCTTTCTGCAATAGCACTTTCTTTTTTATCGACCGATTCTTTTCTCAAGATCATGAAAAAATTTTCTTCATTGACTTTTCTTCACTCCAAAAACGTCAATGACTGACTGACAATTAGAATTTTTACCAAAACCAAAAGAAGAGCCGATTATTGTCTTAGACCATCAAATTTTTCATGTCTTCAATGCTGAAATATATTTTGTTAAAATATCAAATAATTGTGTTGCATTCCATAACCATACTAACTCAAAACAACGAATTAGAAAAGAAAAAAGTTTGAAAGAAATGGCATTTAAAATTTTCAAGGTTAATTGAACCTTTATTATAGAAATAAGTTTAAACTTATTATACGTATATAACGATTGACAAGTCAGTGAAGCATCAGAGTATAGTAAACATGCCTCCGACCACAAGATGATCTAATGTAACCTTGGCACGACTCCTGTCACAATACCAGACTTATTATTCAGGTGCTTACAATTCGTGTCTGTTTGCAATGCATCTATTGCTTTTTTTACATGAGCAAAATTTATATAGGTATTTGTTTAACCTATATTTCCTAAATATATTCCGGCACATATGCAGACTTTTGTATGTCTTTTAATTAAAAAATGTTTCTTTCATATTTTGTCTGTATTTGTATTCACTCAACTTTTATAATTGCTGGCATGTGTGTGTGATATATGCAAATAAAATTATTATTCATTTATTCATTCATTACATAAAAAATAACTACGTTTCATGTTTTAATAATAATATTTCACAAAATTATCTGTTACTTTTTCTAGCGTGCTTTGATATTAAACGACTCATCTATATATAAATATAAAAGGAGATGTCCTGACACACTGACCGACAAATAAAGCACAACCTAAACCACAGATCTTAGAGACTTGAAATTTGGAGGGTATATACCTCCTTATAGTAAACTTAGAAGTGTTTTAGAAAAAGCAGATTTTTGGAAATTTGACCCCGAAAGTGGGGAAAAAACGTTCGTATAAAACTTCTTTGTTTTTGGACCTATATAGATGAAAATTGCAATTTAAGCAATTTAAGACCCTGGAAAGGTAATAGATTATATTTTATACCAAAAATTTAAAGGCATGAAAACCAAAGTGGAAGTTTTTATGGGGAATCAAAATGTTACCATAGCAACCAGTGTTTACTATTTGATTTTTCATTGTTATTACAATCTATCTAATATTATTTATAAGTTTTCCTTATTTACTGATAAAAGTTTGGTACTGGTACATAATTTATAACAAAAATAATATTCTAAATTAAATTTTTTTGAAAATATTCAAGTAAAAATCATTTCGTATACGAAAAAAACACATTTTATGTTTTTGAAGTTATACAAGTTAAGTATATTTCTACATCGCACTGTTTTGGTCTAGGTTGATTTTTAAAATAATGCTACATAAAAGAACTTTTAGCTTTGCTATACTAGATGGCGTTTATCCTTAACTAAACAGCGTTATCGTTGTGTTCAAAGAATTTCGCGCAGATTTTAGTTTTCGAATAAGTTTTATGTTAACTTTAAATTTGTGTTTTTTTTCATCTGTATTTTAAATTGGACGTTTGTTGGTTTATTACATGTAAAGCTGTTGTTGTACCTATGAAATATTTATGTTTTGATCTAGTCGTTGATGTTGCAGTCTTCGAAGTTGAAAATCAAAGTAATTTTATTCTTATATAGCAAATATTTTGCTATATTTTGATTAATTTTGCATTCACAATGCCATACTGAAAAATATTCTTGATTCAAAATGCTTAAAAAATCCACTTGGTCCCTGGCACCCTGACATGGGATTCGAACCCATGACCTTTCGCAATCCGGGCGACTGCTCTAACCACTGAACTACCCAGGACCTAACAGGACTGACGAATCTTTTCAGCACTTGTTACTTTTCGCTACTACAGAGTGTATTCTCATCAATGTTCCAGGGAACAAGTCCATTGCTGGGGTTCAGGCTTTCACAGTGGATGGAATAGGGAGAATGGGCCATAACCATAACCCACCACGCAGTCCAAGTGCGGTTTGGTCTGTATTAACTGTTGCTGATGCAGCCGGGACTTCTAACGGCTTAACGTACCTTACGAAGCATGAAAAAGCTCGGGTAGTAAATTTTTGGTCACCCATCCTATGATAGGCGATTGGGAAAGTTGCTTAACAACCGTATCACAGACCGAGTGCGCTAGCCACTGTGCCATCGAGCTCTTTACGACATATTCATTATACTCGTATATTAACATCAACGTTTTTTTTATAACTTCACTCACGCATCTCTCTTCTCCATCTTTTCAATTTAAACTCGGCAAAAAAACAGTGTTGTGAGTGTAAAAATCGACTTAGCAATTGTAATTAATATTGTTCTTTGTCTATTGATTTCTGTAAATGTCTGATGATATCTTATTATATAATGTAATGAGGGACAAGGAGAATTGTT